ACTCTGTCAGCCTTTGTGTCTCGGTTTCAGATTGGAACAATGCCTACAGTGGGAAATATGCCTTCAGTGCGGGGTCTGCCGCCTCTTGCTGCGCTTGGTCCACCAAAGAGTTGAAGGTGTCCGGGGACATATGCAAGCGTTGAGTCAATGGGTATAGTGCAAGTGATCTGAGAAGTTGCTGCATGTTTGCACGACTGTGTCGGCCGATGTCTCGCATCCGTTGATCTGCATTGAGTCAATCAGTCTAATTCGTTTCGTTGGGTGGCCAAGAACCTACCAGTCGACCACGCAGACAGAGGAAGAGCAATCATCTTCGTATCCACCTCGACAAAACCCGCCTCAGTCATGAGAGTCCTCAGCTTCGATCCGATCCGAAGATCTTTCCTGTCCTCCAGAGCACGCAGGTATTGTGTGCTCCACCTCCTCAGGGCATGCTCATCAGTGATTGAGCCGTTGTCAGATTGCACATTGAAGTATATTTCCACCATTTGGACCCAACCTCCTGGCTTCAGGACCCTTGACGACCGCCGATGTTAGTTCTGGGGTTTCAGTTGGAGAACGCAGGAGTAACGGCAAGGTCAACCTGCTTTGGAGGATTCGCACCTGACTATGTCACGAAGATAGGTTGGCCATCGGGATCGGTTGATGCCGGTCGCAAGGAGTCTAGAGTGGACAAGATCGAAATGGTTTGCAGGAAAGGTGAAACGGCGGTTCAAGTCATCGACCTATTCAGCACATGTTAGCGCCTGCTTTTCAGGAGGTTACACACCTGAACAGGACTGTTTTCCAAGATTGACGGATCACACAAAGGTCCCGAAGCACAAGACATGGGTCAGAGGCAGTGTGACAGCCTTCTCATGGTGTAAACCACACCGGCCCGCATGGTGAGATGTGAGACAGGTTGACTTACCTGGAGCCATAGGTTGTCAGGCATATCATCTGGACTCATGTGAGGGGCAATGTCTACACCAATGACCTATGAACCACCAAATATTAGGATGTTGCCGGGCGCAATTAAAGGGACACGTTACTTCGCAATCGGGATTCTGCTCAGCAACATCAACCGCCCAGGATGCGGATCCATGCCCACAGTCGAGAACTCTTTCCAGTCGACGGATCGGTGGGAAGATCAGACGATTATCGAAAATTCTTTGGAAAACTTGTTGCAGGCCTTCGAGTCGTTGTGCTTCTTCCTAGTTCAGCTGTCAGTGAGAAAACAACGATGAAACGCTGGGCATCTTACCTCATCGACTGGTCCAAAGTACGTACGATGGTCGATCGAATATTTCTGATACTCACGACCCTGAACCGTGACCGTATCGAGATATTCACGGTCTAATTCTATCGTCTGTGAATCTGGATCCCTGGAGGTCATCGTCAGTTGCCCTCGGCCCGAAAGAACAACAGGGGGAACTAGCATACACCATTGTCATCCTGAATCAAGTGGTGTTGTGGACGAAGCGAGCTGGTATATCCTGGTTTGTCTGGACCAGGGCGGGGTTGAATCCTCCGAGTCCAAGATCTTGCTTCAAATCACAATATCGAAAAAGGAGTGAAATTTTATGTGCTGAGAGTTTCGTGGGAGCGATCGGGTGCCACTTGGAGACGTCGGCGGCGCCCTCGGAGAAGATGGCCGCTCACGCGAGAATCATTCGCCCTTGGGCGTCTGCTCGCGAAGGCTGTATGGAGGGGCTTCCAATTATACAAAGGACGTACTAAAATGTACGAACGGGGAAGCCCAAACGGTCCACCCAATCGAATTGCCTCTCTCTCAAAGACACTGGATAAGGGAATCAATTTGTGAAGACACGGGGTGCTTAACGGTCGAAGATTTAGCACGGATGGGGCTTGCGTGGGTGGTAACCAAATGCGATCAATGCGGACTTCTAAGTCCCCTCCGGATCGTTCATGTGGTTCCTTGGGGCCAACTCCGAAACCCTTCCTCACATCCTTGCTAGCGGGACTACTCGAGATGACCTGAGACGCTCCACGCAGGAGGCTCTTGTTTCTACTCTAGAACACTGTTACGTCAACCAGGGGGCCTGAAGAAAGAAAAAAATGCGGGTCAGTTGAGCCGAAGAGTGATTCACGAATAATTCCGGACGATTGCCACCATAATGGGGTAAGTATCAGAATAGATACTCGTTTCCGCTGCTTAAAGCTAAGCTAACGAACCTTGAAATTAGGCGGTGCCGTTCAACTAATGCACAGTTCGCCGTCTCGCATGGGACCTACTTTCCTGGAGGGTCCAAGGGCGCCCGATGGTGTGGATCGAGTACGAATCCGGCCACACTGGGTCTGACTGGGATCTCCCCCCGTCAAAGAATCGTTGCAAGGCTAAGCATAGGTAATTCCTGGACTGTCAGCGATTAAAGTCTACAGAAAATTGAATCGCACCCAACTCCGGCTGCTCACCATCAGTCCACGAGTGTCTAGGGATTCACCAGTGAATGATGTAAACAAGGACCCGGTGAAGAATGGAAGAAAACAAACCCATCAATCGAACCGCATTATACAGCATTTCGCCATGATGTTGAAACGATGACAATGCAACCGTTGTGCGACGTGGAAAACCATACAGAGAAAAGAAGATTTGAGGAGTCGGTGATAGAGCAGATTGAGGTGAAAAAAAGGCCGGGTTGGAATTTACAACCCTTGCGTATGTACTTTGTACGGGCCAAAGGAGCCCTGCATTGCCGATTCCAAATGCATGGCAAGGGATCACCGCCGTTCCCGCTGTCACTTGGAAAGAAAAACGAAAAAAAGAAACAGCTGACAAGTTTCCAACATGCTCTAGAGTACGGAGTACTCCGTACCATATCCTCCAATGTGCATGCAGTGTGCCAAGTGGCTTCAGCCCGGTCTCACCAATTGTCTCCAACCCTCAAGTTGAGTGGGGTTCGACGGGCAGGATCAGCAACATCCTCGTTGGGGCATCCATTCCCTCGGGATTTCGGTGGGTTTTGGGTTTGGATTTTATTCTCGCCCCTCTTATTTCACTCTCTCACCGCTTGTCTGGAGAGTTTGGCGTTCCAATGTCCGAGTGGATGAAGATTTGCTACAGGGGGGGGTTAGCCTGTCTCCGGATTCTCCCAAAGACAGAAGTACCATGCTGTTTTGCCCCTCCATTTTCCGGATATCTCTCCTATTTGCCTCTTGTATAGCGGTTTGCCTTGTGACATGATGCATATGGGTCGAGTGGGCAGCGGGAAAGATATACCGCCCGTGTGAATAATGTGGATATTATTCTTTGCCTTTGAGAGAAGGTACTCCGTTTATTGTACTCCGTACGGAGTATGCGATTACAACGATGTCAGTACAATATAGTATCCACACCGGTCTCCGAATCCACCGAGAAAATGCCTTTGAAATTATCCCCAAACCACCTGATACCTAGCTCCTGATTTTTTTTCTCAATTCTCCGAGGGGATCGGGTCCCACTCCATGGCCGCATCAATCTCAGATGCAAGGATCTGGTGCTTGGGGTTGCAGGTTATGCCCAAGACTGCATAGTACTTCTCACATCACAGCTAAGATATGATTATACAATGATAAATCAGGCAAGTGACTTTCTAATACAAAAGGCGGGTCCATTTTCATCTAGAACAATGGGCTCTTAAGTTCAATAGCAAAAGTCTCTCAAGTAAGGAAAAGAAGGTCCCCAGGGTGTATATATTGTACTCCGTACCCATAGTATATACGATCCGTACTGTCGGGATTTCGACAGGGCTTACCCGTCCCCCTCAAAACCCAGCGCCATGGTTCGTCTCGGGTAAGGGGGCCACCCATCCTTTTTGGTTTCAACTTCGAGTCTCTACATCTACTTACTATGCACAATATAGTATAGAGTAGTTTTTATATCGCTCTGATATAAGGAAATATATACCTTGTCGGAATATAACGGGTAATATAGGTCATTGATTACTTTTCCTTAGCGTATTCAACAGCCCCTCAGTTCTCCATATACACACACCGACTCAGCCTCGCCCGGTTTACAGTGAAACATAGTAAGATGAAAGAGAAGATAACCACTTGCTTGCTGAATATGTGTCTTCTTTGTCTACTAATACGGATCACTCCCTCGATTCTGCCATACGCATGGGTTCGTATATATATATTCACTTACGTAGTGTAGTGTCTTGGTACTACCCAAGATACTACCAACAAGTCCCATTGCATGATGATCGGCAAATGCTTCGGCATAGAACTACACATGAAACCCACTATTGAACTATATATTACGGCATGACAAATATCTGCTAGAACATCCACGTATAACTTACAATTCCTTCACCCCCTTCTCACTTCGTAATTTTAGGTTGCCGCGAAGGAGTCCTGATAAAAGGCACTCCTACTACATCCTCGGTTCAAATTGACACTAATAGATGATAGTAGTCTGTTTCATATCTATAGGGCCAATCTAGGGCATTCGCTCTAATGGTTAGTTTTGAGCACCTTGAATGTAGAAGCAAGCCTTTCTTATTTATATTTTAGTTTGCAAAGGCGAAGATGTTGATATCAGATTTGGCCTTTTCTATTTGCACCTTGTACAATGAAAAATTGTATGGAAATAATCAAAATGAGGAATCACAAGAGAGGGCTACAAGAGAGGATTGGTTATATAAATCATACCAAAAGAGAAACGAGAAGTATAGCAGATCACTGTTGGGCTTCAGTGAGGGTATATAGAGAGAAGTGAGACATTACTCCATACCTACAATATGGATAACAGAATGTATCCGTATTCTCTATACTCGGAAGTGGTATGTAGTCCCAATAACGCAGGTATACTTACGATCCGTACGTCATTAATCGGGAAAGTATTGTCGCCATTGCCCATATAAAAGCATAGATTTCCATTAATAAATCGAAGAGTGGGGTATATAAAGCTACACAGAGAACAGAAAGAAACCAAGCACAACGCATACACCAGAAGAATGCATCCACCTTAGAACAGTACCCCTTCAAGCATAAGGTCAGTACAAAAAGCACTCGCTGACCTACCGCACATCCTCCCTCCCCGTCATAAACTCGACACCTGCCGAAACAATCTGCATAACGATCTCGATCTCCGCTTCCGTCCGCGGCGCATAGATCAAAACATACTCCGCCGGGATATCAGGCCTCGTGCCTAGCGAAAGAAACGTCATCGCAGGTGCACCCGAGAAAGCATGACGCTGGCCCCAACCAGCCTCAATAATCTTGATGCCTAGAAATCAAGGTCAGCACACACATCTCCAACAAACAAGAGAAAAACATACAATCAGCAGGCGCAAGAAGCACATGAACCGAGTGATCATTTCCCGAATGAACATGCGCAATCTCACGCTTCATAGTTTCCGCAATCCCAAAGACAGGAATATGATCCGCAACAAAGAGCCCATCCGCATGTCGTTCGAGATTCGACTTCTGAAATTTAACGAGATGATAATTCCGATGTCCGAACGCACTGAACGCAATCCGGAATTTCTATCAAAACATAAATCAGTAAATAGCTCTTCAATCCCATCTTCCCTTTCCCAAAAAGAAAAAAAAGGACACACAACATACCTCCATAACAGCCTCATCTGGTACCTGCGTCAACTGCCGCTGCGGTACAACATGCGGTCCGATAACAGGTCTCTCTTCCCCACGTCGACTCCCCAGCTGTTCCTCGGATAAAGATAAAAATCCATCATTTCCCTTCCCGTGACCCTCAGCTGCCGCAATGCGTCTCACGTACTCGTCCGTGCTGAACATCTCGCGTCCGAACGGCTGGAACAGAGCGCGCACGAGAACCCATCCTAGCGCGTTATTCGGGATCCCGCCCGGGCCGTAGGATTTGAAGAGTTTGTAGTCGCGGTAAGCGGCGGGGAGGATGAGGGTTGAGACGACTAGTGCTGCGGCGCTGAGGGCCAGTGTTAGGCGGTCTTGGGCTGTGTGGGGGTGGAATTGGCGGAGGACGGAGGTGAGGCTTGTTATTGGCATGTTTGTGATGTTTGTATGGATTGTATACAGGGTCTTCGAGATTGGAGGGTTTTGTATTTGGCTTTTTAACTAACTGAGAGAGAATCTCTTGGAATTAAATAAAAATGGCTATCTAGTAAGGCCGGATTTGGGGGCTGACGTGAGAAATGGCTTGCTGACGCGATCCCGAGGAATTCGCGTGCCTCCGGTTCTTTTTCAGTTAGGGCTATATATACAAACTTCACATTGTAATGGGTTTCGTTTCGCTATGCTACTCGTATTATCATTAATTCCGACGTCTGGCATGACTCGGTTCATGGGTCTAGGTACAATAATCTGGCGGATATCCACGGCCCCACAGGCGAGGCTTGATAGAGTGATATAGCCCGTTTGGATCCCATTTTGGAGGGTCCGGTGACTCAGTGCTGCGGTGTTCGGCAATCCGAAGTTCGAAGTTCATGGCATGTGTCTCGACGTCACCGACTTTCAGGTGGCAGCTAGCAAACATTATGGGCCAGAAGCGCTTTGCTTCTGCCCATAGCCAGAGCATCCAACCGCATCTCTGTCGTGGGTTGATTATGTTGATAACGATATCAATGTATAAAAGACACAGGGCAAGGGATTGCAAGCCTTCAATCCTCTTTACTCTCCTCTCGGCTTATGGAGGTCAATGAGTGTGCAAGCTTCAGGAGCACCACACTCTCCGTTGCGGCGAAGTAGTTCAAGCTGTATAGTTGTGTTAGAACACATAAGTGATGTAAATGTCTAATAATGTAACTCACCTGTCCATCAAAATCCGGAGATGGCGCGAGAAATGGTCCTCGTAGCGTTTTAGTGTGTCCTCGAGTTTTCCAATCCGCGTTGGATCATAGCCTCTGGCATCTGCCCCTGGGACTTTGCCTCCAGCCAAGTCGGGATCAGCCGAAGCCAAGGCCCGCGAAAGTGAAGCTGCAGTCCAGGAAGCAAACATGGTGCAGCATGTCACCAGTTTCGAATGGATCTATATAGTTATTAGTATGAATACCATCGCCAGTGTGAAGAAACGTACCTTCAATAGTTTGGCCTGTGTGAGCATGCACTCCTTCAAACATGTATCTAAGAAATCCACATGATCTTGCATCAACTCATCAACCGTCCGGTTGGCCTGCTTCAAGTCATTTTCCTCCACCTCCGACGCATCGGCGTGAACGCTGTTGACACGATCCATCAAACCCACCCAATTGGGCTCAATGACCTCAGCCGTACAAAAGTATAAAAGCTGCTGGACAAACACTAGCATCTTCGCGCGAAGGTTCCACGCCCGCCGTTTCCATATCTCAAGCCGTCGATCGGAGGATTTATGGCGCCAGCTGGTGGTCTTGTTCTGGTCAGCCCAGGACGTGACCAGTAACGTCTCAAGATGGCGCAGCGATAGAAGGTGGCGGAAAATAAGTTGGTACCGCAAAACAGTTTTGCGGCTGATGACCAGTGACAGAGGGAACGGAACCGAATAGTCCAGCTCAAGCGCATCGAATCCAAGAATATCTTTATCCTCCTCGGCGGAATGGACAGCAGAGACTTGTTGTTTCTCCGCCTCTGCGCCCTCTTGGTTGACCCCTGAAACATTCACGACTTGCATCAGCCACTTCGTGAGGCCGATCTTGTTCATTCGCACCTTAACATCTTCCTTGAACGGGTCTAGTGCTGCAACACTGCCAGGTTGTCGAAGGACAATATCCAATAGTGACTGGAGCTTGCCTTCGTTGACGGCACGTGCCGGTTTTCGTAGCTCGGAAGCACCAAGTTCGAGGAAGTAGGAAAAGAAATCGGAGCGATCCAGGAAGAAGTAATGTTTCAGGGAGCGGAATCGAGTGGTGAGGGAGTTTTTTGTGACAAGAAGATTCAACAAGGAAGCATTGGCGTAGGTGTAGGCGGAGTTCACATTGTCCAGGAAGCGTGGATCATCGAGCGTCTTCGGGACATCTTTGACCTCTTTGCTGACGTCGACACCACCACATTCACGCACCACGTTGAGATATTTTCCAGCCAGCAGAACTTTATCCTGCACGCTCTTCAGCTGAGGCGGAACCTCGTGTTCTCGAATTGTGTAACGTTTCTCCCAATATTCATCCGTGTAGTCCTCCTCGAGTTTCTCGCGTTTGATCCATTTTTGTTCTTTGACCAGGAACTCGGCATGGGGATCCTTGATACCACCGTGGTGTAACCATTCGTTCAACATGGCCATGTAGGGCCTACTGGCGTCACGCAGTAAGCTCTGAAGCAGGGTCTTGGTGATTGGATCGCCTGAGAATGAAGCCAGACGCCCCGTTAGGAGTCCGAGAATATTGCCTCCTTTGCACATTTTCTTGCGGGCCATAGACCCTGGTACTAAGTCTCCCCCTTCTTTGAGTTGTTCAAGTATATTGTCAACATCCTCATCGAAGTCGTCAATCGACTCCTCGAGTTCTTCGTCTAGAAGGCCATTTTTGAGCAACAGTTCTTGGCCCATCGAATATAACTGGGCTAGACATTGACTGGTGGGCATTGTGTGGAGATGAAGAAGGTGCAAAGTAAATGTGGGATTGTTCAGCAGCTGGCCTTCCAGCTGGGCGATGAGGATCAGGTAATCTTTGAGAAGCTTTCGAATAGATGCGCACAGCGAGTGACTAACAGCACCACACTCAGCGCGGCTTTGTATTTCCACAAAGGCCTCCATGGCACTGTAATGTGTCGCCATTTTCAACATGGACTGGATGAGATCACGGAGGGTTGGATCCAGGCCCGGGGCTATCTGGAAGACTGGCCCCGTGAGGCGGTCTTTCTCGATCGATGGGTCGTATGAGCTAGCGTAGTGAACATATTGACCTTCAAATCCCATGAACACGAACAGCAGGTCCTCCAAGATCGCTTCTTCCTGGGCATCGGGCGAGAGCTCTCGGAGTGGCCGAGGATGAAGCGCTTGCGGAACGGTTGAAGCTAGAGGGGGAACTGATACGCGGCATGCGAGAGGAGCTGTCGAGTGAGGAATCAATGATGCTTGGGGGTTCCATGGTGCTGTAAAGGAAAAATCATGGTCAGCAAATCTATTGCACTCCACGACAAACTGCGGCGCAGGGATCACTCACAATCAGCCGGGTCCTTCTCCCCAGTTCGGGCACTAGGATTTGCCTCATCAAGTTGTGCAAGTTTTCTAGGCCGAGTCTTATCCCAATCGCCTCTGTTGGCCGCACTGATAGATTCCTTAACAGGGTTCACAGGGTTCCTTCGCATTGCCTTTTCCCGTGATGTTATCACTATCCGTTCTGGGCGCTTCTCCGGCATGCTCTTCTGGTCTCGGGATACTCTGTGTTTCTGACTCGAGGTGCTGTGGCGCAAAGGATCCTTGTTCTCGACCTGTAGCGGCGACTGTCCGCGAGTTTCGGAATCGACGCGATTGGAGACGGCGCGGGGTCGTGAAGCGCTCATATACGCGGCGCGGTCATTGGCAGACATAATCCCGCGAGGCCGACGTGTAAATCATGCAGCATAGGAGATTGAAAGGCACAAAATCGACGATTGAGCAACAAAAATAGAGAACCAATGTATATGAGGAGAAGATGCAAGTATCCAAACAACTCCACTTTGGCTTGGGCATAACAGCCTGCCTCAGGCACAAAGGCATCAACCAGGCACCTCACCTCTTGCGTACGTCGAGAGCTTCCCTTCCCGAGCTTCACTCAGACACCCTCCTCTGCTCCTCTTCCGTTCCAACTGATTCCCTCCTCCATCGTGATTCTATATTGTCTCATTGCTTCTTTTTTTTGACAAGTCTCCCCCATCCCATCAGATAATTCAATATGTTCATTGCACGATCAGAATATGGTAAGCTTCGTCAGGGTCTCCCCTCACCGCGGAATCAACTAACAGCTCTGGATAGACCGTGGAATCAAGTACGTTCTCCGAATTTAATCTACGTCTTCAGATAGACCTGCAGCCTGACAATATTTCCTCCGCAGCACCTTCTCCCCCGAAGGTCGTTTGTTCCAGGTCGAATACTCTCTTGAAGCTATCAAACTAGGCTCCACCGCCATCGGAGTATGTCATACCTCGCAGTTCCTCTTTGCTCTAAGATTCCACAGAAGGCCTCGAATCGCCAGAGCGAGCGATCTTCGTACTTTTATCGGAGCGCAAAGCAAAGCATAACGCGAATATGGAACCGTCCTTTCTAACAGTTATCTAGGTAGCAACCTCCGAAGGTGTAATCCTCGGTGTTGAGAAGCGCGTCACATCCACACTGCTCGAAGCATCGTCCGTCGAGAAGATTGTCGAAATTGATCAGCACATCGGCTGTGCCATGTCCGGTCTCCAGGCAGATGCCCGCAACTTGGTTGAACACGCCCGCGTCGAGTGCCAAAACCACGCCTTCCACTATGCTGAGCCTTTGCGGGTCGAGAGCACTACGCAGGCAATTTGCGATTTGGCTCTGCGATTCGGTGAGAGCGGTGATGACGAGGAGAGTGTCATGAGCAGACCGTTTGGTGTTGCTCTGTTAATCGCTGGTTATGATGAGGATGGGCCCCAACTGTAAGATATGCAGTTCCTTTCGTCTGATATCTTTACTGACTGCTTTTCTTTGTTAGATACCACGCTGAACCGTCCGGCACATTCTACCGGTATGACGCCAAGGCCATCGGCTCGGGAAGCGAAGGCGCACAGGCGGAGCTGCAGAATGAATACCATCGGTCTTTGACTCTAGCAGAGGCCGAGACGTTGGTCCTCAAGACGCTGAAGCAGGTCATGGAGGAGAAGCTCGATTCGAAGAATGTCCAGCTGGCCAGTGTCACCAAGGAGAAGGGTTTCCGTATCTACAACGACGAGGAAATGGGCCACGCTGTCACACAGCTGGGAGGCAACCAATGAGGGCGATTAGGGTCGAAGATATCTCTTGAAGGGGCTCCTTGGACTTGATTTGGAGGCTAGTATCTATGTCGGGAGCAATAGAAAAATAATGACGATGCCGTCCAACGTTTACATGCTGGCCTAGCTACTTTGTATTTCATGTAGTTAGCAACCTAGAGATGGTCCATGAAACTAGTGGTCATGTGTGGTAAATTTTGGTTATGTACAGATACATATGAACAGATCCTTTGCAACATCTAGCGGATCTTATAAACACATGGCTTCAGCACCTGGGCCTCTTGCTCAGCCGACATGCCAGACTCTGAATCAGGCTTGCGGTCAACAAAGCGCTTCTTGTTACCACCAGGGGCAGGCGCACTGATAGCGGAAGCGTGTTTCCCCTTGGTAGGCGCACCACCCTGCTTAACAAATACCATTCTCACAAACATCTTATTGGACTTATCCACGGATTCCTGGCGAAGCATGAACCCACGAGACCGGAAAACCTCCACAAATGCCGAGATATCAGTCTCGTCCTTATTGTCAGACGGCCGCACATCCTCAGCAAAGATATCGCCCTCATCATCAGAATTGTCGCCGCCCTTCTTCTTCGGCTTCTTCTTGTCCGCCTTGCTGCCGGGCTTCTGCGCACCGATCTGAGACTTCTTGCGTTGGACCTTGCCAAATCGACTTTTGACCTCACTGACCCAGCACTCGCCCTTGCCGTCGCCGCGCAAAATACGCCATGCTTCCTCGACGAAAGAAACCCAGTTGGTTCCCATCAGACTCAGACAGAAGATAGCCACATCCGCCGCACCATCTTCCAAGGGGAGATTCGAGATATCTGCTTTGGTGATCAGCGCATCGGGCGCTGCCAGATCGTAGCTGTTGAGCTTGATTTTCAGCTTCTTGGCCGAGGGCGTCAAGGCGCGTGCGAGCTGTGCATCACCGCAGCCCAGATCGGCGAATGTGCATAGTCCAGTGGGACGACGGGGGAGCGGATAGCCCTTAGCAGGGTTCAGGGGGTTTCCGCGCTTCGGGAGCGGGATTGCACCGCGGTGGCGGATGGTCTTGATGTAGTCGTCGACCGGGTTGGAGGGCCAGGACTCCTTCACCTGTCGCGCAAATCCGGCATGGTACTCGTCGAACAGCTCCGGGTTGGTACTGAACATCTCGAGTGCTTTCTCGGAGGGGGTGGTGTAGAGGGTTTCGTTCAGGTGGCGGAACCGAGAGGAGATCAGCTTCTGTCGCATCGCCTGCTGGAGAGGTGTCAGGTTCGCTGTTGGTGGGAGTGCAGGCGCAGCGGGAGTAGGGGCAGGAGCTTCTTTGGCTGGTGTAGTGGTAGCATCATCTGCCTCAGTCTTGTCCTCGGCGGCGTTGTCTTTGTTCTTCTTGTTCTTCCTTTGTCTCTTCTTGGGTGCTTTCTCCTCGATTTGATCTGCGTCTGAATCGGCGGTGATGACAGTTTCACTTGTAGGCTCCTCGGTGGTGGTTGTCTCAAGTTTTTGCTTCTCCTTCTTCTCCTTCTTTTGCTTCTTCTCTGATTTTACGGGAGCCTCTGCGCCGGGCTTTCCACCCCTGGTGGTACCCTCAATGTGCCTGCGGTACATCTCATCCACATTGCCCGCGGTGACACGGTCATTGGCACGCTTGCGCTTGTTGTTCTTCCCATCGGAGTTGGCATCCTTCTCCGGCTGGGACTCGTTCTTGGGCTGCACGGGCTGAGTCTGTGACTGCAGAGCAGAGCTCTCAACGGACCATCCTGGAACAGCGAACATGATTAATTTCGAAGGATTGGTTGTAAATGTCCAATTCCTTTGAGGTAAAGGGAGCGGTACAGAAAAAAAAAACTCTCATTTCGTTATCGGTAATTTTACTATCGATTACATACACAGTGATGCCTCAGGCACTAGACCGGGGTAAATCTCGGCTAAAAGCCTATGGCATGACCTTGGAGGGACACAAAGAGAGAACAATGTTCACCGGAACTCCGTACACTAAGCTACACTAAGCGTCTCGTAAGCCCTTGTAATTAATCAAATACCCGACACTTAAGTCTGACTGTGCACTTAAGAACTTTGCAAATATGTATGTTATATCCCCCCTGACGAACAGCGTATTGCGGGTGATCTGCGGTCCTCGGCAGCTTTTCCCTCTTAGCTTTCTTACGGAGTACTTATCTGATGCCTTTTTAGCCCCACCTGGGCACAATGTTCTCGCACATGTCCACTCTGCAATCTTGAGTCATGGATGACGACCTTCAGGATCAGCTGGACATTCCAGCTGATCTTACAGTTAGTGCTGAAGCGTCAACTGCTCGATCAGGTCCCCGCAGACTCCCGAAGAAACGAACTAAGACTGGCTGTTTGAGTATGTTGCAGAACGCTAGAGAGAGAGAGAAAGAGAGAGTCCCCGTTGACAAAGCCCCACAGCTTGTCGAAAGCGCCGGATCAAGTGCGGCGAAGAGAAGCCAATATGCACCAACTGCGTGAAATCGAAGCGAATCTGCGAGGGTTATGCCCAGCGAGTCGTGTTCAAGAATCCCATAGGGATTTTTGGGTCTTTCAGTACTGGTCACAGCCAGGACCCACAGATAGAGCAACAGCATATGAGAGTGCCGATATACAACGATTATGGATCCCAGCTCCCTCCCCAACAAGCGGCAGCCGCTGCTCAGCATCCAATGCTGGCTCCACGACCTGTTGATCCGGTGATGATGGGATATCACTCATTCCCGTCCCGAATCCCCTCGCCCACTCAAATTCAGCCGATTAATGCACCTCCATTCTATTATCCAGCAGCTCAAGTGCAGCCGAAACCCCATATGTGGCACACTCAGCCGATATCTCAAGCGGAGAGCACGTTAGTTCCATCAAATGTGACTGACATCTCCCAAGCACAGCGGCCAGTTCAGCTGGGGCAGACGGACGCTCCACATATGACCCCTGCAATCATACAAAATGTACCCCAGATCACTAGTCCGTTCGGTCAAACAGCTGAAGAATACGCCTCCAATCTCTCCCCGGTGCCAGGTCTCAATCCAATGCCGGGAAACAGGGAGAGCGAAATCAACAAGGTTCCTCGGGTATGCATTGGCGTGGTCGCTCTGTTTTCGCGGCTAGTATGCTGAGTATGATTTCTTAGATTACGCAGCCGCTGCCTACGATCTATCATTATCAGCCACCACCAGGGAGATTGCCGCAACAATTACGATCTCATGAGCAGTTTATACCCCATCAGATACCACAACAAACACAAGTGATATACATGGAAGATGAAAGCGAAGATTATTATGACGTGGACTCGGATGATGAGATGGTGGATCAATCGCAGGCCGAAGGCTTCAATCAGCTGAGTCTCATAATGGCCTCTGCTAACCGCGATGAGCGACAACTCCGCTCCTTCACGACTTACCTGAACGAGCCCAATGTGCTCGCCTCATATCGTCCTACACTTGGCTCTTCTCCATTGAACAACCCAAAGACTGCCCGCATCTTTGCCCACTTCATCCATTCAACTGGTCCATCCTTGTCTATATTTGAACGACATCCTACTGACTCCTCGATTGTTCTGGGGTCAGCTGTCCCATCTGCACAACAAGGTCTATGGGTCTATACGCTTGCTCTTAAAGCTCTGGAGCATCCAGCCCTACTCCAGGCAATTCTGGCCGTCAGCAGCTTACATATTGCATATCTACAGCAAGTCCCCACGACAGTATCTTTGAAACACTATCACTACGCCCTGAAACGAGTTGGCTCCGCAGTCGGTCTTCCCCTCCGACGCAAGCAAGTCGGCACATTGGCTGCGACTCTGCTACTAGGCTATTATGAGGTGATATCTGCCGACCACTCGAAATGGAATAATCACCTGGGTGGGTCCACCCATCTTATCCGGGAGATCGACTTTGCCAAGACCACCAGAGATTTACGGGCCCATCGACGTAGAGCTCATGAGCAGCGACTCCAGTCGGGCTGGACAAGCTCGTGGTGGGGAATGCCTGGCGAAGTCTCTGAGGATGATCCCTTCTCTGAGAAAGAGGACAGCATCGATCAAGATTTTATAGGCGCCATTATGGGACGAGCAGTCAACTACGACCATTTTGGATGCATCAACCAGGAGAGTACGCCGCCCCCCAAAAAGCATTTTACCCGCAAGGACATCGAGGTTTTCCGGATTCAATGCGATCTGTACTGGTGGTACGCAAAGCAAGATGCACTCCAGAGTTTTATTGGTGGAAATAAACTATTGTAAGTCTAGACGTACGGCTACTAGCAGACATACGATTTGCTTATTCGTAAACCAGAATGCCCTACTCTCAATGGGGTCAATGTCCGCCTCGAGCAGGCATTGGCCGCTTAGATGCCATTTACGGCTCCGCAGATCACCTGTGGCTGCTGCTCGCCCGGGTCACAGATTTTGCCTTGTATGATCGCAAGCGAAAGTTGAGAACGCTGAAGGCAGGTGGGGTGGACTGGAAGCCAGGCCCTGAGATGTTCCAATTCATGGGTCGGTTCGCTAGCGGCCCTCCCGGTCAACGACCTGGACCACCTGGCGGCTTCGGCCCGGGGGTCCCCCTGGCCCTCCATCTGGCCCGCCTAATATGCAGCCTGAAGGGTATCCCAAGGGCCCCCCACCCATCGTAGACCCTGCTGGGGCCTCTCCTTCTTCAAGCCCTGGGCCGGCCTCGGCCGACAGTCCTCCAATGTACGGAATGATACCCCCTCAACCGCCTGCACGCCTTCCCTCGGGATTCCAAGATCGACCGCTTGAGCCTCGCTTGTCAACAGACGAGGATGATCCTGCTCACGACATGAGCTACAAGGAAGCAGAACAAGAATGGGAAGAGATTTTGGTTGCCATGGAAGTATTCTCCCAAGCGTTGGGCCGCGATTTCCAACCTTTGCCAGCGGATGTCGCACCTCCAATCGCTACACCGTTCGGTCCCGCCCTCCAGTATCGTACCCACACCATTGCCGCGATCTGGGCGTTTTACTATGCCGTGCGCGTTCTGCTGAATCGGATTCATCCCTCGATGCCGCCGGCTATCATGATGGCAGCTGGAGTAGCTGCTCCAACAACGGCCGGATTTGCGCAGACTATTGGGAAGATCATGGCGGGTGTCTACTATCCGCAACGCTTTAATCTCGAAGCAGGAAGCTTGAGTCCGAATTTGGGTTCTGGGTTGACTGACATGACAGTGCCGGTATTCTTTGCAGCTGTGCAATTTACTGATCCCACGCAGCGAGCTTGGACGATTTCAAAACTTCGCGACATCTCTCGCCTGACTGGGTGGAAGAGCGCGGATGCAATTGCCGGGGGCTGTGAGAGAGCATGGATAGTCGCTGCAAAGCAAGGTCGTGGACCACCCTATCAACGGTCATTTGAGACTGACCGATCACGAGAAAAGGCAAAAGAGCGTGAGGTAAGCGTGTCTATTGGATATCCTTGTCCTGTACCATCCATGCTAATGTATGCGCCACAGACTGAGGCTGTGCCGAAGGAGGTTGAAGATCGTCGATTTGTGACAGTCAGGTTGGATCGATCGCATTGGGCTATGGGAATCTTGGAAGAGGACATTGCGAATTTAGAGGTTTAGGATTGGATGAAGTATATGTACAATGCACTTGTGCCTACCTGCCTACATAGTACATACATTAGGTACAACATACAGTACATGTAGGTACAGTAGTGCCCGTCGCAGGTGTGGCGCAGGTATGTATCTAAGTATCCCCCCACATTCAAATCTGACCCAATGTCATCATTGATCGGCTTCTGCCTGACATTTTACCTATCTTGTTTTATTTTACTTTCTCTTCTCTCCCAAGGCAGATTTTCGATCTCAGCTTTCTATTGCTCTCATTTCTGCGTGTTTCATCTCTATCAAATCCAACAGTCTCGCCCGTGGTTCCTCGAAAACCCCACCCTCGGTTCGGAAGTCAGCCGCTCGCGTCATCCACGGTTCACACATTATTTTGTTGTAGAATCTGGTGATACTCCCAGAATGTCTCGGTATGATGACTACCGCTCGTCAACAGGGACCCTGGACTCTCGCGATCGATACGATCGATACTCACGGGGTCCCCCAGTGGCCGAACGACCCCGCCATGCTGAAGAGCGCTTTGAAGCACGCCTCCGTGAGGAAGACCGATATGGACCCCCTGCGCGCGCACCCGGAAGACTTTATGAGGATGACCATCTAGACCACTCATCCCCTGCCAACTCTCTTGTGGCGCATGATCGAAGTCGACGCCGTGATGACAGTCCCTCATTCAGACGTCCCCAACTACTTAGGCGGCAGTCGTCCTTGGACACTTTCGACCGCATACCCCGGCGCAAGATGGAACACCTTGATCCCCGAGATCGCGCACCGCGCGCTCCCCGTATACCTGTCGTTGCTCCGCCTCGTCCACGGTTCTCTCCGGGCCGTTATCGTGAGCGAGAGGTCTACGAGGATATTAGGATCGCCGAGCCCGACTACTACGGTGACGAAGAGTTTAGAGATATTCGTGATCGAGATATGGTTGATCGTCGCCGCCGCTCGAGCAGTACTGTTCGCAGAGAAAAGCCTTACCCGCGCAAAGGGAAGACCCGTGTTCCTCGTCATCTTGCTCATATTCACGCCATTATGGATCTAGGGTACCCGTTCAAGGAAGAGGTTGGTGATTTGTTTTCCAAGAGTACTGTTGTCGCCTGCTGACCTAAGTAGGGGGATGTGATTGTCATCCAAAAGGCATTGTCTAAGGAGCAGATCGACGAAGTGCTTAGCTTGAGCCGCGAGTTCAGGCGGCCTGACCCCGTGGAAAGTGAGTGACATCCGCATCCGCATTCCTTAAGACCTTGCAAGGGAGAGTTATACTAATCAACGTTTTCAAACAGCCGAATACATTGGCTTGTCCCCGTCTCCTCCCCCCAGGGAACGGCGGCCACGCGAGCAGGTGACAGAATACCTACGTGTCGAGGCTTCTCCCCGCACCAGCCAGGCATTCATCGTGGAAGCATCACCGGCCCGACACAGGTCACAGTCGCGCCACCATGTGGACCAGTACGAGGAGATTGTAGAGAGGCCGCGAGTGCGGGGAGTCTCCCGGCGACGAGCTGTGTCAGTCCATGATCATGCCCCTCGTGTATCTCCCGTACAGTATATCGAGGAGCGAGAATCTACTGCTGTTCGGGCGGGTCCGATGGTTGTCGTTCGTCCGCGGGAGAGCGATCACGACGTGAGCGACTACATTCGCGAACTGGAAGAGGAGACAAGACTTCTTCGTCTGGAGAGGCAAGGTGGAATTGAGATCACTCGGCAACGCGAAACAGATATCATTGACGATAGAGGCAATCAGGAGGAGATTGTCGAGACTAGGACGCAGGAGCGCACAGGTATGATGCCCTAGATTACTATCTCGTTTCGGTGATTCTGACCTTCTCTAGAACCTAACTCTCGCATCATGCGTGCTATGTTGGCAACTCTGACCTAACCCGATGTCCTTTCTGCTTTCCTACTTGTGAAGCAGAGAATTACGACGTTATGATTTTAACTTGATTCCAAGGTTCTGGGTTCTGGATAGGGATTTCCGGATGTTTTTTTAATGTATCTTCTTATTCAATTTGCAGATTATTTTTAGGTACAATATTGAAGTCTTAGGAGTCTACTCTAACAGGAGACTACTCCTAAGATGGACGATGAGTTTGACATACATTTGGAGGTTATGAAGCGTAGGAAAAAAGACCAAAGATACAAACCCATTGTATTATGGATGCCTGATGTGTTTTGTGGCGTAAGTGAGGCGGTGCAAGGTCGAGGCTTTGTCCCGCCCGCGTAGCACATGCAATGATATCCCATCATCGCTCTCAACCATTTCCCATTCTGTCCTCCTTTTTCTTTCTAACTAAAATCATTTAAAATACACCAATCATGGATCGAATGCAGGCATTCGGAAAGAACTTCAGGTGAGCACACCGTCATAGGCCCCCTATCCCGCGGACCCCATTCCATCCCTCTCGACTTGTGATCGGTCGCTTTACTAACATCTTATTGCCTTGTGGTTTTCTGACGGGCAGTGCGAGCTTTACGCCTTTTGCGCAGCGTACCCAGCAAATGATCAAGGAGCAGCTGGGCCAAGCCGATGACAAGACCCAGCTCCCCGATGAATACATCGAGCTCGAGAAGCGCGTCGATGCGCTCAAGCTTGTCCACCAGAAGCTGTTGCAGGTGACGTGAGTAATCTATGTTGCTTCCCGCTCTATGGATGACTTCCCCGACAGGCGCTAACCACCGTTACCTTTCGCGAACTAGCTCCCAATACTCCAACGAGGCCTACGACTACCCTCCCAACATCCGCGAGTCCTTCAATGACCTGGGCCGTACTATCAACGAAAAGGTCCAGCTCCTGTCCCAGGCAGGCTCGCCCGCCGAGGCACAAGCTGCCCTGACAGCTCCGCCTTCCGCAAAGCCCCAACCCAAGACCTTCAACCACGCGATCGCCCGTGCCTCCCTTGCCGGCTCCCAGACACTCGCGCAGAGCACCGAGGGCGAGGACCCGCTCGCTAGTGCGTTGGAGAAGTATGCTCTGGCCGAGGAGCAAGTTGGCGAGGCTCGTCTGGCCCAGGATGCTCAGATCCAGTCCCGCTTCCTGGCTGGCTGGAACACTACCCTCAACACCAACTTGATGTTCGCTGCTAAGGCGCGCAAGAATGTTGAGAACGCCCGCCTGATGCTTGACTCCATCAAGGCTAGCAAAAAGGCCGCTGCCCACGGCGACTTGGATAACCTGAGCGAGGATGCCCGCGCAGAGATCGAGCAGGCCGAGGATGAGTTTGTTGGTCAGACTGAGGAGGCCGTGAGCGTGATGAAAAACGTATGTTCTGGTTGAATTTCTTTTTTTTTTTGCGCTCTTGTTGGTATTTGGAATAAGTTCTCGGGTACTAACGTGGCTTGCAACAGGTCCTTGATACCCCCGAGCCTCTGCGCAACCTGGCCGATCTGATCGCTGCCCAACTCGAGTTCCACAAGAAGTCATACGAGATCCTCAGCGAGCTTGCTCCGACTGTAGATGCACTGCAGGTCGAGCAGGAGGCAAGTTATCGGCGATGATCGTTTTAGATGTCCATCACCCCTAACCACGTTTTTCTTAGGCCAGCTACCGTAAGATCCGCGAGGGCGCTTAAGCGTTGTTTTGAAAGCCATGTTTGTTTTGTTATCCTTCTGCCTGGCTTCGATTTTGTCTGTTACTCTGAGCCATGGCCTTGTGTTTTGTATCTAAGCGGCTTTGCTTCTGCTGAGCCAACCCAACAGATCATTCAGTCTGGATTTTTGGACTTGAAATTCAATAACTTTATCTATATCCTCATAAAAGATCATCATATAGTGGAAATGTAGAGTAGATGCCACCTCCTTAGTGTATAGATGTCTTTTGCGCCACCCTTCGCACGCCGGGTCTCGATCCACCGCCCGCCAATTCTGCCTCAGGCGTCAGCATCCCGCTAGCTCCAGGAGCTCCGACATCAACGGAGATACTCCAACTCGCCAGGTCGCCTTTTTCAGCTCGCAACACACCTGACGGCTGCATATTTTCCGAAGAGAACCTGCGATATTTTGTTTCTCTAATACCTGCCCAAAACATCATCGACCCGATCCCAATCGTGCCACGCTGCACTAAACAATCGATTACTTGTCCGTCCACCCGCGCAGTCAAAGGATCCGGACATTCAAGAACACTCGTGCAGAACATTTATACCGTCGAATAAACGATTAGCCCCTTTGTGCTCTACTCCATAGCTCGCTCGCTCTTCGTCAACACATTCGTATCACACACTGAGTGATCTCCACTCTGGGTTGTGCTTTACTCCGACGAACGAAGATAATAATAAAATACCGACAAAATGGCAAATGGGTATGTTTCCCTCTTGCTTGGAGTTATGCAATAAAACAATGCATACATACCTGGACTCATGGGTTGAGAATTACCTGGTGCCGGGTGTTCGCATTGTTCGATCCATCCCGCCACACCTCGACCTCCCGATACTCTACTCGATTTGGATACAAAATTACAGTCGCTAACTTGAATTTTGACAGTTGGAGCATGCTCATTGGCCTGGTTATCATCATCGCCCTCTCGACAGCAGCGTGGTTCCTAAGCCCGAAGGGCGATAACCAAACGTGAGTCCATGCTTGCATTCTGGGCGTCGAGCCCAGCGGCCATTTCTTTTAAAGTTGCAAGCACTTGAGAATACTGACTCTGCTATCCTCAGCCTCTTCCGTAGCACGCTCATCCTTACCTTCGTTTCCTGTTACTTGATGTGGGGTATGTTTCTTGTTACCCATTCTCTCTATCCATCTATCTCCATGAGATATGTGCGCTACATAAACGATGCTAATATATTCAATATAGCCATTGTCTTCCTCTCACAGTGGCATCCCCTCATCGCACCAAAGCGGTCAGACATCAGACCTGATCGTGTACCGCAATAGAGGCATTTCACTTTCTGGTTGCTCGTGTTTTTCGTCAATTCTGTCAACTAACATTTTGGGAGAATGTCGGTTGTGAGATATTGTCTCGTCTTCTCGTCGTGGGATAGTATATGATGAAGTCGGGCTTATTTCGTCCCGTGCTGCGATGTGCGTGGATTAGACGGGAATGAAGATTGGTGTTTTTTCCCTGTGCTTTGGCTTGATAGCGGGATGGATTGGATGCTTGTTGGATTGGTCTGCATTGTGAAACCGTGTGTTCACAGCTACTTCATGTTTTTGTATAGTTTTCGTCCTAGATGACCTTCTCTTCGCAGCGTTTTATCTACATGTTTTCGTTTTGGTTCGGTTTTAGTACTTGCTCGGTTTCCTTTTTGTATGGAAAGCATTCATAATATTTTCGGTCACTTTACTAGATCAATACTACTATGTAGTACCTACCCCCAATTGTGTTTATAAATCGAGGATGTTGACCATGGATTCCCCTCCATAGAGTACCTAGTCCTAGTGATATATATATTTAAGTAACTTGAAAGCCGATAAAGCTAGGTTATATTATTTTTTGCATCAAGTATTCAAGTATCCATCTGAAGCACTTCATTAGCCAACCCCCACAGCACCGAGAATCACCCTCTGCACCGCCCACCGGGCGATTTGACCCGCAACTGCAACAGCAACAGCACGCAGATATCCACAGCCAAGTAAGATATACAAAGCCTCGATATTACTTAAAAGCACCAGGTGCGTATCAACGACACCAAGAGAAAGCAATGAGGAAAGCAAATCAAAAAGCCCCGTCAGATAACTAGTGGGTGTAGAAGTCTGAAGCAAAGAAGCCATGCCAGCCATCCACGATTCCAGGAACGAAGAAGGAAGCGCTGAAGCCGAGGGCGGAGATGATATAGCTGCTTTCGCAGAGAGGAGATAAGAAGTTTTCGTCGCTGTAGCGAGCAGCGTCTGATGCACCGCGCTCGGAATCGTAGCCATCTGCGTCGGGGACCGGATCTGTGCTGCTGTATGACTGTGCGCTGGGATGTCCGAGAGGCTGCCGTTGCCGTCAGCGCCCCAGATTACTAGCAGGATGGGGAAAAGCTTCGCGCAACTGCTGACTAGCAGGGCAGTGCTGATTGCTGCTGGGCTTGCGGCTGTTGGAGGGGGTAGGGGCTGGATATTCTGCATCGGCGCTGTTGATGTCCGGCGCAGCGGCGGCGCAGGTCGGGGTGGTTGGCCCATTGATGTCCCTTGCGGCGGTGGTGATAGCTCGGTTGGGGAGGTGACCTCGCCATATGAGCTAGGGTTTGGGGTTGGGTTTGGCAGGCTTGCAGGGGCATTGGCGGGGGTCTGTGTTTGTGGGTTTATTGGCACCGCAGATGGCGAGGGATGCGTTGGCGTAGGGGGCCCGGAGGGGAAGGGGGTGGTATCTTTTGTAGATTTTGTGGTAGGATTGGTGTTGGCATTGCTGCTGCTGTCTGGTCCGCTGTAGCGGCGTGACTTCGGAACTAGAATCGAGGCCAAAAGGCGCACGGTGAGGTGGTGTGCGAGAGTTGCGGCTGCATTCAAGCTCAGGAAGAAGAGGTATTGGACAATGATAGGGGCGCGTGACAAGAAGGTCGTTGCGAGGGATGGGTCTTTCTCAATGCGTGCCCAGGTCAGGTAGACGTCGAAAAGAAGCAGAAGCACTCCTAGGCGAATTATGGACCGCTAAAAAGCCACCACATTAGCAAGTGGCTCACGATTGTTTAAGGAAGTATACCCACATCGAACTGGTTGTCGTCTCGCCCGAGCCGGTTGAAGAGGAGATGTCGGTATACCTATTTCAAGATATGTCAGCCAGTTCGCGTCTATCAAGGATATGTATAATGCTTACCTGAGGCTTAATGAGCACCAAGTCAATGAAGAGCACGACAAAGTCATATTCAACGTATTTGTCGGCAAACCGCTGGCAACGCGGACATTGCGTTAGTCGCACACCCTTGCCTTGGGACCGGTCATCAGCACGGCTGTAGGCACTGTACAGGTGAGAGACCGGATAGGAGCACTCGATGCAAATAGGCATCGCGTCGCACCGGAATGTTGGAGGGTCCAGACTGCAGCTCTCCTATCGTGATATTGAAGGCGGTGAACCCAGTGAATATACCCGTGGTATCTCCGTTCGGGTACGGCCGTAGGATGGCTCTGATTCGCCAAATCTACCTAACTCTTCAACTTCAATCTAACTAACTAGTTACTAACTAACTAGTTAGTTAGAGATCGTCTAATTAATATGCATAATCTCAGTCTGTACTTTTTGCAGTAAAATGGGGTTGGTACATGAGCTAATCTAATCGAACTATGATTTGAATTCATTTTGTCATCATCTAGTAAGATAGGGAATCTAGCTAACCCAAGCTGAGAATCGTCGCTTTCACCAGCTCTGAAACAATGGTTTGGATATTACGGCCGTAGTCGAGGAAGGTTGCAATTGGGAAAAGGCTGGCAATTACCAACCCATTATCGGATACTCGGGGGTAACTAGGTAGAATTGGTATGCTTTACTGATAGAGCTGGCTTGACTGGATAAATAGGCTGCACACGCCGTATGCAACATGTAAAATTATTACTGCTCTTTTCATATTTTAGACCCAACGGCCTATCAGTTCTGTGATCTTTGTTCCCTAGCCATTATGAAAATCCCAGTCCTGTTCGCCGCTGCCATTTTCACTGGCCGTGCAACCGCTTTCTGGGGCCAACTGAAGGCCGGTCCGTACAATGACGGCGAAGGTGGAATGATTGCCCAAGATATCTACGTTACCGATTACAATACCGGCTCCGTCTATTACACTCTTCTTGATGGCGGCTTTGATGCTTGCGCTACTGGCCAATGCGATGTGTTGTGAGTTGATGACGCATCCCATACGGAAAACAAGATGTATGTCTATGGGGGTGGGAAACTAACACTGTTCCATCTCAATAGCTTCCAGGAAGAAAGTGGCGACAAGAGCTACTACTTCAGCGCTAGACTTTGGAGAACAACCAACGGATGCCACAATATCGACTTTTTGGGTGCTTTGGATGCTCACCATGGATACTGCTGTGGTTCTCTCCCTTGTGACATTGCTGCATAGAGTTCATACGGGTCTTCCTGCCAGTATGACCGGATACACCGTGCGGGACTGATGTGTTCGTGGAGAATGGAAGCCCGTGGATTTAGCTTTGAGGGCCGAGCCATTGGGATGATAGGAAAATCGAGGATGATGGAAATACTTAGGAAAACTGTATTGCTGGATTGAGTAGATTTGAGGGCAACTGTGGGAGCTCTGACCCTGCCTCAGCCACTTAGACGCCTGCCACAGCGACTTTTATTCATGTTGAATTATATTAGTTAAGAGCCAACGGAGCTGGAATTATTCCTTTGCTGCCATGAATGTTATTCACTATGGAAAGAAAACGGAAGTTGAAGTAAGTGCTATATGCCATTCCATGACTGGAGTATCATAACGTTTGTCTTTTCCATATCTACCGAGCCTCATACTAAAAAGCCTCATTCCTGTCTTCCCCTAGTAATGTCGTGTTTTACTAACGTCCCATCGTTCACAATTATGAGGATGAGCATGAAACAAGTCTCGGGGAAGCTCATTCTCACGGAAGATGGAGCATGCTTTTGTAAGGTATATAATATTTGGAGTATCTGCATTTCTGTTGCAAAGGTTTCATTGGAAACCCATCAAACGTTCTACATGGAATCACCCGGTATATCCAAATTACCATCGTTCGTCTCAGGCGGAAATATGCTGTCCCAAATGCTCTTGATATTTTGTTAGTAAGAATACATCGAAGGCATTTCAGAGAACAGCAGCAGGGCTTACTTACCCAGTCAATTTCAAGCATTTGAGGATCAATACTGTCAGTTCCACCTTGCGCTTCAAAGTACAGATTTGTTGGCATGTTCTCGTTCTGGGTAGCGCTCGATGCATAGCTGCGGAGACAGCTAGACCGGAACTTTGTGCTGCTATCTTCGCCGTACTGAAGCGGAAGAGGGAGCTTCCGGGTGGATGAAGCCCACGCATTCGGTAGATTCCCCACAGCTTGAGGGTTCCCGGTGGATAAGGCGATACGGGGCCCTGGTATTTCAGATGAGGAATAACTCATGTCTGGGTTTACCTCCCCGTGTGGAGGCACTGGATTATCAAGAGTAGATTGTAGATCTGGAATGTGTGGGCCTGATCCCGGTTCCCCATGGGCATAGTTGAGTGGCATCCTGGGGTCTGTAGCATCACCAAGTTTCTGTGGTGTAACGGTGAACATTGAATCATTGAATCTAACGGGATTTTTCAAGCCTTTAGCTTTCTGATACGCCCTCATTCGATCACATATCATGTTCAACAAATATCTCGCTTTCAAGTCTCGGTGCCCAATTATATCGAGGGCCATCGGGTTGGCTCGGTCCGTACCCAAGGAAGGTATGTCTGTCAAAACCGCCTCAAAAATGAAATCCAAGCAGTGCCAGATGCGATTGGCCACTCTACGCATGGGATATGTGAACACTTCGACTAGCAAGAGCAATGCTGAATGATATTGCTGGTAGGCGCCACTATACCAGGACCATTGTTTGAGATCCTCGGCTGATTGGAGTTCCACCGCAGCTTCAAGTGCCTCGGCACCTTTGGTTAGAACGATTTGGCGTAACCTATCAGGTATCCTATAGGTCACACTGTTCATATATCGGTGCAGGGGAATGAGGTACAGTAGGTTGGTCAGGAGCTTCATCACAAGCTGTGCCGCTCTTTGTATTGGACTTGGGGTCACTGCATTGAGATAAGGACCATATTTTGCATCCATCGAGCCCCGAAAAGCTTCAATCTCAGAGATTGCTTTGCTAAGACTGATCTTTTTCTGATCGACCTTGGTACGCAGCATTAAACATTTGCGGTGCATCTCCTGACATTCAAATCGGATACTGGAGAAAATCATATCCTTCCAGGTAGGCGCGGCATTTGGAGAGGATGATTGGGACAAAGTCACATAAAATGGAAGTTGTGTGGTATATCCATCGTGATGGATAGATGGTCTAGGACCCTGGATCTCACTTGTCTTGAGATCTAGGTAGCAGATTTGGTACCAAATGAGGCGTCTAATTTGACATTCGACCGAAGAGAAGCCGTACTCAGATGGATCCCTGTGCAGTCCCATGCATTCTGCTAGCCTAATTGCCATGGCAGCCAAAACAGTGTGGGCACGAGAGATCTCGTCAATACACATTGGCATCTAAATAGATAGCTTTGAGTCAGAAATTCTGTTTCCAAACGGTTCGAGCCATAGGCCAAGGTCAAAGATGTGTACAAACCAGATATGCCACAAAAGCTTGTAGTGTTTCGATCTTTGTGGATCTGAGCAATTGAGCTCGCCCCAGAGAAGCCTCTACCCCAAGCTTCAAGCTGTTCCTCAGTTGTTCCCGGGAATCTCGACAGACCTCTTGGACTTGTCCTTCTGACATGCTAATCACGGCTGAGAAGAGAACAGAATACACGAGCGCTACGAGAGATGGGGCTACTGGCTCTCCGTTCTCAATAGCTTCCCAAAGAGTTTCATATCGCTGCGCAAAGGAGGGCCTGTGAAGGATCCTTACGATAGGATGAACGGCAACCCAGTACTGTTCAAGTAGCTTGTCTGCGACGTTGCGATGGGGAATATATCCCAGTAATGGTTCAATTGAGGATAAGCTGAATATGAAGTCCGGCGAAGGAGCCGTAAAGGACAGTCCAGGCCCTAAGAGGTCCTTGGCTGGGACAGAAACGACAGGTGGCGGTACAAAGCGGGAGCTGCGCTTTGGGATATATTGAAGAGATGAATATAGCTAAATCAACTGGAATTAGCAAAGTTCAAAGACATGGTCTAAATTTATTAGCTTAACATAAATACCTCATCGGCTATCCTTGGGCGATACAGACCCCCAATCCTCTCCCCTAGTCGCATTCTTCCGATTCTAAAGCCCAAATCGTGGACATCATCATCTGCCTCGTCGGCATATGCTGCATCATGAACTGCCAGCGGTGTAGGTTCCAGGAGCCCTTCATCAGCCGAAGTATCTAAATCATCTTCAACTTCATCTGGGTGTCTTGGCCGTTTACGTCTCGACCCTTTTACTTCTTGCTGAATGGTTTCACAGTCTATGTTGTCCTGGAACCCGTCCTCGATCGCATCTTTGGCTTCTTTCATGTCCTTCAATCGCTGCTGAAACTGGGCGTCGGTAGTCGCAGCATTGACATAGATACATTGCTCCCCTGACGCGAGACAATTTTCGCAAGGGTCCTAAATTGCTCTATTAGCTAGCTTTTACTAAAAACTAGGAGCCAAATTGATTTACTCCTCTACCGCATTTGATCTTCCGCCGGCGACACTCAAGACATGAATGGATGACTCGATTGCGACGTCGAACGCGATGTGTAGAGCTAGCCCCATCTCCTGAAGTAGGCTCGGTGCGGGGAGATAGTCTTGACTCTGGTTGAGCTATAGCGTGACTCGTGTTTGCCCTCATTATATTAGATGAAATTCTAGTGAACGTATGCAAAAGAAGGTGATCCAAAAGAAAAATCAAGTATCAGAAAAGAAAAGGGCTGAAGGTGGCTGAGATAGAACCCTGTCGAAAGCTAATGAGGGATTGGCTAATGCCGTTCTACTTCAGTTAGGCGTTGAAAGCGCTAAACCCAGAAGGGCAAAACTAACCTCAGGCCATTTTCAATTACAAATCATGTTTTCTTATTCAACTCCTTCTACTCCGTACAGTTATCATGAGATGGGAAACTGCGATATTCAGATCTAAAACTAATATAACATAGCCGGTGTTTGACTGTGTAGTAAAGGCAGAAATCACATGGCAGGTGAGCAAGCAGGTCTCGCTGGGCGACAGTATGTTGGCTGATTTTTTCCCCTTGCTTATCGTACGCAAGCTTACTAGCTTGTATAGAAAAGAGCGACGGAAGCCTTATACGCCATCTGCATGGTATGCTCCCATATAAACGCCGGCGATCACTGGTGCTAACATCAGCAGTGTGGAGTGCAGAAGACGCAAGGTCAAATGCGATGGCCAACAACCGTGCCACCGCTGTGGAAATTTGGATCTAATTTGTCTAAACCCTTCCAAAATCAATAGATTGAAACTAAATGTAATACAGGTCGTTATGTGGCTACTGCGAAGCCAGTAGCACCAAAAATCCTAGATACCCCGGACTCTTGGTACTCTCTGCATACTCCCCTGATACGGAGCGGTTGCTAACCATGCACTAGCGATGTAATAACCTTAAGGTCCCAAGTCACTTCACTTCAGGTGGAGTTACTGGATGTATCGGCACAACTCAAGCAGGCCATGAAACATCGAGTTACCGAACCCACGATTCAGCAGTGCACTCCTACATCCAGGGAGGAACAGAATGACTCACTCTTCAAGCCTTCATACAGAAGCAATGTCCCACATCGGAAAGATTGCCTGTATCATGGTCCTGCAGGCACTGCATTCGCATTTGACGTCGCACGATGCAACTTAGAATCCATGGGCTTAATGGCCACGTCGACAGACGACAATAGCCTCCTGGACTACTATTCTACCGATGATGGCCCTGAGGTACCGCACCCTATACGAGACCCTCTTGGTTTTGTCCCTAGGGAAGAAGTGCTACGCTTGTGCAAGGCATTTGCAGAAGAGACTAATATCATGTATCCGTTTTTGGACATGGACAAGGTCATAGGCCAAATTGAATTACTTAGCACAGCCCAAGATGCGAAGGGATACCGGATCATCTCCCGTGACGACAAAGATATTATCGTCCTTGTGCTGGCAATATCTCTGATGAGAGAGACCGCCGGAGAGAGTGAACTGGGCAGATCGCTGTTCCATTCGATAAGGAATCGTTTGGAAAACAAAACATGGGCTCCATTATCTGTCAGTGGTATCAGTTCTCTTGTTTTAGCAGTAGGTCCATTTGATTTTCCCCTGTTCCACGGATATAGCGTCTGAACAAGTACAGTCTCGGTACTACTTCTATGCGGATGAAGACGAAAGACTGGCTTGGCGGACCATCGGAATTGCTGCGAGACAATGCCTTGAATTAGGACTACATAAGCTGCAGGGATACCCGAAATCCGAGGAAGTGGGTTCTCAGCCCGCCCTCATCCTATTCTGGTCAGCTTTTGCGCTAGATCGCCGCTGGAGTTTTGGGACTGGGTTGCCTTTCTCGATACAAGAGGAAGATATTGACCCCTCTCTACCGGAGCCGGTATGTATGATTTTACTATTGCCTGAAGACCTCTATCGAATTGCGTAAGTCCTAATCTCTTCATCAGGATGATTCCTACATCTATCTCAAAACCATGATTCCATACTGTCGAATTAGTTCCAAAGTCTGGTATTCCGGTCTGGGTACAGGAGAGGTTTCGAAATTAAGGAGGGACTGCATGGAAAACCTCGATTCGCAGGTGCTTCAATGGCAGGAACAAATGCCAGAATCCCTCAAGTGCCCAAACCCTTACAGTGTTGAAATCGGACTCCATACAATATCGAGAAGACTCCAAATTCAAATGGTTGTTCGAAAAAATGTCATGCGCACCTTAATTTACCGACCAATTCTCTACAGCTACGCCAATATCAAGCACAATATGTCGCAGGCGGTGCTATGTGTGCACCTTGCCAAAGACACGATACGGATCCTATATCAAACGCATAAAGTGACAAAGATCTACAAAGCCCAACAGACACTATTCAACTTCTTTATCTTGTCGTCTCTGGCAATCATCTTTTTGGCATGTTTTCATGATCCGGCAGACTTCTGTTCTTGTGTTCAAGAGGAGGTCTCCATGGCCCTTGAACTCGTCAAGGCTTTCAATACCAAGTCGCGAGTTGCGAAGCGACTGTGGAAAGCCATTCAAGATCTTCGGGAGGTTGGTGAGAGGCTTGGTGTCCTATCCGCTGCCTGTCCTTTTGACGAAGCGGGTTTTCAGTCATCTCCTGTAAACGGCCTGGATGAGGCTGATTGTTCAATGACCGGGACTAGAGTGAGTGCCGAACTGACAAATCTGCTGGAAGAAATTGGAATATATCACCCTCCCGCAACTGTACACCCTAGCCAGGGTAATGAGGACAATGAATACGACAACCGTCCCTTGGAGCAGCCAGAGTGGGGAAATGCTACCGAATCTCAGTGGGCCAACGCTGATGGACTTTCTGAGGTCCTAAACCCGCTATTCTGGAATTGCTAGTCACTTAGCTTTCAAACAAGTTGACACATAGCCTATGATGCCTTTTTCTCCAAATTGACCCCTACTGTACATAAAGTGTATTTCTGAATTCGTTTGCTTGAAGTCGATCTTACTATATTATACTCTATATATCCAAAAAGTGAAATATCAAATGAATTGTCTTGTTCTTCTATCAAGGCGACAACATGGAGGAACCAGAGTTTTTGTTCTCTAAAGTAGTGACTGGTTTACGGCGGCGAACCGGCTTTTGGCCCGAATTCGAGGTCCAAACCGGTAAAAGATATAACTATTTCAAAGTCCGTTAGCAAGAAAGGTTCTTGCTCCCACTACGGCCATGAGTCACTCACGGCAATGGAAGCATAGCGACAGTCAAGAAGGCAAGGAAAGATGTCGCCCATTGGTATCCAAGGGCCTCATACACTGTAGATGAAAGACTATCAGCCACATGATAAACCTCTCTTTTCAAAAGAAGGAAAAAAACCTACTTTGGATACCAAATAGAGGGAATGCAGCGGCAAAGCTGCTTCGAAGGAACGCATTGGCCGCTAATGCACTCGCTGCGTATAATGGATACGCATCAACGAGGAAAGTAATCACTCCTTGGAAGACGAGAAAGACGCTAAGTATACCATCAGTACAGGATGTGACGTTTATTGGAGGTGAGAACGTACCCAAGACCGAAGAAGACACTTCCCATAATTGGCATAATCCAGTGGACCTGCATAGGAATATCAGTCAGATATCTTGACGGAAACGAAAATTCTGTACTCACCGAGGCTGAACTGCTCCATCCAAACCAAAATAGGCCAATCGTGATAAGAGGAGCACCGAGAATTGCTGGTGGAAGCCGGTACTCGGGAATAATAGCTTTTCCATCGGGTGAGTGTTTTCGAACCAATCTATGCAAATTCCATCCCCAGAGAGGGTTGAGGCATACACCAAGAAGCGTGCCTATAAGTTGGCCGAGGAATGTCAACCCGATTTGCCATAGATTGAAACCGTACAGGTTGGAGAAGACCAAGGGGAAGGCACCAAAGAAGAGGTACAGGGTACCAATGATGACCGCAGTATAAAGGCAAAGGCACAGACACATTGGTTCCAAACATAGTAAAAGAAAAGGACGGTACATGGACCTTAAAAAGACTTTCCGCATTGATAGCGTTCCAGGCTGCCAAGTTGCACAGCTTTCTGTCAAGGCAGCCTGCAGACGGAGTGCTTTCTTCTGTAGAAGGACTGGAGCATAAGTTTCCTTCATGAAGGTAATCGTGACAACCCATAGCGAGGCGCTCCAAATGATGATGACATAAAACGACCAGCGCCTAACAATGGATAAGTCTTATATCAAAAGACATCGGTAGTGGATCACCTTGCTTACCAAGACGTGAATGAGTTGATGAATCCACCAATTAATGGTCCGAGGACTGGGCCGGCAAAAGGTGTTGCTGTGTATATCATCATTGGAAGCTGCAGTGTTTCACGGGTGAACAGGTCGCCGATGGTACCTCCAGCGACGCTTTGGAAGGCAGCACTTGTCAGACCACCAAGCATTCGACCAGCGAGCATAGTTTCGAAATTATTAGCCACTGCACATGGAATAAGCCATATTGTGAACAGTGCTAAAGAAACAATATATATAGGGCGTCGTCCATAGAACTGATCGATTTTAGTGTCAATTTAACAACACAATGGTGAGAACAGCATATTACCTCAGAGATTGGTGCAACAAACATGGGTCCAACGCCCATACCAAAGATGAAAAGGGATAGTCCCACCGTGGCGGCGAGCTCTGATATATGAAACTGTACTGTGATCTGTTCATACATGGACGAATATAATGCCGAAGTACATGTTCTGTTGGTTGAAACTCGTTAAGATTGGCTATTCTGGACATCTTCCGGGGCTGAAAGCTTACACACAAAGCGAACTGAAGGAAACAGTAAACACCATAACCCATTTTCGCCAAAGCGCAAAGTTTTTAGGATTTTCGGGATCATCTGGGCCATCCCAATCGGTAGTAATAACTGGAGAATTCATCTCGCAAATTTTCTTGTCGCTTGACGACTTCGGGGCAGACAATAACATTGCTGATCCACGAGATATTGTTTATTAACCCAACACGTATTATTACTACATGAAGACAACACTTTATATATTTAGAAACGGATGGCTGATAAGTCAACGCAGAGTTTGTCATATTGGTCATATTGAGAATATTATACTCCGTAGATAGTCATGAATAAGCCTACAAGACTCAGGCCACCTTTCTTTCCGCTTCCGCCTGCCTGTACTACTTAGTAGATGGGATATCAAACGAGAAATGTTCAAATGACAAATAGGGGAAGCGGAAGCGGAAACCAAAGGGGAAGATTGAGAACAGCAGAGAACGTTACCTTTTAGACCAGGATCTATTATTAGATTAAAATCAGAAAATAGTGTCGAATCAAGAGAGCCGAGATAGGAGCTCTAGACCTTACTTTGTCATGTTGTAGACGCCACAATCTTGGTAAATGAGTGGCGGTAATATAGTGGAATTTTTACGGCCGTTCGGGCATTTTTGCTTCTTGGCCCCGGAGTACTCGCGAGAGCATAACTTCACAGTTAGCGGGGTTATAGGATCAGTAAGACCGGGCGTAACATCGTAGTGGGCCCCTTCTACTTACCTTCCGTCCAGGGATACCTTAGCTTCAGGTCCGAAAGAATCATATCAATGCAGTGAATCCTCAATGTGATGGAGACTATCAGCACGATTAGAAGAGCAATATGGCATTGGACCCCTTGTGAGTGACTGACCGTGCTCGCAGCCATACTGAATTAACATAAAACTGATCTTAAACAGTACCCCAGTCTTCCAGTTAAATGTGGGTAGTATTTTCATCAAAATTTGAACCAAGTCATTGACAGCCACTATAGAATGCGATCCGGGAGAATGCCTGTCAACCCTCAGCTGATGACCCGTCATTATGGGTAGACGAAGTTGGGCCTATATTAACGAGCATGTTGGTTATGGCCGGCTACTCTTCTTACTCGACGTTGATTCACATGAAGTTCTTCCAAGAGTCGGTGGCACGATCTTTAGGGCCTCATCCCAGAGGGCGCGGGCCTGGCGACTGGAAGAGTTTCATGACGGATGACCATACCCCAGTCGAGTTAAGCTGGTGTTGGTCTACATCGACAGCACACCCGGCGGTCCGGTACTCAGTGGAACCAATTGGCTCATTTGCTGGACAGGAATTCGATCCCACCAACACCACTGCCAGTCTGCGCCTACTTGAAGATGCTTCCCCTTTAGCTACAAACTTGGATCTGTACCTACACAACCATTTCGAGAGCTTGCTTTTGTTGCGGAATGAACAAATCGAGAGAATTGATAACCAACCCTCGCTTGCGCCTCAGTCACAAAGCTTTTTGGCCTTCGACTTGCTGGAAACATTAATGGTTGTCAAGCAATACTATTTGCCCGAACGGAGAGCCTTGTCGAAAGGAAAACAAAATCTTGAAATTATCAAATACGCAATTCAAAAGCTTCCTCCGCCGGCGAACGCTTTGACGGACTCCATTGATATGTTCAATGAGTTTTATGACTCATTTCAAGAGCATTCTCAACCAGCTGTCGAGATCATGGCCATCGATTGCGTCGATCCGTGCCAGTCTCGTTTGAAAATATACATTCGATCACATCTCACGACGCTGGAGAGTGTAGTTGATATATTGAGCCTAGGTGGGAGAGCTCCCAAAACCGAGGACGAGGAAGAATCTTTACGAGAGCTTTGGTGCTCAGTCTTTGGTTTGAATGCAAACAATTATCATAAAACCCAGCCCCTCCGTGAAATGGAGCACCGTACAGGCGGCATCCTTTATTACTTCGAGCTGAAAAGGGGGACTAAGGCTCCCAAGTCAAAGGTATACCTGCCCGTTCGACACTACGCGCACAGCGATGAGCAAATTTCTCGAGGGCTATCCGACTATCTTGCCCGTCGTGGGAAGACGCTGGCTACAGGATCTTATTATGACGGGGTCAAAAGTTTATGGTAAGTTTTATAGCTAGGATGATTGCTTCTAGATTTTAACCCGCTCATAAGGATCTGACAGTAACCACCGGGACCTTGCCAATGGATTAGGATTCCACACCTATATATGCTGGGCTTCTGATAAGGGCCACTGGAATGTCACTGCCTACTTCAATCCGGAGATTTACCATCAGTCTCGTTCCACGAGTCTCCCAATTGACCAAGAGGAACCGAATATCCACTACTATCGATGAGCCTCTACACTTCCATGGTGGTAGCCCGATCCGTCCTTTTTAGGGGCGTGAAAGAATCACCTCACTGCATTCTTTCACAGGAGTCAGGAATCGGATCAATTTCTTGACTGAGAAGCTGGTGTTGGGTTTCTTGACGTTTGTGGGAGGGAGTATGACGATCCATCTAGGCCAGCACTATTCGGGAGAACCCCGTTTACAAGATTTGAGCTGAGGCCAACGAATTGCGCACGGTCGTCTTCTTTCAGTTACATTTATTACGGCTACTGGCGAAGGGGAGGAAGAGGAAGAAGAAGCATTGCAGTTCATTCTAGCAAATAGCAGGGTCTTTATACCCTGCTAATCAAGCAAATAAACGCTCAGTCTGACAAACAAGCCAAAACACGGTCCGAAGACGGTCCGGGGACGGTCTGATATCCAACAGTATTATCACTGTATTAGCTTGATTCAATGATTGTCATTGTTTGTTCTCGGTGTATACGTCAAACATATTGACAAAGTATAGTCGTACTCCTGAATGAAACTCTCAAGTGGCGCAGTATGGATAGACACTGTAGCCTTGTGCCTACAACGTATATGTAGAATATGTCCTAGCGCCTATTTTATGTAAAAAATGGCAGCTTCGAAGTTCGCCTTCTCATGGCCCATTTACGCAGCCCTAGAGCTTCAGCTTCTATATCAACAGCTTCGGAAACGTATTCCCATATTGGTGGCTTCTGAGCCTTCCAGCCCAAAGATCTGATGCGACTTGCATATCCCAGCGAATTCACGCCCCAAATATCTGGTCCGGGATGAGGGGTTGGCTGTACCTCGAGCGTTTCTTCCACTGAGAGGACATCCACATTATCGCTTTTGAAGTACCCTTTTTTAAAGCCGACCTCAGCAACGGCCTTCGCTAGGTCTTTCCAAACATGATGGCCATTTTCAACAAAGTAGTACCCATCCGAATTCCAGTCTGCCTTTCCACCGCCCCTCAAAGCTTCTTCAATGAGGAGAACATAGGCGTTTGCTAAGTCTGCAACATGCACATTCCTCCATTCATTCTTCCCCTCGTTGACGGTCAGCGACCCTCCCCGGCGAAGAGCGGAGTTAGCTAGGTCCGGAAGTTGGACGCTACGGACTCTGATGGGGCCATCGCCCCTTCCATAGATAGTGGGAGGGCAAACAATGGCCGTCTTGATCTTAGCATTATCGACTGGGTCATCGCCCGCGGATGCTTCGAGCACGAGCTTGTCAACGTCACGGTGCCATCGTCTTAGCGGGAAGTTGGTGATGATTTTGATGTCAGATACATCGTCGTACTCCCTGTCTGGAGGTGCACCGTAGGCTTGGTCTGGATTTCCCAGTATTCCAGTGCCAGAGGTGTGAATCAGAAAACCCGGGGCGCTCCCTGTGGGCTTGGACTTTATCCCTTTGATGATGGCGGCGACAGCGACGGCATGGTCTGCGGAGGCGCATTCTGCAGTAGAACGTGTTACTAACCTTCCTTTTGGGTAATGGAATATACATACGAAGTACAACGTCAGATTCCGCGCTCAGTCGTGCAAGAGTATCTACACTATCAAGATGTCCAACAACTGTCTTGACTTGTGGAAAGGCAGCCTTGATAGCAGCCGCTTGCCTTTCATCGCGGATAAGCGCAGTTACGCTCAATTCAGGGAGTTTGCGGAGTAAATGGAGCACGGTCTGCCCCCCAATGTAGCCCGTGATTCCCGTACTATGGAGGTATATCGACGATCAGTACACATGCGGATTCAGCTTTCGCTTTGATTAGATTGCCACAGGATGTAGTACTTACACGAAGACCTTTGTAGACATGCTGCTGAAAATTAACTTCAGGTTTAGCCAGACTGTGTTCGATCTACCCAATATAGGCTTGGACATAGGGTCTCTTTTATAAGTTAGATGCATCAAGTGCTTACCGCAATGTTGACGTCCTCACATCAAAAGCCAACCCAGATTAGATTGGTAAGCACTCAATGGACGTGCATGTAGATGTGGGACCTGCGCTCTGCACTCAATGGCTCTTACGGCCGTACTACCCTTCCTAGTCCCATAGCAGGTAATCCTTTACCTCTCTCTCCATGGCCAAGCGCTTAGAAATCAAATACTGATTAGTCTTTCGAAGGATCCATACATTTTCTAATCAAGCCGTCGTGCGCAGGGAGCGTATTGCTGGGAGCTAAACCCAACATGTGCTGTCTTGTAAATGAGATGCAGACCGATAAATGCTTTTCTTTTGCAACTGGAAATAATGCGGAATCTGATATCTTGAACAGTGCGGGATATGAATCTCGACTGTAATTTCAGACTAAATAACTCATCTTCAGGCAGACTTATACGGCATAATGTGAGGGATACCAGGTGTGCCAACTACTATGAAAGCACAGAACTTATTTTAAACTCTTTGGTGTACTTGGTGTACAAAAATGATGTCCTTTATCCCTTTTCCACATGCCTCGTCATTTCAGGCCAAGTCTATCCATCTTCCGCTCCAAGCGCTCTCGTCGGCGATCCCCACGCCCGTGATGATTGCCCTTTACAGCATTTGATGTCATGTTGGCAAGAACGGCTCCAGCTATGGCCCCGCCAATTGCTCCAAGTACTCCATGCTCTGACTTCTTACCAACGTGATGTCCGACAAAAGCACCCTGTCGAGCTAGCGATGAGAAAAATTCCAATGAACTGTAGTGATAGTGTACGTACTCCGGTTCCTCCAACTAGTGTTGCGCCCATACCTCTTTCACCATTCGTATCGCTTTTAGGCGCGCCTGTTTGTATTTGGTCGTCCCAGCGGGTCTGTTGGTAGATCGACGCCTTGTCTTGACATGCGACGCCGTCAGGAACCGGCCCCTGTAGATATATGTTAGCTAGCCTTGCATATAATCCGACACATATTGTAGGTGTATATCTACCGAGACCGAACTCCCGTTTGAGGTACTCATTGAATTGAAGTGTTGGAACTCATCCATTCTCGGTTGCTCTGGAGCGTTATCCCCATAATAATCACGATTAGACATATTCACACGTAGTGGCGACAAAAGGATTCTCAGGCTAATAACGAGACCACATATATCTCTGCTGGTAAAACAAAGGGTTTCGGCAGTGTGTGTGTGTGTGTGTATGTGTGTGTGTGTGTATTGTGTAGTGGTGAGAAAAACCTCGGACTAAATATAACAGGAACGCCAGTAGCCAGTAGCCTTATGCGTTCTAATGAGTTAAAAAAGTCTAGGACTAGGATAGCCCTATAATACGTCCAGGTGATAGGTTAGTACATAGTCACTCCATTTGTGCTTAGCTTTACGGCCGCAAGTAAAGTTGCTTGGCGCCTAAATTAAGCATTGGACCATAAAGTTTGACCAATCCTTGGCTCTTGAATTTCAGAGTTTTCCCTAAAATAAGCCACAATCTTATCTTACGGCCGTAGTATGTACCTACCTAGGTACTCTATTCTGTATTAGTATCCAAGGGGCCTGGTTTTGATCGCTTTTTACACCCTTGTAACTGGAACCATATTCCGAAACGGGATAACTAGGCCCAAACCTCTAGGTAAAATGAAGCTTTTTATGCCATACAAATTGAGGCATGACCAAATTTCAAGGTGGTTTATATTGGACTGCTTTGTCCTTTCACTGCGTTTCTTTTTGTCTCCTTGAGATAGTTTGAACCCAAAACCTTTTCTGTATATACCTACTTTCAACATCTCAACAAATAAATCCTTTCCCTTCAATGTTCATTTCTTCGCATCCGCGGTTTTATCGACGAGGTTGAACCAGATCCAACACGTCCCGGTAATAGACTTTCCATACAACTACGTGTTTTAATCCAGTCAGACAATTTTAAACATAATGTGATTTTCGGCCTCATCAGGTTTTGTAATAAGGGTAGCCCAGCCTGATCTTTATTAACCAACTATTCTTGTCTACTCATCGGGTTCTTTCCTGATAACCTTGTCTGATAATAAAGAGTTTCATATTGTATTTCACGCTTAGGAATTAGATCGGTGGGCTGGCCTCGTCTATTTCAGGAGCATGACTATAGAATCTAGTCACCTTGGTAATTAGGAAGATATAGCCTCATAATTCATGCACTGTCCTAGAGCTGCTTAGCTAATATTCACTTTTTCTTGTCGCCATTAACTAGTTAGTTATTGAGCGTGGTGATTATTTAAACTATGGGCTAGCTCTACTTCACTTTCGTCTTAAGACTATGGTTTACAACGCGGGAACTCATACCCATCACCGTCTTTCTGAGAACGAGCAACGCTGGAGAAATTTCCTCCATTGAAAGTAAATTCCTATTTCTTTTTGACGGGTCGCATCTTAGACCTCACAAAGAGAGCTAAATAGCTATCGTCAGGGTTGATATACATTTTCTCCAAAACAACTACTCGTCTGCCTCTAGCTCCTTCCTCAACAACTGGTAAACGTAAAGGCGTCTGCCCTTGGCCCCAGAGAGCAGTCTCACTCTAGAAAGCCGCTCTCAAAGCAATATTATGGTAATATATAATCGTAAGTGTCAGGGTTGGACCCCAGAAAAGTACTCATTTTAACTCTGTGCCATTGACACTGGCGTAGTTGTGAGCTTTCTTTTTCTTTAGACCAAAACCTGGGTGGCCAATGCACAAGGCAAATACCGCCACCACAATGAGCCTGTATTTTGTTAGTGACCAAATGAAAATCAACTATGCGAATAACGATTAGGTTCACTTACACTCCCTCCAGACCAATGAATAAACTCTCGTTGGATATCGAACTGCCACTAGTATAGCCCTCCTTCAGCTCATCCGCACGGAAGATGCAACGGGCAAGAGTGGCCAGAACGGCAAGAAGTAAAAAGCCGAAGAAAAGCTTTCCACGAGTACCTATGTTCTTGGCCCCGTCTGATCGCAGGTATCTGATCGCGAAGTCACCGGATAACCCGAGGAACACGCAAAGCATAATAACTTGCAAGATCAAGCCGACCATCGCAATATCCACCCCAGTTTGGCTGGAGCCTGAGGAAGAAGCAGATAGGCCACCGCCGGCGCCCTGAAGACCGAGGGAGATGATGTCGGAAGTAATGAAAACCCAGTATAGATATTTCGGGGGAAATCTTGCCAGCTTCGGTGAGTAGTACGCGATACTAAGATCGGTCAGGTATTTTCACACTTGGGCGGATGGTAATACAACTTACGTTTGGGAGAGAGTCACGTAAATAGCGGCGCAAAAGAATACCGGTGCTTGCGTGATGCAGACTACTGACTTGTCAGCTCTTGGAAATAACCGACAGGCACAGGCCTTGTGGTGAGGAGGAGGGGGTGGGGGAGATGTTACTAATTTGAAGAATGAATGCCACAAAGCTCCATGGGTTATAGTACATAAGGACACGCCCAATGTAGCCAGCAATCTCATGGGTGCAGCCTAGTATCATGCACCACATATACCACCAGGACTTCCATCGAAATCCTAGATAGATGTGGATTGCCATTGCTAAATTGAAGAAGCCGATAAAGACGATGTTTGCTACCAAAGACGGTCGATACGCATATACGCTTTGTTCTATCGAGCATAGCTGGGAGTACTGAAGTAAGCATCACCTCTCAAACAATCCGTTATTTCTTACCTCGAGAGTGCAGTTGGCATTGGGCCCAAATGTAATGAAGTGTTGAGAATCAGACATTCTGGCCACTGACATTAACCGATGGATTGGGAATGGATAAAGGCATGAGAAAGCATAGCCTGGGGATCAAGTAGTTTATATATCTTCAATTTCCCCTCAGAAAGGATCCCGTTAAAGGGGCTATCTGCAATCCACCATATCGGAGACTGAGGCGTCATACATGAGATTTTTCTGCTGGATCGAACGTCTGGACTACTCCTTAGATATCATCACCGTCAAATCGAGTAAGAATAGCAAACCTTGGGGGATTATACGGCCGTAAAGACTCAAAGGCGATATCTATCGACCCACCGAAAGATAGGCCTATCATAATCGTTGAGTGACCCTTCCATAAGATCTATGTTTGCGACTAGGTGGAGTCGTAATATAATTAGCTTGCTTGGCATCCTTGTTGCTACGAGGTTGGGCTGTGCGTTAGGCCTATTAGCTTCATATTGTCGAAATTAATACTTCGTATGCGGGAGAGCAAATAAAATCGACCATACCCTGCTATGCTTCTTAGCTCCTCAAATGTATGCAGTGTCTTACATGGGATCATTCAGCCACGAACACCAATACGCATACCATGCTATAGCAGCCGAGAACTTGTATTAATCAATGTATGCACTTATGATTGCACGCGTTAGTACGAGGGATACGGGTTCTCGGCCGCTCCAGAGGCTGATTATGAGCCCACCTTATCTCTAGTAGCCCGCAGTAAGCCCGTATTCGATAACTGCTCTCACTGGCCCATCAGGACAATAGATAAATTCCTTCTCGTGGTGTCCGGTGCCCCGTTGAGGAGACCAAAGTGAATCTGCCTCAGCACAATACACTCCGGCGGTTAGCAAAATCATGGATATTGCTCTGGCATGAAGGTAAGCTCCAGGCAAGGTATTTATCAAGCTACCAAATGAGCGAAATGGCACTGTAATATAGAAGCGCTCAGTCTGACAAACAACAAGTCAAAGGACAGTCTGAAGACGGTCCGGGGACGGTCCAATATCCAACAATGTGGAAGGAAGACCCCCATACACTTTCCGAGGTTGACTTTACGAGTTAGTCACCTGTTGATAGAACCGCTACATAAATTCACAAGTTACGGAGTAGTTCCGCATAGGTAGATTGCCTTCACTGTACATTCTTGGTTGAGACACCCTTCCTCTGTAACTGAGTTCCCTCCATTCAATATAAACGTCCGCCAATTGTATTATCCAGTCTTGTCATTCTGATGTATATCACACATCTGTACCAAGTCCTCTCAGTTCGACGAAAGTAAGCGGTTTAAGAACGTCCCGGCCATCCACATCCAGAATAAGGTAGAATTTGGGATCGTCACTGTTTTTCTCAGAAGAGGCGATTAGATGAATTTGCTTATGGCCACTCATGGCAATCTATCTCGGGTGGAATACGGGGCGGGAGCGGGGGCAGATAAGTATAAGTGAGTACTTACTTGTGGATCCAGAAGTATGGGTCATTGATGGGGATGCAGCAGTTGTTGCTGTTGCAATTTCCGCTGAAATTGAGCTTGAAGTTGAGCTCGAGCTCGGAGGCTTCCGCTCAGCCGCTGCGCACATGCTGGCCAAGTCCCGTAGGCCTGATGTGATTTCCGAAGCTATGTCCTTGTCGGATCCGCAGTTTGAAGCAGAGCATTGGATCGCTGTGCTTCCCTCATTGTCGAGCTTTGCTTCCATCGCAGTACAGACACATTGCAGGTCTGATAGCTTGGTGCTGGAGGCTGAATCACTGGTGCAAGAAGTACCCACGCCGTTAGAGTAGAAGTCATTAAAGCATGGTTGAGCACAAGCGGGGATATTTTGTTTCCAGGCTTCGAAGGAGTTGGGTCTTGAGCCTGCAGCAACAAGACCAAGGATAGAACTCGCAGAAATGTAAAGTAAGAAAAATTGCATTTTGGGTAAAGATGAGATCGTCTGGGGTGAAATCATCTGTTGTTTCCAGCTATCCGTCTGTTTTTTTATGCTAAAAAGAATGGGCCTCGGATCAAATTATTCCCAGATTAATTAGTCAATATATCAGGAATGTGACAAATACGAGTTCATGGCCTAAATGTAGCTGGTACGGCCGAAAGATCTGTCTCGTTGGGGATTCGAAATCGTCCCACGTCAATACGAGAGGTACATCCGATGAAGTAAAAAAAGGCACGTGGGCCTTTTTAGTTCTTTCCTTCTCCTGCTAGTGAGCATTTGTATTTTATAAGTATACAATGTAGATAGTTGCTAAGATCTTACGGAAAGGGGGTCTGGTTTTCTGCGGAAGGAATTTCGAGGGCCAAAGAGGCTCAGAAGCATGTTTGCCTCTTACGAACGCTGGGAAGGAGAAATGCTTACCGAGTACCATCGCTAGTCAGTGGATGGTGGTAAGTAAGGTCTAGCGGCTCCTAGGAATACCTAATAGCCTACAGGCTTCATCTACTTAGTGTGAAGTATTTTTTGGGTGCTAGAGAGAACATCGCAGGCAAATGAGGAGCTGCGAATGTCGTTATGAGAAGCTAGATAATCTGCCCGATAATCAACATAGGATCTCTTTGTTGGGGGGTAACGGCGAAGAGCGTTAGTAAAACACTGCTTAGATAGGGCTTGCTCTGTTTTAGTCAGTGAGTAAAAAGAAGATGGAAAGGGAAAGCCAAGACTTGACTTGACAGACATGATCCTGTCTGTATGCGATTTTCACTACATCAATACACTAGATAATGAATGGAAGGCAGGAAATGAAAAGGAAAATGATGGAATAAAACAAAATAAAAAAGAAACTCCGATAGGGGGAATCGAACCCCCGGCTGCCGTGTGAGAGACGGCGATGTTAGCCACTACACCATATCGGATATTTGATACTGGAGAAGCTGAACTTTGGCTATCTAAGGCCCATTTAACAAGCCACGTCATTTCTTTTCCCCCTCATTTCCCAGATATCCCGGGGCCTTGCAGGTGAGGTATTTTTGCTATTGATCCGGCTCACCGACCCCCTGAGCTCCGCTACCCCCTTTCCCGAGCGATTTGTCAACTCTTCTTCTCACTCTCTAAGACCTGCTGGTTGAAATATGGGAATCGTGTACCGGGTGGTAGGTCAACACATTCTCTCCGCATCTACTAGAGTGTCATCAGAGCTCAACGCAAGTTCAACCTGGGTATTCAGGTATTTTTATTTTTCTGCAAGCCAAAATCGGTAATGAGACTAAAATATTGGGCATCCGACGATGAGCGCTATACACCGTCGTTAGGAATAGTACGAAACAATCGTGTACAAGAGTTGCAAGCAGAATAATAAGTCCCAAAGGAAAAAGAAGAGATAACCTCAATAACCACTGGCACTTGGAGTTTACAACCTCACACCTTAGTTTGGACCGAATCAAGCAGTCCCTTCATTTCTTTCTTTCCAATCTGATCGTATCTGGGCGGCACATCAATCATGTTAAACGGGTTCTCCCTGCTATCATCCACAACGCCCCAGATTGGAGCTTGTCGGTATCTGGCTATACGGTAGCCACGCTCCTGGGCCGTGTTTCCAAACTGTTCAACAGTGTATTATCGGCAGGGAAAACTTCAAAGCCTCTAGCCCTACGACAACATGCACATATGAGCATACAATGTCCAACACCAAGACTTCGTGACGGGATCATTTTGCGGTTCAGGCAGCACTCACATCCCCGAACGCAATATCCTTGTCGACCCGCGCATTCCTCGACAAGCATACCGTACCGTGCATGTACCACTGAGGATATAATCGCCATAGATTAAAGGCCCTTAACTATGCTTGGTGTTTGGTATTTGATGTTTGTGATATTTTGTGAAGTGAGAAGAAGTTGAGCCTGATGCTAATGGTGTTTTTGACTTAGACCTCTGACTCCCAATTTGAACTCAGAGAAATTAAACGAGTCAGACCTGACCCCATGGTAGAACAATATGGACATCCCTACCAGAATTTCACAGACCATGGACCTCAGGGCCCATGTCCACTTCGTAGTGTACTACCCAGCAGCCCAGGGATTATTGAACACATGGATGAGTCCTATCTAGGCACAGGTACTAAACGTCCCCTGCTACTGTTGAAAGTGGGAATCACAGCCTCTGAGCTATACGTGGAACAATCTTGTGTAACGAATGTAGAGAACATCCTGAAGTCAATCTCACTTGACGATCATTTACTAGTTTCAAGTTTCCAAGGCCGATAAAATGAAGTCTATCGAATCCCCTTCACCACACGCTCCGTATATATAAACAATGCTTATTTGATTGTGAATTTCTCGCTATATCCAATTGGTCCTGTACCGTGACTAGTCCATGCGACCAACCAAACATCACTGCGCAAGCCAGATCAGTATCACTCTCATTCAAGCAGGTGATCATATTTACCCTGGCTGAAGATTCACGTCTCTCGGTAATCTAACACTAGCCTTCTCCGGCTCGGCATCAACGAGATCAATCCACTCAAAAGTTTTGAAGTCTCGGGTAAGAGTGAGGCCAATTTTTGGCGTGTCCAATCTCCATGTCACGTCCCAATTCCGACGCGATTTCAGAGTTGGCGTATCGACGACAACCGCAATCGCCGCAGGTGCAAGAGTGAGGATAGATAGTAGTGAGAGATGCATATTTGGATATTGAAGACCGGGTAAGTGTAAGAGAAGATTGTGTTGAACTGCTCGTTGAAGCGGAGCAGAGGAGGCTTTTATAATAGTCGTTCAATAAGAAAGATTATCAAAGACCTCGTTCTCATCCATGCATCTCCATGAATAATTGCGGGGTATAATCCCACCAAATGGTCTGACATTATCGAGATATAGGATCCTACCGTGCAAAATAGTCAATCTTAGCGAGTCTGCATGGATTGTGTGATTCTTTCTGCACTCTCATCTGCAAAGACGCCCGATTAAGATCATGATGACGATTGAGCATGGGTAGATAGAACGATCTTGACCTATCGTGCATTTATAACATCTCGGCTGTTATGCTCGTATACTGATTCTGGTTCTGCTGAGACATAGCATACGGTCCCACTTTCGGCATGTATAATACCGATTGTACAAAACGAGAAAAGAATAGCTGACATAAACGCTTTCAAGGTAGGCCGTCCTTACTTCGAGAAAAGACATTGAGAAAGATGAGTTCTACTTCGCCCAGCAAGAACCTATTCTTTTGCCAACAAAAAGAAATGGCCTATATGTGCTTCAGAGACCAAGCCACTAGCTGTGCCACCAACATGTGACGTGATAATAAAGCCTCTTACCGCTTCTCAAGGCCTCGTTGCTTCCGGTGAAAGTATAGCCGATAGGGTAGTGCATCTCAGGTCTTACATATACGAGGCCAAGACCGCATGGCGCTCGGAAAGTGTGAAGGTTCAAACTCGTGAGTCCCTGGTTAGTGCTTTTGTTCTAATTTATCTCTGATCCCACTACGACGGTGTATAGCGCTCAATGATAAATGCCTGAATTTAGTTCCTGGGTGCCTTATTTTGGCCTGATTTATGCATAAATTCAGCCTTGTTTTAGACCGCTTCTAGGCCTCTCTATACACTGTACTGTAACTAACCCGGCATGGAATAACCAGGCGCCGTTAAGCCATAAAATTGAAGCTTTTGATCTCCATACAAATAGTTGTATCTCCATGTTTTTGGACGGTCGGCAAGTGTCGAAATTGAAGCTTTTCATTTCTACTCTGAATTTGAACTTTATACGACTAGTAGAAGGTCGTAATATAGCGGTTACAGAGGCTGCCGAGATGAGCTTTAATAGGGGCCCATAAGGCCCCCATTAATGGGCTACGGGTTGGATCTCGAAGGTAGGGCCCATAGCCTTGTACGGGTTGGGTTATGGGCCTAGGGTGCCCATTTGTGGGCTTTGTGGAAGTCTATTTGGGACATCTTGTTTGCGGTCAAGTACACTCTACGGGCGACCAAGTGTGCCACCTGGACACAACTCTTTCATTGGATTATATATTGCCAGTAATTTAATCCTCACTTTCTAGGGTTAGGAGTAAATAAAGTCTCCTGTCAAAATTCTATTAACTTATTTACCATATGCATACTCTAAGTGTATTCAATTGATACCTTATAATTACATACTCTATAGTAATTCTATACTATAAACTAGTTTTATTCCTTTTTTTAGAAAGAAGCCATAAAATCGTAGTAGAAACGACCAGTAAAAAGATCAGATAAGAAGTAATATTTAAACCTACATAGTTCAGATTGTTAAAATATATAGTGTACTGTGCCATATACTCCTTACCCTTCCTTAGCTTCTCGGGCCTTAACTTATTAGGTACCCCTTTTCTTAGTAATATACAAATTCAAATGGAATTGGCATATATAATTCGAGAAGGCGGTTAGTAGCTTCCAGTCAGGCAGTGTCCGAGTTATGTCCAGGTGACACACTTAGTCGCCCGTACCACGCTAACGGTGGAACTTCAAGCCGACCAGGGTGACCGGCGAAAATCCTTTGACCCTCGACATTCCAGTATAATCCCTGTTTTGAAATATGACCCATGCCAAACGTAGATAAAAGCCCTAGTGTGGTTTCATCACGTTGCAGGTAGCGTATCATAACGCGTTTTCCATAGAGGGGTTCTGGGCTTGGCTGGGGCGAAAGAACCATGCCATACCGGTATAGCCGAGCAGCTACGGCCAAAGTACAGCTACCTGCAAGTGCTATCCCTTAAGAAGTGGTGGTTTCTTTTGAAAGCGGTATTCGCAAAACTAATTTCAACATATACCTCCCCATCTCTCCCAATGGACCGCGCAAACCTCACCAGTCGCGCCACTGAAATTGCTGAGGTTGTTCGCAGCCTAGCAGGCGATCTGTCTTCACAGGGAATCCCTGAACCTTCTTTCGAACATGGATTACCCGCTATACTGCAGACCGATGCGCCGGATTCAAATGTCCTGGCCGCACGCGTGAAGCTCCTGGGCTTACTAGATGAGCTACGTGACCTCTTAACCGACCCAGCACTATTGGGTAGCCCTGAATTGGTGAGTCAACCGGAAATTACGCTTTGCAGACTGACTAACCCCTTTAGCGTAACCCTTCTCTGAGTATATTGGCATTGATTCGCCTGAAGATCTTTGAGAATTTTCCGAGTGAGGGAACCACCATCAAATATCTAGCACAGCGCGTTAATCGCAATGAGAATATTGTTCGCCGATTGATGTCTCATGCTGCCACTTATCATGTCTTCTTCCAAGAAAAGCCTGATTTTTTCATCCACACAGCTGGCTCCCGTGTTCTAACGGAGAATGAGGGTATGCGTTCTTGGATGCTGGTCGGACTTGGCGAGACCATGCCTGGTGCCCTTAAAGTATGCAAGTATACCAATCTCCTATTGATACTGAGCTGATATCCCTAGATTGCCGAAGCTATATCGCAACACAATGACTCTGAAGAGCCACAGCATAGCGTAATCATTCCAGTGACTATTCGGTGCAAGTTAACTAATGGCAGCAGGGATGGAGTATACAAAATGGCACTGATCTCCCGGTCTTCGAAGCCCTCGCCAACATGCCTGAACGTGCGAAGGTCTTTGCTACAGCCATGAGTTGGCTCGCTCAGCTACCTGGCTACTCCCCGCAGTATCTAGTAGATTACTTCCCGTTCGGATCTGGAGATATCACGGTCGTCGATGTTGGCGGTGGCATCGGTCATATCGCCCGTGCACTCGCGGATCACTGTCCCACAGTTCAGTGCATTGTACAAGATCGCCCCGAGGTTATTGCCCAGGCAGAACAAGCTTTGCCGGTTTACCTCCAGGATCGTATCCGCTTCCAAGTCCATGACTTTTTCCAAAACCAACCGGTACATGGCGCTGATGTTTACTTACTGCGTCATGTACTGCATGACTGGTCCAATAAATACGCGCGGAAGATCCTGCAGGCTTTGATACCAGCTTTGAAGCCGGGGGCTAAGGTGGTACTAAATGATCGCATCATTCCCGGCTATGGAGAGGCACATTACTTGAAAGAGCGTGAAGCACGGTAAGAACGTTATATTCATTGGGGTTATGGGAATATGTACTGATTAAAAAAAAATATCAGGGACTACGATATGTACATGCTTGCTTTGCAGAATGCTCAAGAACGCACACCAGATGATTGGAAATATCTTTTTAGAGATACGGACTCGCGATTTAATGTTACGAGAATATCCCAGCCATCTAAATCATATCTGTCCATTGTGGAGGTAACTTGGGAGGGCTGATATGCGAAGAATTCAAGCAGACGGTGTTATTAGAGAATCTACCAAGTAAATTTCAAGACATCAACTAAACAATATGGACCCATCAAAATCAGGTTTATTGTAATTTTATGAGAGGAGAATATCAGGGAATTCATTTCTCCTCATGATATGCCTATACTTAACCGACACATGATAGGTAATAGGCGCTTTAAACTCCTTTTCTATGAGAAGCAACCTGTTCCGTTCTCGGCGAGCTAATTACCCGTGTTTACTTGCGCTAAAATCTTTTTATCCAGCGCGATGATTGTAACGACTACTCATCTAGGCTCTCTCATAGTTCCTTGAGTATTAGCACAGACTCTGTTGTGCCATTCGCTTGGCAGTTTCACGTAGTGATGCATGAGGCGTGTGACACGAGCTCATAAGCTCTAAGGGAATATACTGAGATGCTCGGTATGCTAAATCAGAGTGTGGATTCATATCTGCTGAAGGGACCGAGAGGAGAAAGAGCGAGGGAATCTACCTAACTGCTTGGGTCCCATGCCCAGCATGCCTTGGGTATCAAGGCACCCAGAACTCTTCTAGTTACCTATGTTATGGTGCATTTGTTCACCCTACTTAGTAAAGATCAGATCATGATGCATTGGTGACCAGCCACAGACCACCACCAAACTGCGCTGAATGATTACGAAAGCGAAGAAGCATTCGAGATATGGAGGAGGATTGATCAAGCGAGAGAACATTCTGCTCAACTGCTTTTAAAAAGCGATGCAATTGATGCTAACATTGCAAATATTGATGGGGAATTCCCACTGCATATGATTCTATAAGACAGATCAATATAAATATGAATGCAAATAGCAGCAGGCCTGACCACAAGCACAAGCACGGAGCATATCTACAAAAGTGCTGAAAAACAGATGTCAAAGCTGACGACAAGTAAAAAGACTTCTTAACAGATAGAGCGCATGGAATAAGCAATTGTGAATAGTCAACAAGACTGTTCAACAGCCTGACGCCCATTCTCGACTATCGAACTTTCGTATGCCTTTTCACGTCTCGTCCATCTTTCCGTATAGGGTTGCGAGCGACTAGAAAATCACTCGAAGCAAGGCTTTGAGAAAACCATCTTTTTTTGCTGCAGCCTTTGGAAATATTTTTCTAGTGTCGATAGTGTACTCTGTCAATGCCCTATGACTGGGAAACCGCTTGACTTTCTTTCCTGTCCTTCGGGAATCAACCAAGTCGACTAGATTGACATGGACCTTCGCAAGAGCCTTCTGGGATTTAGCATTATAACATCTGGGGGGAAATGAAAGATATAGTTATCACCTTTCGGCACTGAGAAATACTCTCGGTTGGACTCTGAACCTTCACTTCCACGCATAGCGCCTGCCAGCTCTCTAGCTTTGTCGCGTCGGTACCAAAGTGAGTGTCGAATTCAGATACGAGAAATTTCGCACGCTCGCTTCTGTATTTCTTCGAGCCTTGGCTCCAGTTCCTTTGAGATGCTAGGCGATCAAACTCGGCGATTGCGGAAGTTGATCTCGCAGTTTGAAAATCTGGGAAGCGAGAGAAATAGTTTGAGTTCTCCATCTTAGACTTGACTGCCGTAGTGTAGAAATTGCAAGGGAGATAGGAGGAAGATTGTTGAGTAGCATTTAGCTAGGGATCTTGCGGAATTTATAACTGAGTCACCCTAATGCATTACGTAGGTAGACTTGCGCCGCGGGCTTCAAACCCTGGTTGCCTCACTTTCCAGCGGCGCAGTGACAGGGGTCTGTAGGCATAGCACAGCAAAAGGTGAGGCTCACAACTGACAAATTATACAAACCACGCGCATCGGCGGGACCGGCGCTAATAAGATTTGTTGGGATCTTATGGTACGAGGAGAGGAGACAAATCGAGAGGGAAGAAAGGAATCTTGGATAAAGGAATCTTACGACTTGTTCCAAATTCTGTTCTCCATTACATATTTATTCAATGAGTGATCTATCTCAAGGTTGGGATGGGATCCTGGCCTCCTTCGGTGTTCCAAATTTATGCGAGTGCCATCAGCTAGGATTGGCCTCAAGGCAGACTTGGTGTCCAGTTGCGCAGTTCATCTGCAACATCATTGGTGTTCAATCGGAGCAATAGTGGCAGACCTTAGATAAAGGTGGACATACTTGAAGATTCAGTGACACACTTGTGGCTGCCTATCCGATATTGATGTAGAGAATTCTACAGAGCAGTATGATGATATTAAACTAATTGAGAGGTGGATTGTTGAATACTTCCTATATTTTTATATATCCGCTTTGTACTGCCCATCCACAGCATACTTCTGTAGTTGAATGGAGTCCAACCAATTCTACCTAGTTTGGAGATACACCCCAAAGTGCCTTACATTGCACTTATTTGAGAGCACTGCGGGGTTTGTGCTGCGCACTTCCTCATTTAGCGCTTATACCTAGAGGCCATTTTTATTTTCCCCCAAATCTAACCTCGCTTCATAAACCCGACACCTACCAACCATTTCAGCCATGGCATCATTAGACATGTAACACGAGTCAGTGATAAAGAAGTAGCACAGCCACTTGGCCAGCAAGGTGGGGGGATGCATTGTTTAGCGCCCACCTAGAGTGACGTGCTAACCTGGGGGAGGTTGAATTCGCTTCAATCGGTCGCCTAAATTGCCTCACTGCGCATGAGATGACCCTATAAGAACAGAGAGACAGGAACGCAATACTCTGCAATCAAATCTCCAGGTGGGAGGAGAGATCAGGGACTCAGGGACAACGCACGCATAATAGGACGCAGGTAGGGCTCCTGAATGTTTAGTCATTGGTTTTCTTCAACAATATCCGATATGGTGTAATTAGACTTCCGCAAAGCTCGAAAAGCCCCAAACCCGACCCGACCCGGCCCTTAAAAGGGTCGGGTTTCGAGCCTAAGGTTAAAGCCCATGGCGAGTTTCGGGCTTTAGGCTTAGGCCCACAGCTCGGAGTAGACCTCATAACCGCCCGTAGACCCGCACTTTTGCGGGCGGAGGGTAGTCGGGCAGGTTATCTTCTTACCCTCAGAGGGCGGCCCTCTAAATAGGATAAATAAGGAAATCCCTAGAGTTATATAAAATATACATTTCTTAGCTATATTTAGACCTAGCAGTGACCCTCCGGGTGGTCCATGATCTTAGACCCTCCACCCGACCCTCCGAGGGTCAGGGTCGCTCATAAGCGACCCTAACCCTAACCCTGACCCTCTAAGGGTCGCTCGCGGGTGACCCTCCACGACCCGTAGCGACCCGTAGCGACCCTCGGATACATAAATTTCGAGCGCTAAGCCTAATTAAGGTAGATAAAACTGCTTATATCTCTTAATAAAATATAGTTATTTATATCTATTTTGTCCACTAGATTATAATCACTAATTTATGACCATTTAAGTTATTAAATATTCTAAAATTATTTAATAATATTATATTTTAAGTATACTTCTCTTAGTTCTATACTTTTTTTATACTATACGACCGTAGGGAAGCGGTACTTAGTGAGGTAGAAGTAATTAGTCTATATTATAGTAGAATTATACTAGCGTAGCACTAAAACTGGTGCTGCGACGGTACTATAGCACTTGGTGCCGCAGCACCATATAATAGCACTAAAATTAGCTTAGTCCCGTAGCGCCTCGCAGCACCATATCGCAGCACCAAAATTGCCTTGGTGCTGCGGGACTTGTCAAGGCCTAGGGCACCTCAGCGGTAACAAATGGGCTTTCATTGGCTTTTTTTCCTTTGTCACCTCAGTGCTCGAACTATGGTGGCTGTGTGCAGATATCAGGAGACCGACCGTTTCAGGGGAGACGTTGCAATCCAATGGCGTTGTACTAATTCAGCTGAAAGGGCGAGTGCGAATAGCCTCGACTCCCTTCCTTTAAGAGCAATCAATAGAGCAGATTACAGATGATGTCAATGCGACTGCCTGTTCATGATTGTACCGCTGTCTTGCGCAACGTCTCGCCCGCTCTGTTGATCCAATACGCTTTGGCTATGCCACGCTTTGACCTTTACTTATGAGGCTGTACTCGAAAAACGTCTGAAGCCCAAGTTGGCGAACCGTTATCGTTCTTAGCAACTTGGTTGTGTGGAGCCTTTGGTATCCAAATTTAGCCTGTCGCTCAATCGATGCGGGCTGACTTTCAATTGCTTACCCCGCTCCGCTGTCATCGGTAGACAATCTGCTCTGCGCAGTCTTGCAATAATTTATGTCAAAGGTTCTGACCATCTACTCCTATCCAACTGTTTATCACCGGGATCAGCAATGAGTTTCGGCTACAGTACCGGCGATTTTTTGGCCCTTCTGGAGCTCGCAAACGAGTTGCGGAAACGGTTTCAAGATGCTCCGACCCAGTACAAAGATGTTTCAAATGAGTCAGTCTCAACTATGAGGTATTCTATTAGTATATACAATAACTCTTCGAGTTTTTAGCGTCAAGAAACTTTCCAATGTGCTCAGAGTCATCGAGGATTACGAACCTGAACGAAACTTGAGTGGTCCGCAAACAGGATCCCTGGAATTGCTTTCTCAAAGCTGCCATGAAGTCCTAGATAAGCTACGCGACAGCCTTGAGAAATATTCCCACGTGGTGTCTGTTGATCGCAGTGCAAAAAGTAGCATCCAGCGAGCATGGAAGAAGATTACTTGGGACTCAAAAGAAGCCATGTACTTTCACGAAAAGATAGACTCGCAAATCAATCACTTCAGCCTTTTCCTTGCTGAAAGTACTCTGTATGTCCTTGATTCCACCATGTCAAAAAAACACGCTCTAATAAGCACCAGCCAGGTGGTTCGAGAAACCAGAAGCATGGTGGCTTCTTGTACAAATGGAGTAAACAAGATACTTGAGGATGGGGATGGTAAGAAGCGGTTGAAGATGTTGAACTGGTTGTCCTCAAATAATCCCGAAGTCAAACACGCCAGTATTTGGAAGGATAGACAAGAAAATACCGGCCAGTGGTTCTTGAAATCGGACAAGTTCCTGCAATGGTTCGTTCAAGATTGCGGTACGCCTCAAGAACGGCGCACTTTATTTTGCTATGGAGATGAGGGAGCTGGCAAGACTTTCATATCGGCAATTGTGGTCGAAGAACTTCGACAGCGCTTAGAAACCGATGATACTGTCGGAATTGCGATTTTCTACTGTGATTTTCATGAACCGCCAACAGTCTACGAGATACTCTCAAGTTTGTTGAAACAACTATTTCAAAAAAGCACGTCACAGCTAAGCGGCTTGAAATCTCTTTATGATGCCTTGAAGAAAAAGGAAAGATACCCTACAGAAGATGAAATCTTAGGTCTTCTAGATTCAGCCATCTCGTCTCTCTCAAGAGTCTTCGTTGTTATTGATGCACTGGATGAATGCCGACGTTCTGGCGGATTTGAAGGACTATTGAGGAAATTTTTCTTTCTCCAAAAAAGACATAATCTGGGCCTCCTTGTCACTTCTAGATCAATTCCCGCCATTACTGAGCTTTTCCAAGGCAATCCATGGATAAGGATTCATGCAGATGATGAGGACGTCTCAATGTGCTTGCGGAGCGGTTTGAGAGGCTTTCCGGCTATCCAAAAAACACCCGGACTTCAGTCGGAGGTCATTGCCACCATTACAGAGTCATCTGATGGGATGTAAGTTAGAACTCATCGCGAATACCTTGCTTGTGCTTTCAACTCACTCTAAGAGTAATTTACGCCAGGTTTCTTCTTGTTAGACTTCAACTTGAATCCCTTCACGGGTACGAAGTTGCAACTGCAAAATCGATTCGCGACAAATTGAAGACCCTTCCGACTTCTCTAGAGAGTGCATACAGAGAAACAATGGAGCGCATCGAGGGTCAACCTGCCCTTCATACCAAGATAGCGAGACTTGTTTTGGCATGGGTCGTCTGGGCAACAAGACCTTTGAGATCACTTGAGCTGCTGCATGCCCTTGCCGCTGCGCTTGAAGAGGATAGCTTTGACGAAGACAATCTTTACAGGATAGAGGACATAATTTCCATGTGTGTAGGTATCATTACCATTGATGAGCAAAGCGACATTGTTCAACTACAACATTACACAAGGTATGAGTTTCTGAAGAATCACTGGACCGAGTTCTTTCCCGAGCCTCATAGTCAACTGACGACTATGTGCATCTCATACATGCGCCATGAGACACTTCAAGTTGGGAATACTGCCTCACATAGTCAGCTCAAAGACTATCTTGAACGATTCCCCTTTTTTGAGTACTCGGCCAAGAATTGGGGCTATCATGCACGGATATCCTACTCAAATGTGAGGGAACATGTCCACGCTTTTGTTCAGAGCGATATCGCCCTCCCTCAATCCCTTCGAGTGTTGTTTACCGATCGCTACTTTTCGCAAACCGGGCAATGGTGCTCAATTGCAGTCTCTCCACTGCATCCTGCGGCATACTTCGGCCTTGAAGAATGTATCCTTTACTTTCTCGCTAACCACGTTACTCGTGATATGAAGGATGATGGTGGTCAGACTGCATTGCACTGGGCTGCAAGAAATGGACAGGTGGAAGCAGCTGAACTGCTTTTGAATCATGGTCTTGAAGCCAATTTGGCGGACAAGAAAGGCAAAACAGCTTTACATTATGCTGCTGACCAAGATGACTCGCGTCTGATAAAACTTCTTGTACATTATAAGGCAGACATGGAGTCTACAGACATGGATGGCCAAACACCTCTTCTCACCGCGGTGCAAGATTTGAATCTTGAGCCAGCTCAGGAGCTTGTCAGTCTCGGGGCCTCAATAAAGGCTACGGACTCAATGCATCGCAGTGCGCTGCACCTATCAGCCCTTGGGGGGAGTCGCAGCATCCATATCACCAAATTTCTTTTAGCCAGGGGCGCTTGTTATGAGTCATGCGACGTTGAAAACATGATTCCGATGCATTATGCCATAGTCTAGGGATCTGAAGAGACCATCGAAGCTTTGATTCAAGCAGGAGCATGTGTGGACGCTGGTATCGTGAGGAAGAGATGCAAACGAATTGAAAAATCTGGCAGATGGAATTATGATCTTTCACCTGGAGACCAAAAAGCCTCGGGAACCCGGACTTCTCATGGCTTAACTCCACTTCATTGGGCAGCACTCATTGGCCACCCGGCAATGATCAAATATCTTCTTTTCAAAGGGGCAGATCCCAACAGGTGTTGTCAGGACGGCGACACTCCGTTGCACCTTGCCATCCGAGCAGATATCATTCGTAATTACAATGATGCTTGGAATTCATCTTCGTGGCGAATTGAAATCCTCAGTGATTTAGTTGAGGCTGGAAGTGAAGAGGCTGACGGTGCGCATCACCGCGTATCCGAAATTCGCTCGGCTGTAATCGAAGTTCTTCTCTCGCATCCTAGCATAGACGTCGATCTTCAGAACGAGCAACTACAAACTCCATTGCACCTGGTTGCATGTTGCAAAGATGTCTCGATGGTTTCTTTTTCAAGATTGATGAGCAAGAAACCCGATAACTCAATTTGCAACTACAAAGGACAAACTCCATTACATCTTGCCAGTGGCGCAGGGAAAGCTAGAATGGTTAAACATCTTCTCGCTGCAAGAGCATCAGTTGATGTTCTAGATTCCGAAGGATCAAGTCCCCTTCAATACAGTGTTCGCTCTGGAAAGTCTACTGCGGCTGTTGTCAAACTCTTACTAAAATGCTATGACAGGACTCAGTTGAATCCATGTACTCAAAAAGATGGGGCGGGCAAAAATTTGTTACATCACTATCTTCAAACAGACGCTCCCTCCCAAAAGCTAATTCTCACGTTGTTGAATCATGGCGCGAATGTGAATGAAATCGACACAGAAGGCAATTCCCCACTCAGCCTTTGTCTGCGCACGTCTAATTTGATATTTAACCGAGCCTCGATCTGTCGCTTCCTATTGAAAAATGGCGCTTCCATTTTGTGGACTGATGAATCAGGGAGAAATTTGGCTCATGTATCGATGCTTGCTTATCCTTGGATGCCGGTTGATGGAGTTCTCTCGACCCTGTCAGAGTTCGGGATCGATATCGCAGCGAAAGATTCAAATAATCGGGGCATACTTCATCACGGAGCCATGTATGGGTCGGTAACCCAAGGAGTTGTTGACCTTCTACGAAGGAGCGGGTCACTTAGCCTACATGATCGGGACAATGATGGTAGAACCCCTCTTTCATACGCGGAGGCTAAGCCGCATCTGAATCGGGGATTCTCACGGAACAGACGGGAATTGACTCTCGATGTTCTATTGAAGGCGGCCAATGGAGACTGAGGAGGATCCTGGCCGATTTCAATCCACTTGCTACTTTTCAACACCCGTGCAGTTTTATGGCTTTCTATAGATTGGTGTGGAGTGTAGAACTATCATTTGTCATGAAATGAAGGTATAATTCCAGATTGTGTACTTGCCATGTCACCCATGGGACTGCAACGAGCTTAGTCTATGTCGCCGTTGCCGAAAAATTAATTGATGTTCTCACGGAAACTGCGTATAAAATATCCGGCTTCATAACTCTCCTTTAACCGATTACACCTTGTTCAGCCTGCAGGGTGAGGCGGGTTTCACATTCAAACGAGGCTGTCTGCCAATAATTTTCATACCCGATACTCAGAGCAAGGTACCGCACAAATGACTAGCCTGCCCATCAACTTGATTCGTAACCACACCACAACGATGCTGCTATTCCTACGGAGCTGTATGTTGTTATCTACGGCCAGTATCATCACCACTGGATCAATTGAGCTCTGCTAGCCAGTCTTTCCATGTCTCGAGATAAAAGACAAAACGCGCAAGACTGACCAGCATGGAGGCACACACCCTGCACATGTCCAGTCCGCATAACTTGTTCCTAGCCCTTGTCTGTCTCATCCTTTTATGAATATTGATCATGGAAACAACGGGGACTACGGTCATAGGCGCCTTGATAATAAGGCCGCGACGCGTAGGTATCCGGGATCGGTTGCGCGATAGACTAGTGTAAAATCGAGGGAGCTGGATATTTCCGCGCGAATCAAGGCGCCACCTCACAGCTTTGTAGATCCGAAGGCCGTTTTGAGGGATCGATATGACCGCCGTGAACTATTGCGGTCATCGTCAAAATAAAACTGCCTATTTTAGTCGTATCAATTGCGCTTACTGAGCAAGTACCGGCTGACGCGAATCGCAGCCAAGTCAGTCTAATCAATCAATTGAGCCGAGTAATCCGATCCCGGTCATCTTCGGTTCCATATTGAGGCTAGCGCCCTTCAGCCAAGGCTGACGATAAGGCTCTCGCGCGGTGTCGGCCCTAGGGCAGATTTTCAGGCCCGCTACACAGGGACGAATATTCTGAAAACATGTAGGGCGAATGCGCCTGCATGCGCGGAGGCCAAATATAGGTCGGCCGATTGACACCTGACGCCGTGGTCGGGCCTGAGAAGGAAAGCAGGGCCGGAGGAGGGAGGGCAGTTCGAATTGCAGACGCGGGGTCGCAGAAAAGCCGACGAGTCACACATAGGGGAAAGGGGGTGGCGGAGCTCAGGAGCTCGGTGATCCGGATCAATAGTAAAAATGCCTTATTTGTGAGGCGTAGGGGAGAAAGCGAAAAAGAAAATCGGGGCTGTTGGATGGAGGGGGAGAGCAGGGGACCACCTATATAGAACCACGCACGGGGAGGCATAAGGACAAAGAACGCGAAACCTAAGGGGTCAAGACTAAACCTAACGGGGTAATTAACTGTCCCCCTCCGATATGGTGTAATCCAGGGGGACAGCGGAAAGACTACAATTGTGTGTGGTGTTGTGGGGGAGAATCGTGGTGTTTCCGTGTAGACGGTTTTATAGATCCAATTAGGACTAGTGGTGTATATCCCGCTGGGTTTAGTGAGTGCTGCATAACTATCATTAACCTGGCGGCTCTATTATGATTCATGGGCGATAATTAACTGATTGCCGAATTTAGAGATTCCCCTTAAATTAACTATTATTCATTTAGCTCGCAGTACTTGAGTTGTGTATCTTCCTTATTAACCTATCCAATTTACCTATTGAAGAGGGGAATGCTTGAGGCAGTGCACTCGCTGGTACACGGGTCGATTCAGCCGCTGCAATCCATGGCTGTGGATGCTAGAGGTAGAGGCCGGAGACGGCGGCTGCTCATCACTCAACTACAAGCTATTCTATACAACACAGACTATCGCGTGGGATCAAGCTAATGGCGTGATGCCTGATATTCACGTCCTAAGTTTGTCGACTGTCGTGTACGCGATTAATCCGACCTCGTTTGAGGAGATCACTTCCACCGAGTGGCTTCCGGCTGCCAGCACATGGTCTCGGTATGGTGGGTCTAAGGCGATGTTGCGGAGGATTATTCTTGTAGGAGAATAATCCGTCAGATACCGTACTTTTCGTATTCCGTCTCTCCGAGACTAGTGTCTTGTTTGTAGTATTTGTTCGTTTCTTCCCTCAGCGGCGAATATTTTCTTAGCGAGGGGACTTGCACGCTGGTATCCGGATATTTTGTCTAGTGCTGTGCATTTTGGCGCTGTCAACAGTGATTTGTATGGGCAGATCAACGCTCTCGATTCGCTTGTGAAGCATAGCACTGAGGCCGCGGTGTCTCTTTTCTTCAGGCGAATGTGCCAACGATCTCTAGTAGGGCTTTCAATTTCCTTTGGGCTGTTACTACCGTGAAAGATAACCTAGTTTCTGGCGCATATCATACTCCTCTTGGATATCGCAGTAAGGGTACTACCTTTGTTCAAAACCCCGACATCGCTAAGAAGCTTTAGGAGTGGACCACCCAGGCGCAGATTTCTAGCTCATTTTGACATCTACAACTAATTGAAATTCAAACCGGATATTTTGTACTTCCTGGCCCACGTAGTATATGAATATAAAAAGGAAACGACTACGAAAATGAAAATGAACTAATAATCAATAATCGATCCCCATCGCATCCCAAACATGGGTTGCCAGAAAAACCAAATCTTCCACATTGAGAACGATGTCCCTCTCCCGGGGATATTGAGCTGCCCTTCGCCAAATTTGACGGAAAGGAATCACTAGAGGTTCTCCCGAAACCGAAGCTACCCCGCGAGCTCCTGTGATTTCAATATGGCGGTTGACCCGTGGTCTTCCTATATCCGCATCCCATTCCCACTTATCGATTTTCAAGAGTGGTTGATCTCGCTTGGTCTTGATAGTGATCACGATATTGGCTTGACCTCCTGATGGGTCTACCCACATCCTCGCGTCGGCGCGAAGCTTCATCTCAGATTCAGACACTCCCACTTCCAAAACCACCGCGGGCCTACCAGATCCTTCACGTGGGCTTATCATGGGCGCCCAACCTTCATCTGGAACTTTCCAATTTGCACCCACGTTGACCTCCACACCAGCAAAAGACTCGAAATCGCGGCCAAGCCCCATGTCCTTGAGGGCCTCTTCGATGAGAGTATTCATTGCGCGGGCGGCGCAGCAGTGTTCCCTTGTGGTCATTTTGATTATGAGAATTTTCGCAAATCGATCGTACTCGTAGAAGAAACCCAGAGGGCCGTGATTTTTTCGATCAACAATTTCTTCTTGAAACGAGGAGGGCTCAATGAGAAAAATGATGTAGTTTGTGTTGTCGGTTCCGGGTAGGAGGGTATCACGGTGAGCAGGGCTCTGAAAATCAACTTCCTGGGAAGGAGCCGCCAGTGCGTGGTTCAAGTTCCGAAAACGTGCGGTCTCATAATCTAAAATCTTATGAAATTGTTGGCTTTCTCTGTAGATGTATCTAGGAACAGGTGGAGGTAGAGTCTCCAAAAAGAGCTCCGTATCATCGCCATATCTGGCAACACGGGTGTCGGATTCAACCATTTATGGCAGGATATGGTTTTCAAGGTTGTTTTATCGTCAATATTATTAGCACTTCATTCTAGTACAATCACATGTGAGATGCATGGATGAAGTTTGAGGATAAATGTTCTTAAATGCAAGTTAGCTACCTCATGATGATGTACCAAACATTGGGAGATACCACATACAGGCCATCCGTTTCAAAATTCAACTCCCTGCCAAGGGCAGCAAATAGACCTCAGGAAAGCCCACACAGCCCATAGCTCAACCTAGCCTAACAGCTATTCCGTGTCGCGTCCAGAATCGAACCAAACTTATAGTGTGCCCCTAGGAGATGGCAAGCACTGCCGTTAAACCTGGCACCTATCAATGCCCTGCCCGTTAAGCCCTTTTCTACCGATGGATTCTGGGAGAATCGTTGATGAAACCTTCTCGAAAACATTCATAGCTGTCGGAAGTGTGGGGTTAGGTCTATCCGGACTGTTCTAGGCTTTCAACGCTTCTATTGTAGTACACTTGCTATATTGATTCTTTGTTCTCTAACATGCTGGTGGATGTAGTGGTCCACTTGTCTAGATGAGTGTTGCTTGCTCTGTTTATTAACAGGTTAGTCAATCGTATTTTGCATTTTGGGGGGTGCTATTGCTATCTATTCGAGTGTAGATATGCTCATCACTAGTGTTGATAACGGCCGATTCCATCCAGTAAAACCATGTACATTGTAATAGTGTAACATGTGAAGACAAATATTGGAATGCTTTTAAATACAGTCACAAAGTCCATGAAACATTAATCAAGGAAAGCATAACACAATATGAAACAGAAAACCATCGGATACAGTCAAGGCTTAAAGGCTATTTTCAAACATTCTTCTTAGCCCTCTTCTCTGCTTTGCCTTTTGGTTCAGGCTTCTTTGTATTGTCTCCCAGCTTTTTCTCAATCTTCGCTCTCTTGGGCTGCCTCTTCTTCTTTCTTGGGTGGGCATCCTCATCTGAGGAGAACGTATATCCGTTCAACCCTACAGGGTCTTCCACGAAAACGCGAGCTTTCCCGATAATCTGTCCCGTAAGTTTTCCTTCTTGGTCCCATCCTCCGATTTGATAGAAACATTGTTGAAGGATCGCGAGCACTTCGTGGCCGTTAAGCCTAGGCTCACGTTCCCCGAGCGAGTGGTGATGTGCTGCTCGAATTACCTCCGACTTGTTTTTGAACTCCCTTGGAATCTCATCTAAAAGTCTCCATCTCAGATACGGCTGCGATGTGTTCAAATCCTTTGAAAATTCAGGTACTGCATAGTATACAGCGCCGAGGCTTGACTTCAATTTGTTTTCATCTCCCTCTTTGAGTAGGTATCGAAAAGTCTTGCCTTCAAGCCTAGCGGCAGCAAACGTATAGGCCTTAGCCTTTCGAAGGGCCTCGTTTGCATACGGCCGCACAGAGGGCTTTTCTATGTGTGCCAATATATATATACAGAGCGCGTGTACTTTCAAGCCTTTGAATAAAAAGCGACCAAATCGCTTATGTTGGCACGCGTGGCCCAACACTTCTCCAGAACTCACAGCGCTTACCACGGCCACCTTCCCACTTCGATGCATCTGCCAGGCTGAACTCATTCGTGACACCAGGTCCTTCCTGAAGCCAGTAAGAGAGGCTATCAGTAACTTCCACGTAGACCGTTGTTCCACCCGTGGTGTTCAAGTTCATTAAGACAGGTGATCTGCTATTCCATTTTGGCCAGGAGATATCTCCGTGAACACCCTCAGGTACGGTAGCATTGTCTGCACCACCCTTTGCGTCGGTTATGGAGATGACTGGAGTATCATTAATGATAAAATTGCCCCAAATCTTCTGGAAGGCATCGATCAAACCACGAGTAGGCGTAGTCGTCCCAACTGAGAAGTATGCACTTAAGTCTGCCCCGTGGTACGAAGGAGTGATAGAGTACTGATATTTCCAACTCTCCTTGGCATTACCTCCAGCGAAAGCATCCGCAAGCCAGTAAGAGGGACAGTCAAAGGATGATTCAGCATATATGTTGAAGACTGTCTGTTGGAGACCAGTTGCCATTTCTGATTGGTTCAGAGCGGTTGGACCACGATCACCCAGTGTGTCGTATCGGGGCCCAGTGTTTTCTGGAGAGCTGTCCTGGAACTCGTATATATCCAACAGGCGAGAATAATCACGGCGAGAGAACAAAGGGAAAGCAGAGTGGACATAGCCCAGGAAGTCGGCAGTGCTGTTCACAAATGGCGGACTAAGCGGGACACCCTCATTGGCATTGTTCTGGAAGGGTTAGCATATATGAAGCCTATATGATGGCACGAGAATTTGGCCAATGGACTTACCCCAGATAAAACTCGCTTGCCGCTCACTTTCTTTTGGAGTAATTGCTTAGACGGGAGTTCCTGAATAAAATCGCCGTCGACCACAGGTAGGAATGCCCAGGTACCCCATTCTCCTGAAACGGAGACATTTGCACTGGCATATTGCAATGTATCGGTGTCGGCTTTGACAAGGCAGGCAAATACCGCTGCCTCAGACATATGACGCCCATTGCGACACCCTGCTCGTGACGCAAAGTCTTCATAGTGGCTTGTCGGCACTTTACCATCGTACTGATGCAAGGCCGTGGAATAAGGGCTGGCCGCAATAACCTACGCAAGTTAGCCATACCGTCTCGGATTTCATAGCGCTGTAACTTTACGTTGTTGAATAAGTGATCCTCACGACCACCGTAAGCCATTGATTGTAGCATCACTGAGCCGGCTCCAGAAGATTCGCCGGCGATCGTGACGCGGGAGGCATCACCGCCGAATTTTTCGATATGCTCCTGGACCCATTCGAGGGCGAAACGCATATCAAGCAGACCTGCATTGGTCTTCCCGTGCTTGTGTACGCCTTCTGATGACAAGAAGCCAAAGGCCCCTAGTCGGTACTGAATCATAACTGAAATGAACCCGTTGTCATTCGTGCTGATCAACTCACTGGGGTCATATACGGCCCCAAACAACCCATATCCACCACCATCTATAAATGCTTAGAATTTGCTCTTTCGGTCGAATCCTTTAATATTTGACTTGTGCATAGACTTACGAATCCAAAGAAGGACAGGAAGATCTTTGGCCCCGGGCGGAGCATACACATTCAAGAACAAGCAATCCTCATTGCCCAGGGCTGAATTGAAGCCATATACTTCTGGAAGCTTCGCACCACCGGACTGTGGGCAAAATGGAGGCTGTTTAGTGGCAGGTTGAATAGATTTCCTGTTCACTGGAGGGGCCTGTGGCGCTTGCCATCGCAACTTTCCAACGGGAGGGGCCGCATATCGAATCCTATCAGAAAATAAGTAAAACAGAACGCTTCCTCAAAGCCAAATGCGGCATGTTTCTCACCCCTTGAATACATTGAGGTCATAGGTGTTGTCATGGTATCCCTGGTAGGTGGCGTAGCCTAAATCAACCACAGGGGTCGGTGTTTGGACAGGAGTAGCTAGAGCAGCCGGGGCAATGGTGAGAGCCAGAAGAACAATGCTGCCTATCCCTGTGAAACTCATAATAACTACTCTTCACGTTCAAAGGGTGAGGGTTAGAAAGGAGGAAAGGAGGTTATTCTATTATTTCTATTTGAGTCGTGAACATACCTGGAGCCCCTAACGTAACTCGTAAGCGGATGGACTGGCCCCGGGTGTGATCCGAATCCCCATTGTTTCCCCACTAATTAAAGGGGTATCTATATAATATAGACATTGTAAATATAAAACTACACACTATGAATGATTAGTGCTGTTAGTGTCGAATTTAGCCATGAAATCTTGGTTAGTGTAAGCGACGCAGATCGTGATTGATCAGCCTTTATCCACAGCCACAATTACCACAATATACAATGTTCAAAAGTACTATCTGCACGGCACGCAGTAGTAACATGGGGGCTAAGGCCATCCCGAGCACCATACTAATGGAGTACTAATTAATTACTCCGTACTCCTTAGCGTAAGCGTCAACATTCATCTCACGCATACAGTCGAAGTGTTTTAGAAACACTTATCCCCAATTCCTCTCCATGGGCTCACCCCTTAGACTTTCACTCATTTACGCCGAACCCGACCATAATGGCGGGGAAGTCGATCTGAGTGCGTCGCGGGTTACAATCGTGACTGTGTTATATTCAATTCCTATTCCATTCATGATTTTGTTCACCGGGCTCCGGCTTTTCGTCGTACTACGACCCTCGTCCAAAAATCCTATAAACTTTGATGATTATATGATTATTTTTTCTACAGTCTGAGCCAACATTTCTTTTCCTTTCCTCTTTCTTTTCTCTCCGATGATCACCTTCTAATACTGCTATGTATAGGCGATATCAGTTGGGTTATGTATAAGTGGTTTGGTTTACGGTAGGTTGTTATGTCAAGATATGTATTGACCCATAGTTATTGAACTTTATTATAGGTCCACCCTATGGCTTTGGTAAACATCAAGCTATTCTTAGTGCCCAGGAAGTCGAGGGTTTCTTTCGGGTGATTTCAAAAATCTTCATCATATTAGTTTACACACTAAACATGCTGAATTATTAGGGCGATTATGTCTTCAGCCATTTCTACGACTGGGCTATCGCATGCATTAAGCTTTCGATTCTTGGACTTTACTATCGAATTTTTAGCACGGTTATCTTTCGCCGAGTTGTCATTGGCACCGCAGTCTTTATAATTTGCTGGCTCGCGGCCATGGAGATCGGTCTAGGACTAGAGTGTATCCCCATTGAGACAATCTGGGATCCAGATGTGACGGGTACCTGTATAGATCTGGTGGCATTCTCCTACTTCACCAACATTACAAACCTGGTCACCGACGTATGGGTGTTTCTTCTCCCTCTACCGATAATCTTCAGACTACACATTAGTCGAAGGCGGAAATTTGAGATCGCATGTGTTTTTGCCGTTGGTCTATTGTAAGTCACATCAGGTCTACATCCGCTCTCTGAAAGTTTCTTCTGACATGTGTAGCACATGCGGCGTTACCCTGGCTCGCTTAACCGTTGTGGTCTCACAGGGGTCGTCGGACTTCACTTGTACGTCCAGATAAATGTCTCTACGATGTAATATTCATATGGCTGATAAAAGTTCTAGGGGCTGGTGTTCCTCTCGGAATTCTGTCTATATACGAGCCACTTTGTGGAATCACTTGCGCGAATCTCCCCTTTCTATACAAACTAGCAAACGGGCACTTCAAGAAATCTTCTTCTCACCATCCCTCTCATACAGGGGAGTCAACCTCCGGAGCAGGATATAGAGCTAGGCGAAATAGCTCAAAGAGACATGGAAGATCACCGAGTATGCACAGTGAAGGAATGATGCTCTCACGGAAGGGGAATGATTCGACAACATTGATTGTGACACGATCTAATCAGAATCCCGAGATAGAGCTGTCGATGGTGGACAGATCGTATTCCATGTCTCAATCAGATAGCCATGAAATATTAGGGAGGTAAACCACCTATTACTCTCAACCTGCAGCCTCTCAAAGTGTTTACATTATCGACGCTCTCATGGAAAATCTAGAGCCAACCGGGGTGCTAAGGTCAAGACCTCCTCACAAGGGCCCCCAATTGACCCATAGGTTAAGTCTCCCCAATATTCCCAGTGGCAAGAAGTACCAGCCTAAGAGTTGAAGATTGAGGTGATTTGGCTTCCAAAATTGGCAACGCTGCTCTCCCGTCTACGCTAGTCCTTTTGAGGTAACATGGCCCCATCGCGCCAGCCTACGTATAAGTCCCTGGAAGCATGAGATTATTTCTCCGTTTTTAAGAGTTTTTATCAATTCGATATATGCCCTACTCTAAATCACCTCTAATATCTAGATCGCTCGTAAGTCCCGTAGACAAAGTCTGGTGCTAATAAATAGTACTTGCTTATCATCTTTCTATGGGTCTTTTTTCAGGTCTTTTCTAGCGTCTTTTAGCATATAATTGCTAACTATCCCCTAATATTGTTAGCGGGCCACCTTTGATAGCTATTTCTAAACCTTTAAGAGACTCTATATATGCATAAATGTTGGTGGCAGCTGGTTAGTCTGCTGGCGAAACACCCGGTTGGCGAGATGGACCTAAAAACCAGCCGTACTGAGGGCAACAAATTAGGAGAAACCACAATACTTCCATGAAAGACTAGCTATATTTCTATTATTTTTCTTTGAAATTAGTACAATTTTTACGTGGGATTATGCGATTTGGAGCAGGATGTGGTAAATTAAAGTCCAAGAGGAATAGGCAAGAACAGATCCTAACTACTTTGAGATGAATTCCGATCACTCAACCCTAGCCTATCTTCAATAACCTTGACTATCTCGGTCCATTCCAACATAGCACCACTCCCCACGTCCCCACAAGCCAACACCTTGGACGACTGCGGTCGTAGAACCTCAAACCAACCCGTCTCCTCTCCCGTATGCTCATCTTTTTGAGCCCCCCATTCTTCCTCGAGCACTCGGATATGCTGAGCCGTCACTGGGTGCCGCCACATAGCCGTATTCATAGCGGGCGCAACTACAATCCGTTTTCTTCTCCCGTCAACCTGCCCATCTGTATCCCACGCCCGACATACAGACGTCAACAGGTTATCGCTAAGTCCGTTTGCGAGCTTGGCTAGGGTATTTGCGGAAAGAGGAGCAATGACAAGGATATCTGCCCAGCGTCGGAGGGAGATGTGCAAGATATCAACACCGCGGCGCCAGGGCTCTGGCCCCCACTCTGCGTCATCGTCGTAGACGGCTTCCACGCCAGGGAGGGAAATGAGGGACGAGACGGGGGGCTGTTCGGCGGACTGGCCAGCTAGAAATTGCTTGGCTTTGGTGGTGAGGATTACTCTTATTGAGAGCTTGTGGATATGAGGGGAGAGGGCGCTGATGATATTGGCTATTTTGATTGTCGCGACTGAGCCAGTTGCGGCAAGGAGGAGGTGAATGCGATTGTCACAGATTGATGTCTTTGATTCTGTGGTTTTGTTTGAGGCGTCAATGCCACTGTCGGGGTGGGTCATTTGAGACATGTCTTTGGATATAAAGTTCTCGAATATTTCAACTTTAGCACATGCAGTTCTACCTAGGTAGTTATGGACATGAGATCGGTCTGTTTGCGTTGAGAAAAGTGGGGTGATAAGAGCTTATCGATAAGAATTCTACTATTTTTATAGTCCGTAGCTTAAAGTCGCTCTTGACGGAACCCAGCATCTTTTATTTGTTTTTCTTAACTAGGATGGGCTAAGCTTCTCGGTATATAATAAAATGGCCTTGGTATCGATGATATTCCCATTAGTACGATGAGTGTCATTCTTTTGTTAATTACACTCATTCGAACCTTCACGCATCTCGAATAATATATAAATCACGCCCGAGAAGAAAAGCATAACTCTCGTATGCTCCCTATACTGCAACAGCGGCAAGCCAAGCAAATCAAGTGCTCTTCTTGGCATTCTCACGCTCAGCCTTACGGAGAGCACGCTTCCGAATGCTCTCGTGCATAGACTTGTTCTGCCCAAGAACAAGTTTACCCATAGTGCCAGAAACAGAAGTCAAGAACCAAGCCATGATACCATGACTCCAGTAGGGCGACGAGCTGTAAGCGTAGGTAGGCGAGCCACCACTGCGACCAATTTTGGTGAGAACAGAGCGAACGAAAGCGCGCGGGGTAGGGATAGAAGCCGAGGCGCGACGGATCTTAGACATAGCAGAGGTAATCAGGTAGGCTTGAACGAGTTCCACATCAATGCCATAGGGGGCCAACTCGCCACCAAGAGCAGTAGACCAGTGCTGAAGGAAAGCCTTGCTGCCGGAGTAAGTGGCGAGGAACGGAGTAGGCAGGAGACCGCCGAAAGAACCCATGGTCAGAATCAAGCCGCGGCGACGCTGCATCATGCCCGGAACAATAAGCTGAGTGACGCGCAGCGTGCCGGTGCAGTTGATGGTCACGATATCGGCCATCTCTGCGGCGGGTGTCTGCGCGAATGGAACGGGGATCGAGTGGCTCAGGCCGACGTTGTTGACTAGCACGGACACGTCCAGATCGGAGACCAGTTCGCCCAGCGCCTCGAAGTCGGCATCGGCGTTGCGCGCGAAATCCATTGCGAGAGTCTTGGTCTGCACCTGCGGGAACTGCTTGCTGATATCCTCGGATAGTGTTGCTAGCTTCGACGCGGTCCGCGATACGAGCACGATGTTGAATTTCGACTTGGCCAGTTGCAACGCGAATTCCTTGCCCAGACCGTCTGACGCGCCGGTTACCACGGCCCAGCTACCGGGGGGACCGAACGAGCGAAGCTATTCAATTATTTTCGTTAGCTTCATCTTCTTAATTCGAGGACCTGGATATCGAATTTCATACCGGTTTACCCGGAAGCACGAACAGGCTGAGAAGCACCCGCACGAACGTCCAGACCTTGCAGGCAATTACCAGCCCACCAGTCGCCAGGAGGAACAGTGCCCCATAAGTAGGCAATCCCGGGCCAATATGGCTTGGCCATTGTGAGATACACTCAATATGCTTTGAGATATCCATAATGAGCAAAGAAACGTGAATAACAAGGAGGTTGACAGAAGGAGGAAAAAAAGTTGAGCAAACCAATGCGAGAGACTTGTTGGGATCAACGCCAAGATTTCCAAACATCCTCGGCCTCTCCAAGTCAACAAGAAAAACAAACCCCCTTCAACCCAAAACAAACCAAGACTCACTCAAAATGGACCAATATCTCGCCTATTTCCCCCAATCCGAGGGCCTCCTGCCCAAATGGCTGTTCTTCGTAAGTTCTGCTCGTGTCCCCCAATCGCTTTACTACTGCCACTCCGAACCCCTAACTACCAATGCCACCATTCCCCAATTCAACTAACCACCCACCTCTATATACAGGTTTCGGTCGTCTCCGCTCTTAACAGTGTGCAAGCCTACATTGCGCCGAAATATACCTCCCAACTCTACAGCAATGGCAAGGTCCCCGCAAGCCCGCTCTCCGGCCGCGTCTTCGGAACCTGGACTTTCCTCTCTGCAGTCATTCGCATGACCGCCGCTTACAACATCACAAACTCCGTCGCATATGACCTTGGCATGTGGACTTACGGCATTGCGCTGACACATTTTATTGGCGAGCTCATCTATGGCGATGCCGCGATCGGAGGCCGGTTCTTGAGTCCTTTGATTGTTGCGTCGTCTTCGCTGGCTTGGATGTTCACCCAGCGCGCGGCATACCTGGGTTGAGTCCTTGAATTTGGCAGAGGAGATTATCTGGCTTCAGGGGATGGTTCAATGCAACACATGGAACCAATAGCTATGGAGGAACTGAGCATTGCATGATGCACAACCATGTACAACATACGCTTCGGCACAAAAGCTTTGGCGGGGAAAATAATATATATGTATATTATAAGAGGAAATATCTTCAACTCTGGTATAACCCTATCCCGACATCATCACTTTCTTTCCTTTTTTCTTATTTTTATTCCGAGATCCTTCACGAATCAATCTTCTTCCTGTACAACTCACCACCGCAAGCGCGCAGCTTAGCAGCAGCTTGCTCAGGCGTGATATCACGTTGAGGCTCCGCCATAAGCTCATAACCGACCAAGAACTTGCGCACGGTAGCGCTTCGCAGCAGAGGCGGATAGAAGTGCAAGTGCAGGTAGGAAGCCTCAATCTCCTCCTCGGTACCATCAAGTGGAGCCTGGTGAATACCCATACTGTAAGGGAAGTGCGTCTCGAAGAGATTATCATAGCGACGGGTAGTCTCCGCGATCGCCTCAGCCAGCAACATCTTCTCGGCCTCGGACAGATCCACCAGCGCGCGCTTGTGCGTGCGGCTGACAATCATTGTCTCAAACGGCCACGTCGCCCACCACGGACAGACAACCAGGAACGCCTCGTTCTCAAACACAACGCGCTCCTGCTTGCGGCTCTCCAGCGCCGCATAGTCCTCGAGCATGTGGTTACCACCGTGTTGCTTGCGGTACTTGGTCAGCTGCTCCATTTCGGCGGCGGGTTCTTCGGGCATTGAGCTGGTCGTCCAGACCTGGCCGTGCGGGTGCGGGTTCGAGCATCCCATCGCCGCACCCTTGTTCTCGAAGATCTGCATGTACCGATACTGCTCCTTTGGCTTGGTGGCGCTTGTTGAGTGGGATGTGGGCTGCAGGGTTGTTGCGGGGGCGTTCTTCACTAGCGGCGAGGTCGGGGACAGGTGTGCTGTGTAGATCTCTGTCCAGGCGTCGATCACGGGTACGATCTCGCGAGGCGCCAGATCGGCGAGGGTGAGGTTGTGCGCGGATGAGAAGGTGAGCACGTAGCACTTTCCGGTTACGGGCTCGGCTTTGAGGAATCGCGATTCGAGTTCTGTGGTTTGTGAGCTCGGAACGTATGGTGCGGATGCGCTAAGCGGTTGAACGTACCATCCTGGTTTGAGGGCTCGTAGGCCGCTTGTTCTTCCTTCACTGCGCTGTAGTCGTTCACAAATACGAAAGTGCTCTCATAATTGGGGTTGGTATCGCCCTGAGCGCGCTCGTTCCCGGGACAGAGGTAGCATTTGGGGTCGTAGTTAGGGAGGGTAGTCTTGGAGGGGCTCTCTTGCGCTCCTCTAAATTTTATGATTAGCTGATTTGTTGCGCAATCCCGTTTTCTCACAACAATACTCACTGCCAGGGACGCTTGGTTCGGTGTGGAGAGACCAAGATGGAGGAGCCACGGAGGGGGTTATATCTCCGGTGGGAGATGTCGTCGAGTACGTTCTCCATTGCTATAGATTGGAGTGATCACAGAGGAATGGATTGGAGAGATTATAAGAAAAGGGAAAAGAAAAAAAAGCGAAAATAGTTGAAAGGGTCGAGGTTGGACTTTGGTGGGGAGGCGGGGTTTCCGGAGTAGAAATTCAGGTTACAGTTAAGCGACGCCAAGTGCTATATAAGGCGGATCTCGCCTAATATAAATATTGAGGCTAATATCGTGAAGTTGTACAGACAATCTACGTATAGAACGTCTTGGCATGTCTTTTTTTCTCGGTGAGCCGTCCAGGAATCGGGATCCCGCAGTTTTCCGGGGAAACATGCGCCTTCGGAAGAACGGGTTAACCTGAATTCAACCCAAAGAGGCAATTCAGTACCGCAATTCAATCAAAATCCCCGGTTGTAGTCCCCACGTGGTGGATTGACAGTGGACTGGCACACTAAAAAGCCCAAAAAGGAAATTTATGCCCGCCCTCTCATGGTATGACGTATCTTATCGCTTATCGCCCGGGGCTATCCGGGCCGTACAACCTGGGATTCTCTAGGGCCGTTGTATTGTCGTACAAGATCAACACTCAGTGTAACTCACATAAACTTGTTACCTGTTGTATTAACCTTTAAAGTATACTAACATCGATGGCCTCTCTTCCTAGCTTGAACTCAAATAATAATCAACCATCACTATGAACCCCAACTCCGCAGTGACCTTGGACTCGCTACCCAACGAAGTATGTCCACAGAGTATACTCTGGTTCAATAACTCTAAATATATCTCTAGATATTCGTCCAAATCCTATCCGACTTCTCAACTCGGGCACTACTTCCACTCACATCAGTCAACCACCGATTCCATGCCTTGGTCCTAAGAATCCTCCACTACCGTCTGCTCCTAAGCACACCACTCAAGGAATACGAATTACTGCTGGAATGTTTTCACCCTAGCTCAAAGCTCACCGAGCCGCACCTCTTTTGCAAATACCTCGGTACGGATGGACTGAGCGAGCGTCATGATGGCGCAGGTTCGTTATACGAGAATGTCGATACAGCCCACCAGCTGGGTAGAGTGACAAAGCTATATTCTCGCTTCCGTCCAGAGGTAATCAAACACGAAGAACAAGGCACAAATGGCCCCAAGTTCGGTTTCTCGCCAGGTAGGATGCTTCTGTTGTCCGGGGTAGTGGGGTTCATACGGGCTGACATAAATGGGGGTCGAGAGGGCAAGGGAGATGATGCAGTGATACGTGAGGTTACTTTAGATGGATATGAGGATTTCTCACAGTTATGCGTGGTCGCCAATCTAGTGCAAGTCAAGCCGGGGACGTCGTTGCTGTTGAGTGCATCGACTATTGAGGACGGGGTAATTCGGTTATGGAGAGAGTGGTTGCGTGATCAAAGTGGAGAGATAAAGAAGACTTCGGAGACTGACTTGGAAGAGGGCTCCGAAAAGGCTTCGGTGTGTTCCGATGAGGATATACTGTGGGTGGATATAAGCAAAACCGTTGGGCTGAAAATGCGTGTGCGGCCAAAGGCGTGGGATCCGTCTTTCCCAGTGCTTGTACATCAGGATGATCGGAATGATGAGTCTTGGGTTGGGTATGAGATTATTTTGCAAGGTGAGTTGCTGCTACCGTTGAGAGGATCCCGTATTGACTTGATAGAACTACACATCCGCTCTACGCGCTTGCTGCTAGCTGTCGAGCAGTCGAAGGAAGAGCAGAAAATCCATCGAACTAACGCAATAGTGATTGGGGCTGCCCCAATCTTAGTATCTTGAGTACGAGTGGATTAATTTGTTTCATGGCAGCATGTAATAAAATTGTACATGGCAAATACTATTAGATAGTTTCGGCGAATCAAAGGCAAAGACATTGGAATGTATGTGAATGGACTATGCACTTAGATAGTATATAACTAGTTAACGTAAAGTGACCATCAGGGCTCACCAAATATCAGGTAGCAATATCTGGGTATTATATATCTCCTTAGCCATCGGTGTGTAGATAATTCATTACCAAACCCCTTTTTGCCCTGAGAATGAGTTCTTTGGTGTGCATATAAAGATATTATGTACCTGTATTTATATCTGCCAAGCCATCCAAGCCTTCGGGAAGCCGTAAAAATGGCGTTCGGGCCGACGTTTGGGCCAGTCAAGTTGCTCCAGGGCTCACATTGGACTCCACTGAAAATTTGTGCAAAGGGGTATCTAATTGCCGAGATAGCTTCCATGTAGAGACAGTGGGGGAGCCTTGAAAGGTCTGATTATTCGATTATTAATAATATATTGAGCCGAATAACACCGAGGCTGCTTTCGGTTATGTTTTATATTTCCTTTTCTTATATCCTAATATTCTATTCTCGTCGATCTTGCTGTTCTCGCCATATCTCATATAGATATATACTACAGGTTCACCTGATTGTATAGCTCCTGGTCCGAGCCCAGCATGACAGTTCCCACCAACGGGAGCGAGGCCATGCTGCCTTCCAAAATCCCTTTCTGGCGCCTAATCTTCGATCAAAAGATCGTCACCGAGGAAGTCATGCAATTTCCATACACAGGCTCAGGCACTGAAGAGGACCCATACGCCGTGGTCTGGATCCCTGCCGACCCACGCAACCCCATGAACTTCCGCCCGATCAGGAAGTGGTCTATCACACTCCTAGTATCATTCGTGACTCTCGCAGTGTCATTGGTCTCATCCGCGTTCTCAGGCGGAATGAGCCAGATCATGGAGGACTTTGATGCTTCCCAAGAAATCGTCATCCTCGGCGTATCGCTCTTTGTGCTCGGATTCGCTATTGGGCCATTGATCTGGGCGCCCCTTAGTGAGATCTTCGGCCGGAGACATATCTTTACCATCTCCTTTATGTTTCTCACCGTATTCAATGCTGGTGCGGCGGGTGCAAAGAACATCGAGACACTCATTGTATTGCGTTTCCTGGCGGGTTCCTTTGGATCTTCGCCCTTTGGAAATGGAGGCGGCACTATTGCAGACATGTTCCCAGCGTCTCAGCGGGGTATTGCTATTAGTCTTTTTGCTGCTGCCCCCTTCCTAGGACCGACACTAGGCCCTGTTATTGGAGGATTCCTCGCTGTCGCTGCTGGGTGGAGGTGGGTGGAGGGACTCCTTGCTGCGTTCTCGGGTGTGCTCTGGCTATGTATCATCTTCTTGTTACCAGAGACATATGCGCCTGTCCTCCTACGCCGTCGCGCAGAAAAGATGTCTGCTTTAACTAGCAAAGTCTATCGCAGTCAGTTTGACATTGACCGTGGCCCGGCTCCTATGGGCAAGACGCTGAAGACCGCGCTTTCCCGCCCTTGGATCCTGCTCTTCTGTGAGCCAATTGTGCTGCTTTTCTCCATCTATATGGCAATTATCTATGGCACACTCTATATGCTCTTCGCCGCCTACCCAATCGTCTTCCAAGAAGTCCGCGGCTGGAGCGAAGGCGTCGGGGGTCTCGCCTTCCTCGGCATCCTCGTCGGCATGGTGATGGCCGTTGTATACACATTCCCGGAGAATTTCCGTTACGCCAAAAAGTGCAGCCAGACCACCGACCGACTCGCTCCCGAGCTGAGACTGCCCCCAAGCATGGTAGGAGGCATAGCCCTACCAATCGGCTTATTTTGGTTCGCCTGGACCAACTCACCTAATATCCACTGGATGGTCTCAGTCGCAGCAGGAGCGCCCTTCGGTTTCGGCATGGTTCTCGTCTTCCTTAGCGTATTTAACTACCTCATCGACTCATACACGATCTTCTCTGCCTCCGTGCTAGCAGCAAATTCCGCACTCCGCTCACTGTTCGGTATGGCCTTCCCACTTTTCACAACCTATATGTACCACAATCTGGGCATCCACTGGGCCTCGTCGATTCCCGCTTTTTTGGCGCTTGCGTGCGTGCCCTTCCCGTTCATCTTCTATAAGTACGGGGCGCGCATCAGACAGCGCTGTAAATACGCTTCTGAGGCGGATGCCTTTATGCGCCGCCTTGCCGAGAGGAACCAGGCAGCGGCCCGCCGTGAAGAACCTAATTCGGAGAATGAGATGAAGACAGACTCGGTGGTGCAGGTATCTGATGAGGACTCCAGTGATACTGATACTTTGTCTACGGTTCCGTCTCGTGGTACGGTCGCACGTTACGCATCCCGCGCGTCTCGACAATCTGGGCGGTCTTTGCATCGTGTTGCGACTGCGGCGCAATACGAGGAGAACCCTTATGACTTGGATCTGGTCAATACTCGACAGTCGGCCATCAGCCGCAATGATTGAGTGAAGGGTTCTGATTACCCTTCATGCTCTTTGATTGCCCACGAATGCTTCGTGCGATCCCGACTCAGTACCGTATCAATGTCATCGGACCATCCCAGGATAAAACAGAGACTGTTCTTGGTCTGGTCAACCGACAAGACCACGAAACCCCTAGGCCGTGCCTGACACTGGGTCCGCACGAAGCACGGCCTGGGGATCTCCAGTCTCTTTGGAGGTGAACCTCAAAAAAAAAAAAAAAGACTTGATTTTACGTTCAGATACCCTTGGATTCCAACCAAATTGGAGTCGATACCTAGCCATGCTATTTTGACATGTGTTGGACCGCTGCATATTACAAAATCATTAGCTATTCAATATACCCTATTTTTAATGCATTTAACAAGCCATGTCGGCTTTCAACTTACTTTTTTTCCAAATAAGAATCTAATATAAAATTCGACAGCAAATAGTCGACGGTTTGGGTCGAACGGGGAAATTAAATGATCACTCATCATCGTGGGGAGGCCTCGGTCCATCCCCACCTCGGCCCTAACCTCCATGCTATAATCAACTCATCTTTGCTGGTTTAAGTATACTTGCTGGTTTAAGTATACTTACTGGTAATACTGGAATTAAATAGGATCTTACCATCCATAATCACTCGTCATGTCTGGCAAGATTGACGCCTACGTTGACTGCGGTATGCAAGCCTTCAGTTCCACCCCCTGTACTCCGTACCGCGCCTTGGATTCCACTCGCTAAGTACCGTTTCGACAGTATCGCCCTACTCATACTATGCAATACTTTATCTACGAAAAAACCGCAAAGCTCTAGAGTCGCATGGGGTCGAGGTTGAGTATGTACATCCCTTGTTGATACATGGGATATGTACTAACTGGACAGATTCCACCCGGTCTTCTTAGGCGGGATTAATGTTGGCTCAGGTATACATCATCCCAGATACCATTCGGATTTTTATATTAGCTCCCAGAGTTACTCACATTTGGAACAGGGAATAAACCCCCCTGGACCCTCCCCGCCAAAGCAGCATACTCCAAATTCGACTCAGAGCGAGCATGTAAATACTTCGGAGTCCCGCAGATCCAGACACCAGAGTTCTTCCCAATCCTCTCAATCATGGTGAGTACTATCCTCTATATATCTTCGAAATATCTCTCCGTCCCTAACCAACCAGCCCCAACGATGCATGATCTACATCAAAAGCCACTTCCCACGCGAGAAGTACGAAACAACCTTCCTGTCGCTGTGGGAGTGGATGTACTACAAAAACATCGACATCAGCAAGCCAGAGAAACTAGCTGAGCTATTCCATAGCAACGGGTACTCCGACTCCGAAATCAAAGAGATCATGGCCGCGGCATCAAACCCGGAATTCAAGCAGGCTTTGACGACTAATACGCAGACTGCCCTTGACCAGGGGGCTTATGGTGCGCCTTGGTTTTGGGTGCAGAATGCCGAGGGCAAGGAGGAGCCATTTTTCGGTAGTGATCGGTAGGTTTTGTATAATCTCTGTGTGATGAATGAATACTGACTTATTATAGGTTTGCATTTATGTGGATGTATCTCGGATTACCGTTTCAGGATGTTGCCATTGTTGAGAAGGAGAAGTCGAGGCTTTAGACTGGGTATGATATAGTCTTGGGCTCGTGTTTTGTCAATATCAAGTCGCATCAAGCATTCATGTCTTGCGTCGGAACGGGCGTCAATATCTGGAAACAACCCATCATCGCAGACACTTCTAATAAAGGATATAACTGGGCTAACATCCTCGTCCCTAATGTCCTTATCTCTAAAGTATAGAATGTGGTGGAAATGCGAGTGAGATGTGTAAAATACTTCTTCCGCATCCGGCTAAGATCTGAACCGTTTTACCCCACACCCATAAAGTCCCGATTATCTCGATACTTCCCACATCTGACGGTCTTGTTTTAGTCTTCTACATTCACATCCATCTCTATATACATATACCTAGCAATTATGAGCGCACCTAGAGTTGCATGGATAGGTCTCGGCAACATCGGCCGAGTAAGTCAAAACAACCTCCCCATGCTCCCCGCATTTCCCATCTAACCCAACTACCCCAGGGAATGAGCCAAAACATCTCCCAAAAAGGCCCCCAAACCGAGCCCCTCCTCCTTTACAACCGTACAACAGCACGAGCAACATCCCACGCCTCAAAACTCCCCAACACCAAAGCCGTAACAACCCTCACAGAAGCCGTAACCCAATCGAACGTGATCTTCACCTGCGTCGGCGACGATGCAGCCCTAAACTCCATCGTCACTGCAATCCTCTCAGACCTCACAATCCCCCAAGACCTATCAGACAAGACCTTCATCGACTGCTCAACCGTGCACCCGGATACATCACGAGCCACGGAAACAGCGTTCAATGCACGTGGAGCTGGATTCGTCGCGTGTCCTGTATTCGGGGCACCGAATATGGCCGATGCAGGCCAACTGATTGTCGTTCCGGCCGGGAAGCGAGCAGCTATTGAGAAAGTGCGGCCGTTTTTTGATGGGGTTGTTGCTAAGAAGACGATTGATCTTTCTGGCGGAAAGGGGGGGATATTGATGTTGGACGGGCTTCTACGCTGAAAGTACTGGGTAACACGTTCATTCTTAATACTGTTGGTGTTCTTGCTGAGACGCTTGTTGCTGCTGAGGCGTCTGGGCTTGGGGTTGAGCCGTTGCAGGAATGGTTGGGGCTTTTTGCGCCGGGGCCGTTTGCTAATTATGCAGAGAGAATGGTTGGTGGAGATTATTGTACCCGGGAGGAGCCGTTGTTTGCGGTTGATCTTGCTAGGAAGGATTTGGGGCATGCTTATGGGATTGCGAAGGAGGGGGGTCTGCGGATGAAGAATCTCGAGGTTATGGATGGGCTTCTGGAGGTGGTTAAGGAGGAGAAGGGTGCTAAGGGAGATGTTGCTGCTGTTTATGGGGCAGTCAGAAAGGGAGCTGGTATGGAATTTGGGAATCAGTGAGAGTTATGGATTATTAAGAGGATAAAATCAATCTGATAAAAAAATAAGATTGCTAGAGCAAGCCTTGCTTGCAAAGCTATTAAATCATGGTCTCCATAAGGATATGGTGGAGACTCAGCTAATCAAGGAGTAGAGTTAATTATGAACACAGAATTTTGAAGGAAAAAAAAGCAACCACAGAAGTGATGCGCGATACGCGCTATCCGTTCAGTCACATTAGTCCTCGCGGATTTCGTGAGACTGGTCGTGGTGTTGGTGCTCGCTGGTGCCAGCCTCACCCTCCTTGGGGCCCTGAGTAGAAGGTCGGTGCAGGTCGGCAACAATGCCCTCGGGGGGAACCCAGCCAGCGGACTTCCAGGGCTTGACGTGGAGGACGTACATGGTGTCGACCTCCTCGAGGGTCCGGCCCTGGGTCTCGTTGACAAAGAAGAAGACAACGAGAATAGCGAGGAAGCAGCAGGCAGCAAAGACGTAGCCGTAGCGGAAGTCAATGGTGTTGGAAATGAAGGGGGTGAAGAAGGAAATCAAGAAGTTCCAGGTCCAGTTGGCAGCGGTAGCAACACCCATGCAGACAGCGCGGTACTTGAAGGGGTACATCTCACCACAGATAGCCCAGACGATAGGACCCCAGGTAGTGGCAAAGCCGACAATGAAGAAACAGGTGAAGACAATCATGACAACACCGGCAGAGTGATTGGTGGGGTCAGTGTTCAGGATCTCGTGGCCGACGGAGGCCCAGATCATGAAGCAGACAAACATCCAAGCGGCACCGTACATGAGACACTTGCGGCGACCATAGTGCTCGACGATGTAAAGACCGGGAAGGGTCATACCGAAGTTGACAGCACCGAGAATGATAGAGGTGACGTAAGAGTTGTCAAGACCGATACCGTTGAAGATACTGGTTCCGTAGTAGAAGATAAAGTTGGCACCGGTCAACTGTTGCAGAGACTGCAGAGCAACGCCGAGCAAGATACGGTGCAACATGCGGGGACCGGTGAAGACCTCCTGCCAGGCAGCCTCGCCGTGGGCGAGCTCCTCCTCAAGCTTCTGCTTCATGTCGGCCATCTCCTGGGCAACGACACGGTGGTTTTTGGGGACACCGTAAAGCTTGCACATGACATCGCGGGCCTCTTCGGTACGACCGTGACGGTAGGCAAAACGAGGGGACTCGGGCAAGAACAAGGTACCGATACCCAGAATCAGGGGCCAGGCGAAGCCAATACCCATGGTGATGCGCCACGAGGAATCGTTGTGAAGACCCTCAGTGCCGAAGTTGACAATGTAGGAGATGAAGATACCGAAGGCGACGAACAGCTGGAAGGCACTGACCATGGCACCGCGGACCTGGCGGGGTGCGGACTCGGACTGGTACATGGGGACGACACTGGAAAGGGCACCGACACCCAGACCAGCAACCCAACGGCCGAGAGCAACTTGGTACCACTTGTCGTCGGTGGCAATCTGTACAATGATACCGACAATGTGGAGGAGAGCCCAGAAGGAGATGGAGAACTTGCGGCCAATGCGGTCCGCAATGGGGGCAGCCACCAGGGCACCAATCATAGTTCCGATAGAGAGCTGATAGAGTTTAGTATAGATATGACTTGCATGGGGGAATTCAACGTACCAGGCCAACAATCAGACCGTTGCGAACGTTGCTGAAAACATATTCTCCGGTGTCGGCGTTATGCTCAGCGAAACGCTGCTTGAAGTCGATCATGGTAGTGAAACCCGAGATTTGACCTGATGTTGGTTAGTAACGTTGCATTCATAGTGACTGTGTAACACTTACCAGTAGAGTATCCGAAAATGAAACCACCCATGGACACACACAGACCGAGGATGAACGAACGCCATGTCAGGTACTTGACAGGGCTATCATCGAGAGTGAGGTTATCCTTCTCGGCAGTAGTCGAGTCAGAACGAGCAGGAGTTGCGGCCTGGGAGGAGAATTGAGATTCAGCCTTCCCAGGCTTGATCTTATCCATAAAGGTAGAGATACCCATGTTGAACAGATCTCAAAATAAATAGAAAGTTGGGAAAAAGAAAAGGGGGAAAAGAGAAAGGAGGGCGAACTAAATAGTCCCTTGGGTGGCTCTTTCCCTTGGGGTATGGATACCAGGTACAATGAAAAAACGGGGGCCCGGATCTAGTCCCAGGTTTTTTTGTAAAATGGGGATGAAATGGGGTGGTAAGGTGGTAAATTTCACTCCACAGACTAGAAAAGTCTGTTTTTTTGTCTTTTTCAATCTCTAGCGCCATGTACTCCGTGTTTAGGTTCCTTTTTCCTTTTGGTGGAGAAGGTGGAGGACGGGGGAAATGTTAGACACGTGAACACATAATGTCTATTGTCTATTGTGTGTTGATATATACTATTGTGTTTCATTTTAAATGTATTGCATCGATACTTCTTTGGCATCAGAAGCTATACAATGAAAACAATAAACAATAGACATGTCATACCTAAAATCTAACTGATCACCCGACCTTCTTGCCACCTTCTAGAAACATGCGGGACACTTGAATATTCTGGGTCCTCGGTGCAAATGTACGAATGAGAATGCAGTGCCTGGATAGTCGGATGTTTCTACGTAACGGTGACCATGACACTTGTGGCCTTCTGGTTCTGGTTCCTAGCTACGGAGCACAATATAATAATAAAACCACTCATGTCTATTAAAGTGACGTGTATAAGCAGGTGATCTACTTCAGATCGGGTCCTGGTGCCGTGTTTTCCTACGGGAGTACCGGAAGATGTATAGATTGAAAACTGTGCAGGACATGCAATTTACTCTTCAACCTTGGAAAAGCATAGATGGAAATGAAAGGCAACTGAAACCGGGTGGATTTCCCAAGAAAGCAGGTGAAAACCAGAAAAAAATCAAAAAAGGAAATGCCAATAAAAAGAGAGAATGTTGTTTTACTGAGTGGGTCATAAATGCGTGGACCTCTACCCTCTACCCGGTCATAGGGGCGCTGATCATAGTTAAAATTAAGAGTCTACGGATATCTAACTGCAGTTTATAGCTTATTATAGACAAACCAGAAAAAAAGAAGCTTCGAACAGAGAGGGAGATAGTGCCATTTATATCTTTGAACAAATTCTAGTGACTCAAAACATGCTGATAAGAAACTTCCTTGGACATAGTCCAAGAGCATAGACCCACTATCGGTGAGGCTTCGGTCGACTTGCTACGCAGAGATTTCCGATCTGTTGATTTTGGTCTCCACTTTTCCTCAATCGGCACACCGAATATGTCCTATCCCGAGCCGATTACAATCCCGACTGCGATCCCGAGTCGGGCTGCCGACCCTGGTCGAAAACATTCATACAATTATATATGTAGAATATATGGATTTAAACTTCACAGATATTCATTAACACTGCATGAATACTTAACTCTAGCATGATTCCATTTCTATATGATTATTTGTCTTTTGTTATGCTCGGCATGTCTTTCTCGGCATCCCTTGTTCGGCCTAGACCCATAAAAAAAAAGCGCCCCTGGGAAAAACTCTGACTGCAAGTGCCCAGATGCCAATCCTCTGCCAATGGATATTATTAATAGCTAGGTATCAGACCACTAAAAGAGTGAAAAGAGTAAAAACTCTGTGGATGCCCTAAACCTCCTCTAGGTAGCCTCCGGCTGGAAAATGGTAAATAGGGAAAAGAGACCCAATCACATCAATTTCACTTTATTAGCATCTGCTTACATATGTAGCTATGCCTGTGCGAGCTGATATTTCCATGCTATGCTACATTGGACTGTTTTTCTCGGGCAAGCCCGGAAGACTTGTACTTTGTATGTTCTACGTGGTACAATGTACAATCCAATTATACTGGAGTGTAACCATTCTTAGGTCTGTGTGTTTACAAAATAACAAATCACCTTCATCAATTGTTATGCTTAATGCTTTCTGATTTACGAATCCAGGGCAAGGATTTAGAGTTTATGTGATAATATCAGATCTTCAATCTCTTACATTAGGAATATATTAGTGAACCGCAATAAAGACTTCAAATTAGATAAATGATCATAAATAATCCCTCAGCCAGAAAGGTCTAGGCACCTAATCTAATTGTCCAAAGCCACAGTGGTCCTGCAGAGAACCATAATGACGTCTACCAAGTACAGCGTATGTTGCATTGGTACTTATGTGCAGCAAATGTACTATACAAGCTCCCAGATAGGTAACCCCACCTCCCTCCATAACATGCAACTACCACCTTGCACCGGGTGGCGATGCTTATCATCTCTAAGGCGACTTTTGATCGGAAAGGTACAACAAGAAAAATCGCGCTTTGCTCTTGTTTAGCACATGCACTGATGCCGTCATTGTCCTGTATCCCGTGCTCGGTTAGTAGCCGACATCTGGAGAGAACCTAGTTGTCCCACCTCCATACTCGGCATTTGCACTAGGATCAGCCGTATTTTGCCCTGATTATCGGAGTGTACTTACCCCATGTGTGGCCCGAGTCATACTTACACTATAGTGCATGTATCATCATTACCTAAAAGATAGATCTAAAGTCAATCGAGCTGTCATGTTGTCTATGCACAAGTATTCCTCCATAAGCCTATAGATTACATACTATAGCTATATCCTTTATATTTACTTCCTAATAAGCACTATTTTTGTTGTATGCTTAAAGTTTGATTCCTCTGTGCCACCTTCGGTGCTACCTTCAACCCTTTCTCGGTTCTATCACATGGGTATCAGTTGGTTACTTTCTTCAAGTTGTACATAAATGCCAGGCCAGCCTTAGCAAATAATTAAGACTACAGAAGAATCATATTATTGGTGAAATATTGCTATTCACCATCAGCCCACTGGTCAGTGGACTCTATGGTTGCACACCATCCAAACACCGGTGAGACTATCACAAGGATCCACCCGTCTCTACCCGTCAGGCGATGATCTTAACGTTACAATCTGGGGCATACGAGAAAGGCTGATTAATAATGAAGACCCTGAAGAGACCTAGAATCTCCTAAGCGTAGTACAGTTAAAACCAAATATCATCATCTGTATTGGCGGTATATGCAAGATCATCAAGTCAAGAACTTTTTCCGTCCTATTGACCAAGAGAACAAACTCCCACAAATCATTACTGTGTCTAAACTTGGAAATCATCCACAGTGAACAGTCGTGGAAACCAAAAATGCGCGTCAAAGGACGAGGAAACTCGGAGGGAAAAAAAGAAAATGAAACATAAACGCCCAACACCATTTTGCACCCGGTATCGAAACCAATGGACAATGATTAAGAATGGGTCTCGTTTCAGCCGCATTAGGGCTTCTAACGACGATCTGTCTTGCCCATACCACGCTTTCCGGAGTACTGTAAAGAAAAAAGTTAGCAAATAATACTAATGAAAAGGATAATGGGGAATAACATACCAAGTGCTTCTCGAGAGAGGCGGTTGTGTGACGATCAGCCTCACCAGCACGAGCCATACGGTTCATCTTCTTCTGGCCCAGCTTAGCCATACGCTCAGCCTTATCACGGTTGCCGAAGCTGGTGATACCGTCGAGACGACGATCAGTCACCGGTGTGTCACGGGCGCGGCTAATAGAGCGAAGGAGAGCCTTCTTGGGGTTCTCATCGACGTCCATAGCGTCAGCAGTAGGCTCACGGAGAGTGCGTCCACGAGGCTGGTTGGCGGCGCGGGCACGAGAACCAGCAGCACCATTGTCGTAACCAGCGGAGTCCAGACCCCGGGTCATCTCGGACAGCTTCTTGGCCTTGGCGCTGCGGGGGATGGCGGCGCGGTTCTTGAGAGACTTGCGCATCTTGGCTTCGTTGCGCATGAGCACACGCTTCTCGCGGATGAGATCGGCCTTGAGGCGGTTGTCGGCGTCTTCGGCATCCTCCACGCTCTCGTCGGACTCGTAATAGCCATCGGCCTCGAGCTTCTCTTCCTCCTCCTCGAGGGCGGCGAGCTTGCTCTCGATATCCGGATCCACAAAGTCGTAGATGTTCTTGCCCTTCCAGACCTCGGGGATCTTGTCGTGGTTCCAGTCGGGGTTGCCAAGAGTGTAGTCGCGCTGCATGTCGAAGTTGTAGACACCGGCACCGCCGTTCTCCTCTTCGATATCGCGCTCCAGTCTCCGGCGGTTGGGGTCGTTCTTGTCGTACTTCTTGAGATCCTTGACGGCCTCGGGAATGAAGGTCTCGCGCAGACCGCCCATAGGCTGAGCCACGTGGATACGGGACAAGACGTCGCCGAGACGGCTGCCGGGGGTGGCAGCGGTAGAGCCAGACTTGAGCTTCTGGGAGACACGCTCAGCGAGGAGCTTGTCACAGGCGGCGTTCTTGACAGCGGTCACACCCTCGGTGGTGGTGCAGGAAACCTGCAGCATCTCGACATCCTCGGCCTTGAGGATCTCCTGAAGTTGCTCCTGGTACTCAGGCTCCAGGTCCTCGGGACGACGCACATCAATCTTGTTAACGACAATGAACACAATCTTGTTGGCGAACAAGGGCTTGATGCTGTGGAAAAGCTTGATCTGATCACCGACGGAGTATCCACACTGCTCGGAAAGATCCATGAAGTAGAGGATGGCGGACCGCAAGTGAGCAACAGCAGTGATAGATTGCATTTCAATGGTGTTCATCTCCTCGAGAGGGTGGTCCAGAATTCCGGGGGTATCAATGGCCTGGAAACGGAGGTATTTGTAATCGAAATGGCCGACGAACAAACTCTTAGTGGTGAAAGCATAAGGCTGAACATCGACATCTGCGCGGGTGATATTGCGCAGGAAGCTGGACTTTCCGACGTTGGGGTATCCACAGATCAGGAGAGTACGAGTGTTAGGGTCGATGGAGGGCAGACGACCCAAGTGCTGGCGGACCTGCTCCAAGTAGACGAGGGGATCCTTCAGGCGGCGGGTGATGGTTGCCATGCGACCGAGGGCAGCGCGCTTAAGCTGCTTGCACTGGAACAGAGACTGCGCATACTTGATGAGACGGACGTAATCGCGGGAAACGGTTTCAATAAGGTGCTTGGCGGTTGAGACTTGACCAAGGGCGATACGGAAGTGGTCGGCATCATAAAGAGTGTTCATCAAATCCTTGTCTGGTGGATATTAGACCCCACCCGAATAGCCATAATCGCCATGGGAGTAAAACTTACGGAAAGGATGGATATCCTGCAGGCGAGGGAATCCATCGAGAATGTGCTGGAACTTCTCACCGAAAGTCTCCTGTGTATATTTGACCTTTCTGGTGTAGAAACCTGATGGAAAAAATTTTGATCAGCGATTGTGCTTTATCGATAACCGCGATAACTTTTTTTTCCGTTTCGCCGCCATGTCGGATCGAACAGAATGATTGGGATCTTACCTCTGATACGGCTGATCTTGAAACCAGCACGAATCTGTGTGGGAAGCTGTCTCTGAGTACGACTCAGGACAATATCCAGGAATTCCTGGTGTGTGGGCACAGGCGCAATCTATCAAGCGGTGAAAAACACATCAGCAATCTGATCAGTCGAAGCGCAAAAGCGCAGTCGGGGAATTAACTCACATCCTTCCACGTTGTCTTCATGATGGGCACAAGTCAGGAGTCAAATAAGTAATGACTCTTGAAGTAATGCCGTGAGTGAAGGGTGTTGATAGAGTGGGTTTTTCTCCACGAAAAAATCGTTGGCAGTCCTTTTTTCTGCCAGGCGGAGGACAGATGCGGGGGCCACGATTGGATGAACCGTGATATAGGCGAGTCACGTGATCTAATATAGAACGAAAGATCGAATACTCCAGGCCTCCATAATTAATGTGATATTTGTATATTTATCTCAATCTCTTACCATAATTCAACATCATGCTCGTATATATTGATTTGTCGTCAACTATGGTACACAAGCCTTTGTGACCGATTCGGGAAGCCCAAGCCGTTTCTGCCCAGATTCATAAAAGTAATCCCGCCACTCGAACAAACTCCGTTGCTTTTCTCTTGAAAGCCCGTCTAGGATAAACCCTTGAGATGAAACAAAAACTCGGATGTGCGTACATAATAGAGGAGATGTTCAACCCTCGGCGGTTTAACATGCTCCAATCCGAAAAGATGCAAAAAAAGAAAAGAAAAGAAAAAAGATATACGAAAAACTTCTCACTCCTCAACAGGCTCGGGGCCAAACTCCAGGATCTAGTAGGTGTTAAAACATATTACTAACAAGTTAGGAAGAGAACATACCATATCAACCCAACCACCACCACCGAACTGACACTTGCTAGGGCCATGAGACTCGAAGCCAAATGACTCGTAGAAGGGAATCAAGTGATCGTGTACAATGATTGCGATGCGCTCAGCAATCTGTGCATCTCTAATACGCTGGATATATGACTTCATCAATGTGCTTCCGACCTGCTTGCCCTGGTGCTCTGGGTCCACGGCAAGGGAATGAATGGCAATAGTGCTACCACCTTCTTCGTGACCAACGGCCTGTCCATCCTCAATGGACCAACGCTCTTTTTTCCAATTGGCCGGAAGTCGCATCGACCGGTCTGTCACAAGGGGCTCTGAAGTGCGAGTAGCAATGATGTGTCCAACGAGGATTGGGCGGGGTTTCGCTTCTCCTTCTGCGAGGATAGGGAGAGTGAAGAGGCCCAAACTGAGCTCGGGGCATCTGGTGAGACGGTAAACGAACTATCAAAGTTAGCAACAAAGTCGCCTTCAATTCATATCGAAATGACATAATCCAAAGTTGAATTGGTACTCTATTTTGGTGTAATAGATCTCTAACGGGATGCGAATAGCCATACCTTATCGTGGGAGCAACGCTCCTGCTCGGGGAAAGCTTCCTCTACTTTCACACAATCTTCCACATTGGATGCGGAGAGCAATTGGACGAAAGGATGCAGCTCATCCAGCTTTGTGCGGTTGTGGGAGGGCGGGCGGCGGAGCCAGTAAGGGAAATCGGTTGCATCGTCATCCTGATCGGCCGCAGCATAGTCCTCATCCACCTCGTCATCGTCGTCATCATCATCATCAATCGGAAAACCATTGGCTAGTGCAATTCCAGCACGGCTCATGATACGAGACAAGTCGGCGTTGTTAGGGTTTCCAAGAGACAAGTCGTCCGCATTGGACAGTGGTCTCAGCCCGTTGTCCTGGGAAGACATATGCTCGGAAAGGTATTCACTATGATCGGACATTGTGAAGGATTGAGAAGTGGACTGGGGTATCGAGGGTCAGAGCGGCTGGTGTGGAAATTTCTGGGGGTGAGACCAGGCTAGGGTGCCACGATCAATTGGAGTGCAGGGGGGACCCGGCTTGGTGGCGTAGATGAGGGATGCGAATCTAGAACAGTGGGGATTAATCTCATGCAGGTGATTGGGACTAATATCGAGTTGAAGAGACAATGCCAATCTTAACAGTACATATGTGAATTGACTCCTTGTCAAGGGAATCCAAAGTGTTTCCAGCTTTCCAAGGTTGGAAAATGTTGGCAATTCATAAGAATTTGCGAACACTGTGCGTAGAGATATTGCGAGATCGGATTGGAAGGGGGAGCGGGCGCACTTACTTTCAATATTTGATGATATTTTAAGAACTCTTCAGTGGTCAGAGACGTGTTTCACACAAAGTATTCTCTTAGGACGTGGAGCAGGAGGAACTTTTGCAGTGGCGGGGGAGCCCAGCCGATAAAGTACAGGAACTTATCAGTACCGCCTTGTTGCCCGAGTTCACCCTATATTACAAGTATTCCCCGGTACTGTTACATTCTCCCCAAAGCGGTCTAAGTGAATTTCCTGGATTCTAGAACCCTTGAAGGAACGATCATGCAGCTACATCATCGTCTTGGCTTTCCCTTTTAAGGCTAGGGGGGCTTTTATTTTGGGGGGTTTTTTATATTTTCTCTTGAATCTAAGTCTAGAGTTGATATTAATTTAACAATTTTGTTATGTAAATTCTAAACGCTACGTAGTATCATCATCGACATGGATCCATGTGTGAAACACGATGCTAGGTGTAATATGATCTAATTACTAGTAGATTCATAATTCCTCAGCAGATGGAAGGCCATGAAGCCCTAGGCCCCTTAGACTTGGCTATAAGCTACAGATCGTGAAATGATAAAATATATGTAGTATATATATTTCTGACAATATGGCTGAGTGTAAGACAAAAGTGCATTCCGAATGTCCACTAATCACAGACTTGATAGACTTACATCTTCACTAAATCTACTGAGCATTCTAATCTTGCAAAAGGCATAGGGTGTTATCATGTACTTTCTAATTCCAATGCCACAAAGAAAGGTTACATACTTTGTAGTAAAATGGTTGTCAATTTAGCTCCTTTTGTGTACTGAAGGCTATTACTTCTTTACATATCGATATCTGTTTTATATATCACTGTAAGATTGATTCTACATGTATGATATAAAAGTGTGAAGCACGTCTAACAATTACTAGGGCCAATACTAAGTAATTAGAACTTGTTTACACTATAAATATCTTCCTATGTTCTACATAACTAGTCTAAGGGATAAGAAAATTGAGGTTACACTATGCTTAATCTATGTACCCTTTGTATGGAACTGCTATACAAAAGATACCTAATCTTTGCAATTTGCTATCCGGTGAGGCCCACCAACGCCGTGTGTGTAGGTGTTGTTTGGCTTGCCACGATCATGCTTTGGAGAGAAAGCCAAGAAGGGGATGGGCTGTATGTCTCAATTTCACTAGTTACAACCAGGTAATGGTTGATTATGTATAAGAGTACTCCATAGACATGGCGGGGTTTCCCACCCATTATCTTGGCCCTATCTGCATTCAAGACACAATATAGTTCCTTTGGGTCTCGCCTCCGCCTCCACTAACATCCCTGTACGAAGTGTAGAGTAGAGATGGTAGAGTTATAGATGTCGGCCCAACACATGACCAGAGAAAAGTTGGGTCGGGTCCAAATCCCATGTGGATTGACTTCACATGAAAAGACCTGCAAATTGGACACAGGCAGCCTGGTAATGATTGGACCATAAAGGTTTGCCCACAATACGCCGCTGGAGTAGCGAATGAAAGGATGAAAGAAGTGCACTATTTTACCTCGTATGATGTAAATCAGATGGAGAGAAGACTCGGATATTGTGCTCAGATGAGGGATTTATTCAGATGTAGAATGAACATCGGATAATACATGTACAATGATGCAGGTGTATATAGTAGTGGACACCCTAAATGCCTCTCTTATCAATCTCGGGATCTACAGGCGGTGAGCTATAACCGAGGATGCGTCATAATATTTTCTTTTTTTTGTTCGATCTTGACTCATTGTTCTCTTTCATCCTATATTGTATGTGCCCTGTTGATCAGTGGTAAAATTGCTTCGAGGCTCTTGCATTGGAATCGACTGCTGGGGCGAGCAATTGATCCCAAAATATACGCCCAATCATGAGCTCCCGAACGTTGAACTGGTCTCGAACGGCCAAATCCTCGTTGGTAAAGGTAATAAAACCCGATATACCCCGCCGATACCGAGCATTTACTGACTAGTTCAAAGCAACATCTAGTTCGCCCTAGTGACCCCATTGCGGCGCGCCCGGCACAGGCGCTGAATGTCCGAGCCCAGCAAATCGCCGAGTTCTCGGGCAGCAGCGAAAACCAAGATCGCCTCGGCCACCGCGCAAAGGAGAAATTGCTCGATCGAGTAGGTGGCAGATGATATTGTTTTCTGTGTTATGCTAATGACTGCGTGTTTGGTTCAGGAATTTTTTCTCAGCCTCCTGAGCTCCGCGTCGACTAAGCGCGAGGCGAAGTCCTACCTAGCTCGGCTAAAAGCCAGCCCCGCCAAATCGAGCCAAGAACCTACCCCCGAGTCCCTGAAGGAGTCCATATCAGCATCTCTGCCCTCTGGTGTAAACTTGGGCTCGTTCTATGGTGCTTCTAGGGCGGTGTACGACAGCCCTGTCTTCCGCCAAGATACAACTCCCACTCCGCGCGCACAGGATATACCCGAAAGGCTGCACTTGGCCCTCATCAAAATCGCCACACCGCAATTACTGGAGGATTCCGTGATCAATGGAGTGGCTAAGACCCTCTCGCAGCTCGTCCGCCTGGGCATGGCATGCTGTGTGGTTGTCGATCCCGGAAAGATGGACGGCCCAGCTGGGCGACAAACAGCCATTGAGCAGGCAAATCGGATATCGGCGGCAGTCGATGAGCTGCCCGACTCGAAATCCTTTAGACTAGACTCCACATTATCTATATCTGAGCGGGGGTCTGGTCAACTCAGGGTGCTGTCGCGAAAAGTGCTCCTGAGTGCCCTTCGGGATGGTCATGTGGTACTTGTTCCGCCGATCGCCTATATGGAGGAAAATCCACGAGCTATTACAGTTTCGGCTAACGATGCTGCCATTGCATTGACGAAAGAATTTGCGGGATTGTCTTCAAACCCAGACCCGGACGAGGATCCAGTAGTCACTGTGGAGAGAATTAGTGCTCTACAAAAAGAGGTATCACTGGACCGTGTCATTGTTCTCGATCCACTTGGGGGAATTCCGGCTTTCAAGGGCCCTCAATCATCGCACGTTTTCATCAACATGGAGCAAGAGTTTGATCAAATTAAAGATGAGCTTTCCCAGGCACGAAACTCAGTGGCCGGAAACAATGGTTCATCAAAACGGTTAACAACCGAAGCCACTTACCCAATCTCGGAAAGCAATCCGTTCTCAAAGTTTGTCAATCGTGATGTTGTCTCGCCTGCGCAACCTGCTGCACCCGGCCAATCACCGGGTGCCGAGGCGATGGAGGAGGTGCTAGATGGCCATCTAGAGAATCTCCGATTAGCCCAACAAGCATTAGCAATGCTACCATCAGCCTCTTCAGGAATTATTACCTCCCCACAAGAAGTCTCCTACTCAGCCCGCTCACCGCAAGAGGCTGCTTCAGACCTATCAGCCGTCGGAACCCGTCGACAGCGCAACCCATTGATCCACCACCTCCTCACCGACAAGCCTCTACTATCATCCTCTCTACCCCCAGGCCGGCGCGGAGTTTCCAAAGGCAGCAAATCGAGCGCATTCAGCCCACTCATCTCTCACACGACCTTTGTCAAACGTGGAATGCCTCTCACAATCCTCCCAAACCCCTATACAAAACCCTGGACAGCCCAGATCCAACCACGACTGGGACTACACGACCCTTCCATCGATCTTCCCCGTCTAGTCACCCTAATCGAAGACTCCTTTGACCGCAAACTCGACGTCCAAGACTACCTCAATCGAGTGAACAGCCGTATTGCCGGTGTCATTGTCGCCGGCGAGTACGAAGGCGGCGCAATCCTGACCTGGGAAACGCCGCCAGGCGTACCAGATGACGGAAGCGAGGCCAGTGCCGCCCGCATGGTGCCATATTTGGATAAATTCGCCGTGCTCAAGCGTAGCCAGGGCGCGGGCGGTGTCGCGGACATTGTGTTCAATGCGATGGTGCGCACATGTTTCCCCAATGGAGTCTGCTGGCGTAGTCGCATAGACAACCCTGTAAATAAATGGTACTTCGAGCGGTCGTTGGGTACTTGGAAACTGGCTGATAGTAACTGGGCTATGTTTTGGACGACGCCTGGGCTGGTGGAGGATACCCAGCGTTTCCAGGATTATGAAGCTGTTTGTCGGTCTATCCAGCCTAGTTGGGCTGATAAGAAGAGTGTCATTGATTGACATGTATTTAGAAAGGAACATTTAACATTGGTGTCATGTAACAATGATATTTAAACAAATTTTATTCTCCAACCCTTTCCCTTCCCAAATGCTGTGCACTTTGGACATATCTGCGCCTAGATTGTGAACCTAATAAGTCTTTGCCGAACATGGACAGTCATCGGGTCACTAGGTATTTCGGCGTTCAAACCGAAGTTGTCGATGGTCATCTGCTATACAAGTTTATCCTGTAGCAAATTACCTGTCGAAACGACCTGTGATATATGAGATGGGACATTGGTCTGGGTTGGGGAAATCTTGCTCGAGATTTGGACTGTCAATATAGGAAATAATACATCTGACAGAAATTTTGCACTTTCTGTCTCGTTTAGCGTAGACGTATACTGTGAATTGTGTATTGAGTCTCGAAGGTCAAATCCAAGATGCCTGAGGATCTGATAGAAGTGCTATTTCCCTTGATACTTAATGTTTATACATCCTGGAAGGTAGTATATCTGGATCCGAAGGTGGTATCTGGGTCCAGAAAGGACACATATATTCTTATGAACAACTATCATATTCTTAAGGCTTTGTGTCCGTATTTCTTGAGATATACAATGGTATTCAAGATGGGAATGGCTGATTCTCCACTAAACTTGAAATTAGTGGCTTTTTCCAAGGTTTCCAGGGTTGCTTTTAACGCCCCAAATGTAGTTTATTCGTAGCATAATTCTTCATCTCTTTCCCTCTATCTCATATATATTTCTACTGCCTAAATGTGTACTGCCTACGCTCCCTCGATACCATGAAACATGTCATCTGTAGATATCAGTCATACGCCAATCAAAGTGATAATATAGGGCGCTAAGTGCCGCGATGTCACACTTCTTTATTGGCAGCTTGGACGGAGAATACCCGGGTTGACTCGTATTCACGTTCAGGAGGGGGAAAAAGTCCATTTGATGTGACAATACATCGAGCTGGTGTTGTTTTTGACCTTTCTCTACATCCAAGTTGTCAATCTTGATCTATGCAAGATGCTTGGGTTGACACATGTATCATCCATCACATGGCTCTTAGCCGCCTCGCTCTACAGTTCTAGTAAGATGCTGCTTTTCTCCGGAGTCAGTGATTAACAGCTATGAATATGCAATTCGGCTATGCAATTCCCGTGCTAATGCTGTCACTCACCTCGATATATACCAATGACCACAATGGCCGCCCCGTTCAAACCTGGTACTGGCCAGCAAACATCTCAACGATTGATATTTTGGATATTAACATAGGAAATGCATTCTTGTACGTCGTTCTTTCACTCGTAATAGAATTGATCGCTTACCTGTAAACACAGTGAGCCATTTTTCTCGCAGCAGATGGCCCCGTCAAATAGTACACCTGCTCCATTGACCTTGGAATAACCCACCATCTTTGCATCAGCCAACTCTACCAATTTTACTTGCACGTCATTCAACAAGCTATAAAACATGGGTCTTTTTTCATCCGTTTTTTATTCGGAATTCAATTGTGTAGATGCAACAGGTTCCAGTGGTGCTATTTCTATTCATAAAATAAGCTTGCTAAGCCTTGTTAGGGCCGTGTTCGGGACAACTATATTGATGCTGTGACCAATCATTCTAATCTATGATCATCACCGAAGCCGCTTTTTTTACCTTATTCTGCTTGTTGCATTGTTATATTGTCGCCTGAAGTCATGCCTGAGAATCCGAGAATGCTTATCTTACCAAACGAAACAACAAAGTGACGATAGCGCAGTATCATTGCTAGCGTTGTCAATAAAGCAACGTATACGTCGTTTTGAATGTGAAGAACCGTATTTATGGCATGCCAAAGTGGCTATATTAAGAGAAGAAAGATATGACCGAGTCCCATGCTATTGGACTTCAGCTAGAGTTCCTCAATATGACTATGTTGGTGCAGGAACTACTTAGTTACAAGCTAATTGAACCCTCCTACATGTGATATTAGATACTGGGCGAGGATATGACGAGTAGGGAATTTGTTGAAAAATTGGGAGGCGAATTGTAGAACTTGTTAAGAATGAAACCTTGGAAGAAGAATAACTATTAATAAGAGACAAGCCACATGCCTCATCATCTCCATGGGGTTCCAGACATCCACACTCGGGATATTCCATCCATTCGGGCCATATTTGGCTCTGGGGCCGATTATGCCGGGGCCGATCTATCCCGATCCTATGTACATGTACCTATGTTGTACATTGTAAGCGCAACATAAAATGTCAATGCTTTTCACATACCCCGTGCGTGAATTGGCATATGTAAGAATACATAGCTGGGAAAATACTGCGCGAAATACCAGGTTTATTCCCCGTGCGCCCCGACGTGGCATTGACATATTCCCGTCCCCTGCCCCGGTCTTATCCTGTGTCGCTCACCGGTGAAGTCGGGGGAAAATATGCACTCAGAATGATTTGACCAGTAATAACAGTAACATGGCCTCCCCACAACTGAGTATGCTAAAATTTCTACCGCCCTGTTCATGGCGTCATGGAAAAAAAAGAAAATCAAAATTTACGAATCAGGAATGTAGAGGCTGCTTTCGGGCGATGAACACTATAGAATATTTCAAACAATGTTTATTGATTCTCCTTAGTTAAAAGAATCAATTTGAAAAAGCGTATAATATAATAAAATAAAGTAACTCTCTCCGGTGAACCCGGCAATTCCCCATAACTCAAAGATACATCGGAGGTACATCGTTAACAGTGGACATTGTTACGGCTAGAAAAGTACTGCCAAGGTACCGGATTGACCTCATGGAGCCCGCTCCGTCATCCCACCTTGATGTTCCTTCTGTTCCTTATTTCTTCAGTCTCCCGCCCTTTTTCTTCCTTAATTATTCCTCTCTTTCCATTCCTTTCTCCACTAGCCGGTACCTTAACTCTCTACCCGGCCATTCGTATTTCTTGACCATGTCTTCTTCACTGTTGGACCAAGCCACGCGCATTGCGCAGGACTTTGATTACCCCGCCGAGCAAGTGCAGCGTGGGGTTGCCGAGTATATCAGGCAGTCCGAGGAGGGTTTGAACAAAGAGGGCACCACCTTGAGCCAAATTCCGACTTTCGTGACTGCAGTGCCAAATGGCACAGAAAAGGTATGAAGACAGAACTATTCACAATGAGAATTACGCGCTGATTCTCCTTGTTATAGGGCCTGTACTTGGCAGTCGATCTCGGTGGCACCAACTTCCGTGTGTGCTCGGTCCTCTTGCACGGCGATACCACTTTCTCCCTCACCCAATCCAAGATCCTAATTCCTCGCGAATTGATGGCCTCTGGCACATCCAAGGATCTCTTCCTATTCCTGGCCCGTCAAATCGAGGCATTCCTCCGCATCCACCACAACGAACACTTCGAGGCCCACCAACTCCGCCGACAGGATGGTAACCGTGAAGAGGACCTGTTCGATCTGGGCTTTACCTTCAGTTTCCCCGTGCGCCAGTGTGGTATCAACCGCGGAACTCTGATCCGCTGGACCAAGGGCTTTAACATCCCCGATGCGGTTGGCCATGATGTTTGCGCGCTACTTCAGTCCGCTATTGATGATTTGAACCTGCCAGTCCGCGTGGCTGCTCTAGTGAACGACACTGTCGGTACTCTTATGGCCCGCTCATACACCTCCCCTGGCAAGACTGGCACTTTCATCGGTGCCATTTTCGGAACCGGTACCAATGGTGCTTACGTGGAGAAGACCAAGAACATTACCAAGCTCAAGGATATGAAGGACGCCCACTTTGACGACCACACAGGCGAGATGATTATCAATGCTGAGTGGGGTAGCTTCGATAACCACATGAGCGTGCTCCCTACCACTGTGTTCGATGATGAGCTGGATGCCGACAGCAACAACCCCGGTGTGCAGATGTTCGAGAAGCGTGTTTCGGGCATGTTCTTGGGCGAAATCCTGCGCCGTGCGCTCCTGTCTCTACACCATGACGCCAACTTGGGATTGTTCAAGGCCAACAAGAACTCCAAGGTTATCACTCCTGAAGGATCTATGCTCTTCCGTCAATGGGGTCTTGACACTAGCCTGCTGAGTTCAGTCGAGGCCGATAGCAGCAAGGACCTGGTGGATGTGAAGACCGCATTGAAGGATCACCTCGAGATTGAGAACCCCAGCCTTGAAGAGTGCAAGGCTGTAAAGATCATAGTTCACGCCATTGGAAGACGTGCCGCTCGCCTGAGCGCTGTCCCGTTGGCTGCCATTCTCGTGCACACCAAGAAGCTTGAGACTGACGATATGATCGACATCGGTGTCGATGGCAGTCTCGTTGAATTCTACCCCAACTTTGAAGGGCACCTGCGCGGGGCTTTGCGCGAAGTTCCCCAAGTTGGAGTTGCTGGCGACAAGAAGGTCCGCATTGGAATTTCCAAGGATGGCAGCGGTGTTGGCGCAGCTCTGATTGCGCTGGTCGCTAACCGGGACGACGGCCTCGAAATTCCCAAGGAGAACTAGATGACTTGAAGTATCTTATAGTTGCCTTCATTTGTTAAATGATGGCACTGTTTGTTATTCCTGTTGGCCGGGGCTCTTCGTTTTTCGCGACCTTCACAGCGGCCATCCTCCTCTCTATCCCCCGCGAAGTTGAAAGCTGGCTTGGTCGACCTCCCTGGTGTTCCTCAAAATTTCAGACCTGCCACAATCGGTTACCCTCCGAAATCAAATACCCAACCCGAATTCCCTCATCTTTCGCTCATGCAACCCCATGGCAACACTGTCAGCTGAAATCAATATTCAGATGTTGATGGTCAACTTGCCAACCCGCAGGAGTTCCCAACCTGCAGGTGCGGGCATCCGCAATTATCACGTCCCATCCCATCTCCTTCCCATCACTATGTCACATTATATTGGGGGGCAGAATTTCTCATTTGGAGTTGCAGAGATATCTTCCTTTAGGCCTTCCCGGCGTGGAACGGCATGCGATAACAGTACATTGCATCGAACTGGCTTTTACGCCCATTCTCATCTTCATTTCTTGTCTATTTCTTATTTCACAATTCCATTGCTATTTAATAAACTTTCCAAGTAGATGTACCCAAGGTGGGTAAGAACACCAGCATAATATTTACACTCGTACTAACATTAGATACATCTGAAACACAACTTAATCCGTCCTACTAACATCCCTCCAAAACACATCAAAGTCCTCTATTTACCAGGCTCATACCCAATCGCCCGAGGTGCCTGTACAAAATCAATATGACTAGCCGACCCCATCAGGAGGCTCATATTGCCACCATTGGTCCTCGGATCATTCCCAATGAAGTTACCAGGGAACCCAATATCAAAAGCACTTGCCGCCTCCAAGAACCCAATCTGCTTATCCGTAAGCCGAATCGACAAAGCCTGAATATTATCATGCAGATGCTCAATCTTGCGCCCTCCAACAAGCGGAAACACATTCGGCGCCTTGCACAACACATAAGCCAACGCAATAGCAGTAACAGACTCAATCCCATGCTCAGCAGCAACAGTCGCCAACGCCTCGGAAATCAGTCTCTCCTCTTCCGTCTGCTCACTACCCATCACACTACGAAGTCCCTCACCACTCTTCTTCCGCTCCTCAAGCTGCTTCGCAGTCTGGAAATGTCCACTACCAAGCACATCCCACGGCGCAAGCGCCATTCCAAAATGCCGCGCCATAGGCAAAATCTCACGCTCAAAGTCGCGACGCATCACATTCCACCGTCCCTGGTAAATCGAGAAAGGCGTTTTACCATGTGCGCGCGCATAAGTGTTGGCCGCGGACACGACCCACGCTGGCGAATCAGAGATACCGAGGTACATGACCTTGCCCTGCTCGACGAGGATGTGGAGGGAGTCCATGATTTCCTCGATGGAGGTGGTATGGTCCCACCAGTGGAGGTAGAGGACGTCGATGAAGTCTGTTTGGAGTTTGCGGAGAGAGTCCCGGACGCTGAGGATCATGCTTCGTTTGTGGTTCCCGCAAGCGTTGGGTGCATTACCCTTTCCGAGTGCGTGGCTGCGGTAGTCTGTTGTGAATTTGGTTGCTAGGACGATTTGGTCGCGGTTTTGGCGGGAGGTCATCCATTCGCCGAGCCAGATCTCGGATTGCTCGTTTTGGTAGTTGTTTGCTGTGTCGATGAAGTTGCCGCCGGCGGCGACGAAGGCGTCGAGTAGCGCGAAGGATTGCTCTTTGCTCATGCTGCCCATGAATTGGCTCCAGGCGTCACCGATGGACATTGCGCCCAGTTGGAGGGGGAGACGCGGACTCCTGCTGTTGAGGAGAGGACGCGGTACCGACCCAGAGGGGTGGTGGGTTCTGGGGCTGGGCTGAAGATTTCTTCCATTGTGAAGGTGTAGTTGGGTGTGGTGTGTTTTGGATTGATGTTGTAGATTGATGGTGTTGTAGATGAAATTTCTGGGTCGGTTGAGGTGCCTTTTTATATTTGGGCTTCTTACTTCGTTATAGCTGAAGCCCGGAGTTAATGACTCGGTGGTAACGGGTAGTTTCATCAGCCACCTGTCAGCGCATCCTTTAACCCCGCCATCAAAGCTCCGTCCTGATTCTATCTCCGCTCCCAATATCTACATTGTATAGTCCTTCGGTTTATCTTCCTAGATACCAGAAGAGTAGGTAAAATATAGCCAATGACGATCTATGATGTCAATACTATATTATATGTTGTACTACCAAATCTGTATTGCATTCTGCCGTGTATGAGCACATGTTACACCCTGGGCTGAGTTCCTGAATCGACATGATTTAGTCTCAGCTTCTATTTCTGAACATAAAGATCATTCAGACGATCGCTTTAAGACAGCTATATATTTGTCCTCCCCCAAAGCCCAGTACTATGAGGATGAATATGATTCAGCACTCATATAGTGTTAGTAAATATCAGCTGAGACTATGCTGGTGCTTTGATACTTGGGACAAGACCTTTGAAACGGGGCTGCTATCAGGGTTCTACACTTGCTCATACCAATGGAAGATATACCTATTATGGTTCTCTCATAACGAGCATGATATGAAGAATAATACAATATGAACAGGTTAAGGAACAAGCTTAACCCCGATCTCCGGGTTGTTCCCATTCTTTTCCGCACTAATCCCCATTCCGTTAGTGTAATGTCATCCATGCCCGGGACTGTCGATCATCCTACGGAGTACTTTACATATAACAGGAAAAGGAGAACACTCTCTAGAACCCTCCAAATTATTTTGTTTTCATTTCCCCATTATTTAATCAACAGCGGTGTACGGAGTACTCCGTACTCATCTGTTGATGTTTATCTCTTTTGAGTTCTCCAGCAAGGGGGCACCCCCCTGAACGCTGATTGGCGAGCAACAACCGAAAGACTTGCAAATTAGTTCATGCAGCAATTGAATAATTGATCACCCTAATCCTTGCATTCTCCTGAAGCCCCGCTGGGGCAAACCAATCTCGATATTTCGCCCGCATTGAACTGCATATTATGATTCAGATTCTATCGGATGAGAACAAAATCCATCCATTTTGACGTGATGTTCGGATTATTGTGACTAGTAATAGTTACATAACCGTATTCCCAGTTGCTACTAATTCTTATGTCAAGAACTAGACTTCATTGCCTAACAAAAAAATCAAACAGGATATGCACGTCGGTGGAGGATTTCAGTTTCACGTACCACATGGTCTGAAATACGGCAGGGTTTGGTGCCACCTGGATTGGCCCTTTCCTCCGCAAGGTTGATGAGACCTGTATGAACTGGTGTTGTTTTCAATCTCAATCTTGGCTTGTTTTCTCTTTTTAAATCTCTCTGTTTTCCTCTTTACTCGTCCTAACTTTCATTAATTCTCATTACGTGACTTATTTTGCTTTTTGAATCCTAGTTTCTTTGTTGTCATTATGGGCTTCCTTGATGCCTTCAAAGCCAAGTCTCCCAAGGCAGATGTGCCCGGAGACAAAGCTGAGCACAACACTGAGGCCAAAGAAGTGGCAGCCAATCACGACACCCTTTCACAGTCTGGTCAGACTTCAAAGCCCTCCAGTGAAAAAGAGAGCACCCTAGTCGATGAGCCTTTGCGAAATTCATCTCCCTACGCTGATACCGAGAAAGACCTTGCGAACCGTGACACGCCAACGCCTGTTCACAGCGCGGAAATGAATGGAGACTCCACTCAGGAGTTGGCTCCCGAGGGAATATTCGACAAGCCAACACAAGAGAAAAAGGAGGACGGTGATGCTCAAACGCCACAGGATGAGGAAGAATATCCCAACGCATGGAAGTTGACACTGATCAGCATTGGTCTCTGTCTATGCGTGTTCTGCGTAGCATTGGTATGCGCTGCCAGTTTTGCTTACTAGGTTATATCCAGCTAACACTAATCCCCAGGACAACACCATTATTGCAACCGCAATTCCCAAGATCACTGATCAATTCAACTCCCTCGAAGACGTCGGCTGGTACGGAAGTTCATACCTCCTGACAACATGCGCCGTGTCCCTGATGTTCGGCAAACTCTACACATTCTACTCGATCAAGTGGATCTATCTCATCGCACTCTTCATTTTCGAGATCGGTTCGCTCGTCTGCGCTGTCACTCCCTCCTCCGTCGGACTCATCTGTGGCCGAGCCATCGCCGGACTCGGAGCAGCTGGTCTTTTCTCGGGCTCTGTCCTCATCATTAGCAAGAGCGTGCCCCTGGCCAAGCGGCCTCTGTACACAGGTATCATCGGCGCGATGTTTGGCATTGCCAACGTAGCCGGCCCTCTGTATGTTGCTCATAGTTCTTGATGACCGAATTATGCTAACTTCCGACAGTATGGGAGGCGCGTTCACCGACCACCTCAGTTGGCGTTGGTGTTTCTACATTAACTTGCCTTTCGGAGCAGTGACTTTCCTCTTCGTGTTGGCCTTCTTCCAAACCCCTAAAGCCATCCTGAAAAAGAACACCTTGAAAGAACAGCTCAAGGAGCTGGACCTGATCGGTTCCTTGTTTTTCCTGCCCGCTATCATCAGCTTGTTGCTCGCGCTGCAATGGGGCGGCACCAGGTATGCGTGGGGCAGCGGACGCATTATCGGCCTATTTGTGGTCTTCGGCGTTCTCGGTCTCATGTTCATTGGCGTCCAGATCTGGGCCGGGGACCGCGCAACCGTCCCACCGCGTCTGATCAAGAATCGTAACGTTTGGGGCTCGGCATGGTATGGTCTTGCTCTTGGCGCTGCCTTCTTCGTCTTGACATTCTATGTGAGTCCTCTCCACTTACTTCAAGCCCTTCCCACTTATCCCAATCAAAACCCTAACACTCTTAGCTCCCTATCTGGTTCCAATCAATCAAGGGTGCAACCGCCTTGAAATCCGGCATCATGAACCTGCCCGTAATCATCGCAGTGGTGGTCGTCTCTATCGTATCCGGTGGCCTCGTCACCATATTCGGCTACTACACGCCCTTCATGATCGCGTCGTCCGTCATCATGACCATCGGCGCAGGACTCCTGACAACCCTAGAGCTAGACTCCGGCCACGCCAAGTGGATCGGATACCAGGCCATCTTTGGTATCGGTCTGGGTTTGGGCATGCAGCAGCCTATGATCGTCGCTCAGACAGCCCTCAAGCCCGAAGACATACCTAGTGGCACGGCCATAGTCATCTTCGCCCAGACTCTCGGTGGCGCTATCTTTGTCTCCGTCGCCCAGAACGTATTCCAGAACCAGCTCGTCCAGAACTTGGCTCATTATGCGCCTGACCAAGACTCTGCGAAACTCATCTCTGCTGGAGCTACTATGCTTCGCACTCTTGTTAAAGGTGAGGCATTGCACCGTGTCCTGATTGCCTGGAATGCTGCTATCGTGCAAACATTCTATGTCGCTGTCGCCATGGGCGCATTGTCGCTCGTCGGACCCGTCTTCATTGAGTGGTTGTCTGTCAAGGGAAAGAAGGTCGAGGTGGTCCCTGTTTAAACTTCATTCGGGCTGAAGTCTTTTCGTGCACATTATTAATCTTCGTTATCTTCTCTTCTTTGTTTCTCTTCTTCGTGAGATGCTTCACGGGCAGCTGTACTGGGCCATGTACCCACGCCTTTTTATTGTTTATCATACTTAGTGCGTACATTAATGTCGGATAAAAAGTCCAATATCATTGCTTTGTGCGGTGGGATTTACGGATTTAAGTTTCCAATCGATTCATTTTTATTTCTCAACTGGAATACATACAAGCCTGTCTCACTCTAGGAGATCTAAACTGTAGGTAGCTGTTTCCTTAGTGCGTAAGTTTGTGTCGTAGAGTAGCGTGAAGGTATGGGAGAATGTGATAAGACTTTCGAGTCTACTCAGTGATTGATGGCTTCTTGGGAGCTGGTTGGGCTAGCTTGTCAGTGAGGATCTTGAGTGTCGAGGGTGCACTTGAGTGTAGTGGGTCGCGAAGCGAGGCTTGTTTCGTTGGTAAGGGAGGTGCGAGCTATGCGAGCTTTGGGATCTGTAAATCTGGGAGTAGAAGAAGACACTTCGTAGCGTGGATTGCGGCCAAGGTAAGTTGAGATGACGATGGTGCCGAGGTTGACGATGGTATCGAGGTTGACGATGGTATCGAGGTTGACGATGGTATCGAGGTTGACGATGGTATCGAGGTTGACGATGGTATCGAGGTTGACGATGGTATCGAGGTTGACGATGGTATCGAGGTCGAGGACGGTGTTGAGGTTGATGGCGTCGAGGCTGATGATAGAGCTTCAAAGGGCTCGTAAAGCCCGAGAGTCTATGGAATCATCTAGGTGCATGGTGCAATATGAGATTGATCGAAGGGGACACTCAAATTCTACACACTACGCAGTGTGACACGCTCCTATGAACCTTGAAACCTTCTTCTCCAAGTACCCGGACAAGCCGAATAGGTGATGAAAAAGTCGCGTCAGCTGGGGGTAGTGTAAGCCCCGCGACACTGTGCAACGAGGCGTGTGCAAGCACAGGGGCCAAGTCACGAGCTGCAAAGATTGGAATAATCAGTTAAGCTCCACCGTGGTGAAACTGTTAGTGATTAGACTAACAAGAACAGTTACTACACTTGATCTAAGCCAGAGGCAAAGAGAAGTTGGGAAGGAGAGAGAAGAGGAAAGAGGACGGGGGCCCCGGGGGGTCTTTATATACACCGAAGGCGGCGCGGCTCTGCGGGTACTGCCGGTATCCACGTGCCGAATACCGGGCAGTATTGCCGGTATGATCATTGCAAGTGACCCTGTAGAGAATTCACTGGTTATGTATTCTTTTTATCCCTTAGCCGTATAAATGGTACCTACTGTGGTATCCTACCTACTTCTATATGTACTACGTGTTTTCATGTAGGCATCAGCCTCGCTTGGCTTCCCGTAAGCCTCTACAGGGGATGTTCTACAGAGGATCAGGCTCCGCTGCGGTGACCGTGACCCGCCCACCTACATGGATTTCCCTCTGGTTAATGCGAGGACGGCCATTTTCATGACTGGCATAGTCAAGATAATCTAGATGATAATCCTAACACAGAGAGTTTCCTGATCCCCTGCATTGGCACATATGATTGATCTTCTTCCAGACTCACTTTAAATCGATGGTTTTGGAATATCACCCATTCATGTGGATCTGGGATTCATGAGTAGAAGTGGCATATGCTCCTTCGTAATACCACCCGGGCAGACACAGTTCACTCAGTTAGCCAATGCAATAGAACATTCCCAGGTTATATAGCGAGATATCGTTTCCAAGGGAACCTTGGAATCAGTTCAAGATAAACATTATGTCTCAGTCACTCAATAATTGATACTACCAGCAAGTCGCAGAAACCGAGTCTTTGGACATTTCATCCCATTTATTTGAGCTCGCCATCTGGATAAAACCGTCCGACGGATTATTGCATCAATTCTTTCAAAGTATGATAATACAACGCTGAAGTAACACAAAGAAGCAGATTGACAGACAATACCTAAACACCAGCATATAAGCTCAAATAGACACCCCAGATCACCCCACATGCACTTCCAAAGACCACTCGTCGATCTACAGGAATGACTGTGTACATTAAGACCGAAACAAGAGGCCGGTACTTCAAACGGGCACTCATAAGAGGCCGGAAATCCTACAGAAGTCAGCATATCTGTAATCGACAATATCGTTCCCCAGCAACTTACCAAAACAACTAAATCCCATGACTTTTTAAGACTCTCTCCCTTCAGCAGATTGATGACAACCACAAATAACACGAGATTGACGATCGAGGCAGCCGTCTGATCAAAGAAGAACTTCATGACAAAGCTACGCAGCCCGGATGGCTGCGTACGCGGTGCCCATCGGACATGCTTTTCTTTCTCCTTGTGGCTAGGGAGCGAATCTTCTGGGGGAGCTCTTGAAAAGATGGAAAGCCATGAGCGAGGCGAGCAGATAGATTTCAGCGATCGAAGACTGAAGACTTTTGAGAATTCGGCACGCGTAGGAAACCCTGGATAACGCGCTTCAAGGGCGCGTTGCCAGTAGAAATTAGGGGGCACGATTAAGATGCCATACCCCACAAATTGGAGGAGAGCCACTGTGTTTAGAGTGAATGGAGCCTAGTAATTTTTCTTAACTTTGTCATCTTTGATAATATAGAACATGAACCGTTCTTACTTTGTTGTTTCGCTGGTCAATCAGCTGCGCGAGGACATTGGAAATGGCATTCAAAATGGTTGCCTGCACGAACGTCACAATCAATGGCGAGGTCATAATGGAGAAGACCCTTCGATCGGATCCATTCAAGTTCCAATATTCCAATATAAGTTAAAAAAATGTCAGGGATTGTTGCCAAGACGCGCAACCGTGTCCTGAGGAGAGGTTGGGGGGCGGATAAGAGGTTGAGAGATTAAGCGACTTTTTATGTTTCAAATTCTACATCTTCGACATGACCGCTTTTAAGAATGAGAAATTGCCTAAAAATAAAATGCTAAATTACTTCCGTCTAAACACAACATTCGGCCCATTCTTCGCGGAGGTGAAATGATCCGTCAGCGCCAGATGTCCCGCGTCTTCGCCTTCACGATCTGCCAATGACATGTCGAAGAGGAACACCAGCCGCGCCACTGTCAGCCGCATCTCCATAAATGCCATGCTCTTGCCAATGCAGCCACGGGGCCCAATGCTAAATGGACAGAATGCGTGTCGCGCAGTTTCAATGCTCTCCTTGGTTGTCTGCCAAGACATCCCAGATGCCCTGCAGGTGGCGTCTTCAATCCAGCGCTCCGGAATATAGGTCCCTGCTTCCCGGTAGTATCGCTCTTGACGATGGATCGAGTATGTCGGTGTACCGCAGTCTGTGCCGGCAGGTAAGAAGACACCATCGACCACGGCGCCGCCTTCCATCACTTCGCGGGGAATCGCACCGGGCACGGCCGGGGCTAGACGCAATGCCTCGTCGAGGCATGCTTTGAGATACACCAGTTCGCCGAGCTGACTGCCGGTCACGATCTCTTCGACTTCGTTGAAGGCGCCGCGCACTTCAGCACACAGCTTGGCCAGTGCCTCTGGACTCCGAACTAGGTAAAACAGTGTGGCTGCCAGTGTAGTCGAGGTTGTGTCGCTGCCCGCAATCATGAGGACGTTCGACTCGCCCCAAAGCTCGGGCGTGCTGAGTCCATTGCCGGTCTCTGGATCCTTCGCGTTCAACAGGTAATAGAAGAAGTCCTTCTTAGCGTCGTGACCAATCTGGGTACGCTCCTTGGCGCGCTCGTTTGCTTCAACGCGCGAATTCATAATGAAATTCCATCGGTCGCGCGTCAGCTTGCGGATGAATATCTGGTCCAGACCCCATGTGTCTAGGGGCATCCACAGTCCACACTATGGGAGAATTAGAAAAATATTCCCATGATGGAAAAAATAGAAATGCTTACCACATAGTGCCTGTTCGCAGCACGATCCACCAAACCAACTTTATATCTCATATCCTCAGAGACAAGCATATCAAAGCTCTTGCCGAAGCATAGCTCGCCCATAACATCGTACGAGAGGTAACTGAACCAATTACCCATGTTCTTGACATTACCCTTCTGATCATGCGATTCGAAATGCCCATCATACCCAGCCAGCACGGAACACAGCTGACGCACATGGAGGAGCATCACATCCTCCATGCCCCTGAGAGCATTATCCGAGAAAGCCTGGCTAAGGACTCTCCTTTTGCGACCATGCATGGTCTTATCAATGGCGTTGTGCGTGTTATACACGCCCTTGATGGCAGGGAAAGCATTATAGAAATCAGCCTTCTGAAGGCGTTTCCCGTGTCCGTAGATATCGTGCAATCCACGATCAGAGTTGACAGAGACGAAATTAGGCGCAACACGCACGTGTGTTCCATACTGACTGTGTAGCTTGTGTAGCCAGAGATGGCGATCACCCTTTAGGCCATGGTATAGTTGGACCCAGGGTGTAATAGATGCGAGGAGAGGTCCGTTGATACGACGGAGAGGATGGATGAAGCGATTGTAGAGGGCGTAGACGAGGGTCTGGAATGAGTTAGATTAGCCTACTTCTAGAGCACAATACTTGGAAATGGGTGATATGGCATCAAAAGGACGGGATATGCGTACCGCTACTGCTAATAGCCCTACCAAGCCTCCTAGAACCCTCTGTAGAGAAAAGCACTCCAATACAGATTCAATAAGCATTTTGTATGATCATGAAGTAATAAGCTTGGATTGGCTCTACTTGTTACTTATCATATGTCTCAAACTTCCTTTATACTATACTCTTCCGCCGTCGATACCCGCACCCAACCGCGGTCAATGACGACGGACCCATACTACGGAATAGGCCTAATAGAACTGGAGTTCCAATTAAGAATTGCCGATTTCATAAGGGCTTTGTAAGACTCCCGTCGGTTATAGGCGGTTGTTTTTGGAAATGCTTATACAATGCAGCTGTTATTGGTTATGCTTAAATCCACTATTGACTTATATGGCATCCGCGGGGAAGCCTCATGTCTGGTACTTTTGTGGGGATTCACTTTATGGGGAAGATAGAAAAATAAATATGTACTTGAGATCTTGCAGTGAAAATTTGTATTCAGATTTAGGAATGTAACATAGACGGATGTGTTCTATTTTCGGCGGACCGTCATTCAACAATTCGGTCATACAGTAGCATCTGGCAAGTCCCCTCTATCGACTCCACTGGCTCGGGTTATCCTGGGAATTGTGATAATACCGCCGTTATTAGCCGATTGACGGTGATGAGACATCCGAAACCCGTTCCGATGATTCCGTGCTTTTCAAGACCGAAGGATGTGTTAGACACAGGGATACATAGTAAACACGCTTTTCTGCGTGAGGTTGTCTTGCTACACTGATATCGGTAATGAAGCTGGTGATACCCCCTATAAACTACATCCCAATATGGTTGATTCAGGATTATGAAAATGGCCCGAAATGGTACTTTTTTGAGGTTCACGCTTTGGGGCTTGCGGTTAAATCCACGTAAGATTATGTTTTAAGTGGTGTGTCCATGTATTCCTCCATCCAAAATCCATTGCTCGTTGTCGTCGTTGTCATCTTGCACACGTCGCCAAGTCTGTTTTCGTTCAGTTGGTTCCGCTGCTTCGGTCTGCTTTGTTTCTGGCGCACGCCAAACAGGTCGCATAAGACCACCAGCTGCGAGAAGGGGGTTGCGGCTGAAAGCATGTTGTCCTCGCGGGGTGTCCGCCGCACCTCTTTCATCAACAGGTTCAGGCTCACTGGCCTCTGGGGTTGGTTCTGCCGGTGCGGAATGATAGACTCGGCGGACCTTGCCACCCGTTATATCAAGACTCATGACAGTCTTCTTCCTCTCCCACTCAGGACGAGCCTTCTCGTCCATCTCGCGCTGAATGCGCTGCTGCTTCTTGAGTGCCAGTGCTCGCTGTGTGGGTGTCATCCACAAGGTTGAGGCAACATTCGGAGTCTCGAAATCTGCTGTTTCATCAACAACCTTGGTCCGACGCGCATTTTGCGCTTGGAACTGGAGCAGCTTGTCCCGATGTGCTCTCGCGGCATCCAGGTTGCTGGGAGGTTCGGCCCCGCCAGTAGGCCTAGGGGCCCCTTCATGATGAACACCTTCATTGTGTACGCGCATCTTCTCTTGTCCGCGTTCCGCCCGTAGTTCCCGAATCATACCTTGCACTTCTTCAGCGGAGAGGAGCGGTGTGCCGCAGAATGAGCACGGCTGTAGACCCTCAAGTGAGCAGATAATTTTCCCGCAGTTGAGGCAATTGGGTGCCGGGTCAAATACTGGGTGCAGTGACCCGTAGCAGGTGCAACTGCGTCTCTCCCCCAGACTCGGATTCGTCGATACCTCCAGCGCGGCGATAGCGGCGGTAAGGTCGGATATATCGTTGGTTGTGAGAGCTGGGTTTGCCTTGGAAGACGATCCTCCTCCACCTTGACGTGTTGACTTGCTCACTTTTGATCGCACATTTGGTAGCATGTCTGAGATCGTGGGGCCACTCGCGGATGGTGGTGGCTTCGGGGATGATGCGGGTAATGGGGAGGGAATGCGCGACGAGGCGGAGGACCCATGCGGTGATGGCGCAAGAGTAGGAGCTGGTTTTCGAGAAGACATATAGTCTTCTTCGTCGGCTTTCTTGTAGCCACCTCCTACATCGCCGTAGTCGTCGGGTCGACGTGGTGGGCCGGCACTGTGCAGCGGAGCCTTCTTTTTGCCCTTCTTGGCTCCTCCGCTTGATCTCGATGCATCTCTGCTTTGTGTGGGAGGATTCTGAGGCGGTCGCTGGGGTTCTCGGCGTGCATTAAATGAGGAGATGAATTCTAGGGCGGCCGGGGAGTCGCCGAGGAGGTTTTTGAGGTGGTCCGCACATGCCTCCCTCGAGAGGCTGACGGCATAATCGATAACCTGAGAAAGAGAGTCTGGATCCAGCGGGAGAAGCTGGGAGAGACGAGGAGCTGCCCATGCGCTAAGATCGGCCATGTTAGAAAGTATTTAGGCCTGGGTTGGTGAATGAGGTGAAATGTAGAATCCCCCCACTTATTAAGCACCTATCTCCCCGGCCAACTGGCTAGCCACCTAGACACAAAGCCCGTACTCATAGGAGGATCCCCCACGAAATGTGATTTGTTGTTCAATCACCCATATATCATGCTTGAATAAAGCATAATGAGAGATTACACATGCAGTCATGAATAAGATCCGCTTTTTGTCTAGTCCTTTCTTTGTCATGGTTCTTGACGCTAAACGGACTATTGAATATATACATGAGGGCAAGCCTGATATTAGCTGTGGAAGATTATCTTCTTATGATTCCACTTCTATTGGAGTCCTATTGGAGACAATGCAGTACAGACTGAGTTCATTCTTCTTAAATTGTGAATTTATATTCTTGGTTATAGATGCCAAATGTCTTCTATCCCCACCCGATGAAATATGGTGGACGATAACAATACCTAGATGAAATGGACCACTATGTAGGGTGTGTTAGACAGACCTACCTAGGTTAGGGTTTATTATGAAGAGTAGAAATAGATGTACGCAACTTGTGCTACTTTATATTGGCTATATACTGTACACGAATATACGGGTAAAGAATGATGGGTGTATCATTAGGGCGTTACTGGTGAGACATACTACATATTAACCGGCCGGCAAAATCGGCTGCACCTCTTCCCCCTATAAAGCATCGAAGCAAGCTCACTTTCAACTTAAACAACAACATCAGGACATATCAGCTTTTTGAAAGGAGGACAACTTTCCAAGTTCCCACAATGAGCAACGATCAGGCAGAACTTGATGCCACAGAATATGGGCCTCGCACCTGCCCCCCAGGCTTCTCCGATCACTCGTTCAAGACCGAAAGCGGCATAGAGCTTGCTGTACGAATCTGGCCCGCTGATCCTCCCGTTGATAAGCCAGCTCCAGTGGTGTTTTACACCCACGGCGGCGGCTGGTTTGCAGGAAACCACTTTGCGCCGCTCCCATGGATGCAACCTGGCTTTCGCCAGCGAGGCTACCATATAATATCACACAACTTCCGACTTGGTCCACAGGCGAGCTATGAAATGCAGTTGCAAGATTCTATGGATGCCGTGAGTTGGTGTCGGGCTAATCTCCCGTCCATACTCGGCATAGACACGGTAGACGTGAGCCAGCTGATTATCTGCGGTGATTCAGGCGGCGCACTTCTCACTGGCCTCATAGGACACCATCTAACACCGCCGCCAAAGGTTGTCATTCTCGTTTATGGATTAGTTGATCCAGCAGCGGCGTGGCCCATCCTATCGCCGGTTCCCGAGAACCCTGAAGACGCGCCGCCATGGGTTGGCGAGTTCTCTGATACTGAGTTAGAGGAATTTCTAAAAGACCGAGATGAATCCAACATGTTGACGGATGCGCTGTGGGCTGATGAGAATAAGACTGAGTCCGAGGAGGTGCTGAGTAGACGCTGGGGGACCGATGTTCGCTTCACCCGTCGGATACGACTTCAGGCGGAGCTTCACCAGTGGCGATCTGACATAGCTGCGCGTGTTGGTTCTACTGTCAGGTCGGTACGTCTAGGTTCGCTACATGCTGAGCGCTTTGCGGATGAAGCAGCCCTGACTGCGTTTCTACTGTCTATGTCACCATCTCCGCTCCTAGAGACGAAGACGTCGTATCCGCCTACAGCTTTCCTACATGGCACGGGTGATAGGGCTGCTCCGCTCGCACAAAGCCAGGCAATGGCTAAGCGTCTCAAGGCGATGAATGTACCCGTCGCCGAAAGCTACGAGCCTAATGAAGATCATGTTTTTGATCACAAGTATACTGTGTGTAACTCTGCAGGGATCATGCTAATACATGCGCTAATTGGTGATGCAGAGCCCCGATGTGCCGGGATGGGACACATATATCCAGCCTATTCTGGATTTTTGCAACCAACATATCTAGTAGCTGTGGGTGAATCGTGCGGGCACCACAGGCTAGAACACGCTCACAGGAGACTGTAACCTGCAGGAACAAGAAGCAGCTCTTCAGCTCTGCCGTGGGGCTCATGCTGTGATAGGACTCCTGTTCGTGATACCGGATTTGTAAGGGTATTTTATGTAACTGTGAGAGTCATTATTTCCGCCTTAATGGTTTCTTTCGCATCGTGCATATCGAGCTATAGGAAGGGAATGCTGATCCACCTTCGATCTGGCAGACCATATCGCACCGTACAGGACGTCACTCCCTACAATTGGCGCAGGCACTGTTCGGAGAACTCCTCGACACCATAATTATATCGCTAAAGATCATGTGTAGTGAGGTTTAATGCATATTTTGAGTTCTTTTGGGACATATTTGGCCGATATATAGGCATCTGCTTCTCTAGGAAACCAACCAGCTTCCTCCACCCCGCCTTACCAAAACGACCTAAGTTTTAGTTTCAGTCTGCTCAGAGCTTGCTGTGTTTATTGTCGAAGATGGCATATGGGGATATAGACGTGCAGTTGTGTATGATCACAGAACGATATTGATCGTGCCCCGTTAGGTTCGGGGTGAGATCAGTTGGCAGTGTACATGTTAAGCTGTTATATCTCGACTTTTTAGCCATTCAATGAGCTCAGAGTATTCGGAAACGAAGAAAATATTCATATTAGCACGAATCAGTTGCATATTTCTTGCAGTGTCCCTGTCAGTTGTATTTCATGTTATCAAAGTAATGTACATCCTACAAAGTCCATCCCCCTCGTCATCATTCATCTATGCAGATTTATTCGAAGGAAAGGTCAAACCATGACCAGACCAAACCAGACCCAGAGACGCCACAGGACATGACCAGCCCATCAAAACAAAGCTCAAACGCCGCGGACACCATGATAGGAAAAAAAGGGTATGGGAAAACAAATGGAAGCTCAGTCGGCGTTCTCGCTCTTGATGTCGTCGTCGTTGTCCTCAACCGTGAATGATTGCTTGAGCTTACTTGGCCCGGGCTTTGCGGTGGAGCCCTTCTTGGGTCCATTCAGCTTCTTCTTCTTGGTAGGGCTGGGGCTTTCTTCGTCGTCGTCTGCGTAAGGGCGCTTGGGCGCCGATGAACTGGGACTATTGCCATTGCTAGCGCTGTCAGTGGGGGTCTTATTGCGGCCCCCATCGCGGCCACCGCGGCCACCGCAGACGCAGCGTTCAAGATGTTGAGCGAGACGAGTCATGACAAAGTAGCGTGGACAGATTGGGCATTTGGTAGTTGGAATTTCGGGAATGGTGCTGTCTCGGTCACCCTTCTTTTTCTTGGGGTTTGGTGTGACTGCAAAGAGCTTTCCGTGGACGTCATGGCCGGGAAGGTCGATCATGGGCACATTTGTACAATATTCAACGTCGGGATCGGGAGGGGGCAGGAACGAACCCCGGTGGTCGGGTACATAAGCTTTGGGAGGCGACAATCTGGGCATACAAGCTCCTTCACGGTTTTCATCGGATTTCCTTTGAGGAAGACCTTTCCGCGGTTGTAAACGGCTGCATCCGTCTCCACGCGCATACCCGCAAGTTTCTTGGTATCGAGAACAATTTCTCTCTTTGTATCAGTCGATGTTTTGCTGGGGGCCTCCTCCGGCATGATTGCATCTTCCTCCGCCTTCTGTCGGGCAAGAACAACTGCAGACCGCATGCGCGCCACCTTCTCTTCGCGGTGAACTTTGGCGACAAGGTCGTGAATGATGTTTTGGAATGTTTCGTTCAGGATGTCGGTAGCCTAGAGAAGAAGTTATTAGAATCCGTATTGTTACAATCCATGAAGTTCGCCCAGGGCCAATCATACCACTTTAGCGATCGTTCCGGCAGGGTAAGTCGGCCTGCGACCACCGCTGCTGTTGGAGTCGGCCATTTTCGGATTGCGGCCGGAGATGGATGCGCCGAATATTTCTCGTCCGGTCCTGATTGACCGACGGCTGTGTCTGCCCGCGACACAGGTAGTGAGTACTCCGAACCGCTAGGTCCGAGGTTTAGTTCTCCATGTACTGGAAATCTATGCAGGGTTGACGCAATGGGTGCACGGGTGTAGGGGAGAAGAAAAGAGAAGAAGTCCAAAACATAGAAGCCGAAATAAAAGGATGGAAGAAGACAATAGGGAGGGCTGAATTGTCTAGCCTAGTGTAAGGCCTATTGTCAGTGAGCTTCAATAATGGGGGGGGCGTAGGACTAATGGCCAGCAACAATAGGGGAAGGCAATGTGGTCAATGAAGGTGTTCTATTGACGCATACAATAGGGAGTAGGCACCGACAGCAAATAGGGCACTGACCTATTGAGGTGTCTATTTGCATGCGAATGAAATATCACTCTGTGAGATGAAGAGACGGATGAGGCTGGAGCAAGTTGTTCACTGGGCTTATCTTATCGTATCTCCGCATTCGCTGCCTCTCTGCTCGCTCTTTCACAACCATTAAACTTGCTGCAAGATGGCATACCAGTTCTTTTCAAAGAATCAGGCAAGGCAAGTGAATTCTTCGTCTTCGCTGTCTCCTCCCCCGACCAACCGCCAACCTGCGCGGCCTCCTATCCACCCCCATCCAGTTCAACCGCCTCAATCAGCCGTCGCAAACACGTCAGGCCCGAAACACTTGAAAGAAGAGATGTTTGACCCATATCCTCATGATATTTCAGCTGGTGTGGCGACTCCACACCCCCATATAACGGTCGAGAAAGTCAACACGGCGCATATCCCTTCCTTGACGCGGATCACCGGCTTACTCCTTCCCATCCGCTACCCGAACTCGTTCTACACAGCTATCATAACCGATCCGGTGATCGCTTCTCTTTCGCGAGTTGCTATTTACCATGACCACCCTGTTGGTGCAGCCCCAGGGTCCGGCGCATCTGCCGGGACGGACAAAGTGATCGGGGGCATTCGGTGTCGACTAGAAAGAATCCGACAGGGAGAGGACTCAAACAAAGAGACCCCAATCCAAGGGAATGGATGTCCCACAAATCTCTACATTCAGACTCTACATCTTCTCTCCCCATACCGGGGCTGTGGTGTGGCCGCATCACTGTTGAATTCGCTTCTCTATGCGGACCGCAAGGAGAAGGACTCATACCAGGTGTCCGAGCTTGTCAGACATTATAACATCCGCTCCGTGACAGCACATGTTCATGAGGCAAACGAAGAAGGGTTGGACTGGTATATTGCGCGTGGATTTAAGGTTGACGGTGATGTAGCCGAATACTATCGGCGACTGAAGCCGTCGGGTGCGAAGATCGTACGACTAGATTTGAACTGGAATGGAGAATATGAAGCACAAGCTCCGAAAGAAGCCAATACCCATACTATCACTCCTCCTGGTGAGGTAGAAGACGAGGACTGGGAGAAGGTCGAGGCCGAGGATGGCGAAGAAGGTGACCATGGGATACATCATTTGAATGAGTCGCAAGTCCTTGAAAAGCAGGATACGCCTTCGCGCAAGCGCAAGGCTGAAGAGGACAATCACAAGTCTCTTGTCGAGTGAGATGTGCTTTGCAAGTGTGGCTTTCTGATATACTTTGGATACCCTTTGCACTTGTTTATGCATCTGGTTTAGAATAGTGCTTATGCTAGATGACCGCTGCGTGAATGATAATATTATACTTTAATATGAGAAACGATCTCTCGCGATATACACTCCTACGTGTGGAAGTTGAGCATTAGAAGAACTGTCATGATATGCATATAATTGTAACGCCATGGGTATAAAATCAACAAAAGACAGCAATGCTACATTAGACGTTATAGTTCTCAGCATGTAAAAAAATCTCATCTCTTGACGAGTCCATAATTACCTGCAGCTGCAGCTTGGCTACCGCGTTAGCGACCTCAACTCGCATGCTCGGTGGACCGCAGACGAAAACACACGCCCGGCGGCCAAATGTTTGGGAAAACTCATTGACCATCTGCGTAATGTTCGGGCGGAAGTAATCAGTCCGCCAATTATCGCGTGCACGTGGCTGATAATAAGCAAACCGTGGTGCTGGCGGTGGCCTTTGTGGCACAGGTTGAGGTGCGCCGAATCCAAAGTCGAAGTTTGGGCTGCCATAAGCAGTTGACGCAGCGGGGCCATGAGGGTTCATGGCAGGCTGGTAGTATTGGCGGGTATTGGATGCATGGGTGGCCGTGTATGCATTGGGGAGAGCAGCGACACCGTCTTCATTCTCACGGCGCAATTCCTTTTCTATATCGGGGTTGCCGGCAGCTTCATCGCGGATATAAGCCGAGTTCCGCTTGTCAATTCCCTGAAGCATGCCGTAGATCTTCTCTTGGACCGTGTCCCGTCCAACTTGGTCATTTTGCTGCACTCCCGTGAGGAAGAAATGACAGCTCACGATGTTCGAAGGTGCATAGTCACGGCAAATTCGTAGTTCTTCTTGGAACCATTCCATTGTCTCGGGGCTCTTGAGCGCCCAAATGACTTTGACTGACTTGACGATGGCCTTGCCATCTCGAATCTTCTTGATGAGATCCAGCAGTTGGCTTGCAATAGCGGTAATACCACTTCCTCCGGCAAAGAAGATCACGTCGTCGAAAGCAGCGATCTCGCGCTGCATACCACCGTAAGGCCCTTCTACAAATGCGCTGTAGGTTTTGTAGGGACCACGTTCCAAGGCTTCCTGGAATACATCGCGTGTGAAACCTTTGAATGGTCGGAAAACCAGTGTCATATCACGATACTTTTCACCATACCCAGATGGGAAGTCGTCGCTGCAAAGAGAGGCAATCGTGAAAGGGTGGCTCTGAATCACGGAAATCCTCGGCATTCGTAGGTAAACATACTGACCGGGCTTCCAACGCATCTTTGTGGGAATGGTGATTTTGATGGCATTTTGCGGAAGAAGGGTTATGGCCGACTCTTCTCCGATCAAGAATGATGAACGGAAAGGGTGTGTCCAGTTCAAGTAGAACAGCCGGGCGGTATATGAGATGACCCAAATGGCAATGGTTGTAAAAAGATAGGCCCACGATGACAGATAGTTCCTCGTGTGCCAGAAGAGCATTGCCACAAAGATGTATGAGACTGGGATATGAACAATGACAAAAAGCTCATACATCCAATTGCGAAAGATTGGAAGAGAATGGATACACAACACAAGCAGAGGAACTATCGCCGCAATTCCAGTCCCATACACATAGGCATGCGGTGGGATGCCTATGCTATAGTTTACCAAAGCGCCATCTTCCCAAATTGGAGTGATGTAAAATGGGACCATGTGAACCAAACTGAGGAATAAGCAGATATAGGCTGACCAACGGTGCAACCCATTCAACCGCTCAGGGCTAAGGCCAGTCATCATAGTGATAAAGTTTGCCTTGGTGCTGAGTGCAACAATCCAGGGGATCATAGCTACTGCGATCATGCCTGCCCGAATAGCCAGTGGTGGCGACCCCAGCGCAATTGACCAGTAGTATAAGGGCTGTGGCACAAAACAATATAATGTGACGAAGATGAATGCAACCAGAACAATTGCCGTGATTGCCAGAGACGGGAAAACAATCTCTACCTTCCAAATGCGCAGGGAGGGAATTGGTCGGTAGAAGATCCATCGCATAAAGGCAATTGCCTTGTTCAAGGGAACTATGCTAGCAAGAATCGATTCTCGCCTTTTAGGTGGAGAGATTGCGTTTGGTGATGGAAAGAAATGGGCGTTGGAAGCATCAGTGCCTGCACTCGGGAGCTCGTACTCGTCCGGTACTGAATCGTCGCGAAAGATCTCTGGTCGGTTTTCTTTATAGAGGGCAATCCGCATCTTGTCGCCCCATTTATGCCAGCACCGCACAAAGGTCGTGATTATCAGTAGCACGACGGCAAAATAGACAAATCCTTCTCCATATTTTGCTGACTTTGACCATGGATCTCGCTGCATCTCAGCCTCCTCGGCTGCAGTCGTCGATGCCGTGATCGCAACATTGATGCGCTTGGCAAGGGACACCATGGTGCTTAGCATTTTGCTGTGCGTTGGTCGACAGCAGTAATTTTTTTCTGCAATTGCTTCTAGTTAGATCCATCTCAAGATCCAATCTTGCACGGAGTAACCTACCTTTAGGTATAACCTGCGCACAAGAGTATTCCTCTCTTGTACTATAGTCAGACGCTCATATCTTTACTGGAACGCTTAATATTGATGTCATCAAATTCAAGAAGCGGAAAAGCAGTATTCGAGGGAAATTCCATCTAAATGTATGGGAAAATGGAAGCGGGGAGTCACATTGCAGTCTCGGCCTTGTGATAGAATAAGCCCAACAGAATATTGTGGCTGGTCACAAATTAAACCAATCAATTATGGGGATTGCAGACCGATTTATGAAAGTACAGGCGTTTCGCCATTGTGATAGGGATATTCCAGTGATGTGTGACGGTTTAGCGCTCTGCAGCCCAATCACAGCCGGCGACATTAGCAGCAGAGTGACTGGGGGTGATCGAGCCGCATTAGCGTGGGGAATATGCAGAACACTCTTCTCATTCTCACACTAATATGTCTAAAGTACCCATCCAATTATAATCGAACTATAATGTATTTAGTCTCCGGTCGTGTGGTAGCAGAAACTATGGGAGCTGTCGCACACCATGTTGTATGTATAAATAGACTAGGAGTGACTTGATTCCTGTCGTAATAACCTTGCTTAGTATCAGTGGCTCCACGAAAAAGACTATGGAAGAGATCAAGCTGTCAATGTGGAGTGTATGAGGGTTTAGTTGCCGAAGCGAATAGCAGTAGTAAGCTGTACGATGTATCCCCCTGGCGATGACCACTGACCTCCATAGTCAGATATTAAGCATGCCTACCTGTGAAACGAAAGGAATCAAAGGAACAAACATTTCGATATCTTTTGAAAGAATCTTCGACTTTAGAGCTCCTGTTCGGTACCTGCATAACAGCAAGGATCTCGTGTGGTATACAGTAGACCAGACAACTATGTCACATCCAACCTTAGAATATTAGACATCATGTACAGAAATTTTTTATTCCATTCCATTATGCAGAGTACTTCGGTGTCCTAGAAAAGCAATCTAATTACCGAATTTGCTAGTTCTCGGGAAGATATACTATGCCTGCAAAAGAATAGACCTAAGGTTTAACCGTCTTGGTTTTGCTTCACACAGAACTCGATTCTGATTGACATACTTGCTAGACGATTCGGTGGTAGCTCATCCATTTGGCCAGCACCAATTTCGATCTCGTTGCACTTCCGTTCCTCTCGATCTATTGGGCGCCATCCACTTCAGCCGCTTTCGCTATTGCTTCAACAGTATACTCATCCGGGTCCCACTTCAGAATCCTGGTTTTCATCTCTTCCAGCTTCCGAACAACCAGTTTCTCCATCTCCTCTATGTCCTTTTCACCTAGTAGGCTGAGCCTCTCCTTCCAAGCTGTCTCGGGCCTTTGAGCAGCCTCGAAGAAAAACGGATCGATTTTCTCCCAGTAGATTGCGTCAAATGCAAGGCCATTCAACGCTGCATACACGATCTAGAAATTTCCGCTGTCCCAGCTCCGTTGCATATGAATAGATAGGCGTTGATTCTCTTTGATGTGCCCTTTTTGAATCTCCGTGTCTTCGCAATCTCTCATGACGCTAAGAAACGTTCTTAAGCGACGATTAAACACTTTCTCCCAGTCATCTATGCCATTTGGCCAGAGCTTGGGGTTTTCGATAAGCAGCCACCAAGGCGGCGCATAAGAGAACTCAACTGGTGCAGCATATGTGAACTCCCAGTCTACCATTCCAGCAATTTGCATATTCTCATGGAGTAGTACATTCCACGATCGCAAATCGTCACACCAGATCTTGAAGGGACTCTGTTCGAATGGTGAATCAATAAGTCGCTTTTCTCTAGCGAGCTTACGAAAAAGCTACCGCGCCACAAACTTCCGTCGACAATCATCTACTAACTCCACAGCATCGTTCCTCTAGTGCACCAAGTGCTCAATGTTCAGGTCCGCAAGGGCTTCAAGATAACAAGAAGTTGTACTAAATATAGTGTCAGGAAGTTTAAACCGCGGTAGGCCTCCCAGTCGTACTAGTTCATTCATATTCATTGATAAGGGTCGACGTGATACTTCCCAGGTGAAGTCATCGACCTGGGTGAGAGATCATATACGAGGAAAGGAATTCTTTGATAGCTATAGTAGAATACCCGCTAGCTGACCATATACAAACTCTAGCGTATCATCGTTAATGTTCGGGCCCAGAATTCCACGTTCCTTTTTCGGACATCCAGGGGTATTGAGAGCGTCGTACATATTTGTTTCGTGTTCGACATACTCCATCATGATAAATGGGCTTAGTTCAAGGGGGTTTTCCTTCTTCGTGCCTAAGTGGAGAATGAATGAAATAGGTAACGATGTCTGGTCTGTAAGAAATTGCATCAAAGCAACTTCGTTCACGACTTTTTCCTCAGGGAAAAATACGGCACCCGGCTGAGATAGCCGTATAACCACGGCATGATTGGGGTATTTCATCCGTAAGGAGATATTCTAAGAACCTTTTTCGAGTATGGCAAACTCGATACCATCTCCTCTTTGGCGCTCGAGGATAAACATCGCAATCGGTTTCTTGATGTCAAGTTTCAGGAATTGAAGTAGCCAATTGTGAGATATTTTCTCGGCGTATTCCCAGGCCATATCGTCAGCGCACATTAGAGCTTGCATGATTGCGTCGCAAGCTGGGTAGAATAGTTTGAAAGTGATATAGTGAAAAAGAAGATTGATTGATTGCTGGGAGTGTGATGCGTTAATGCCTTAGGCCTCTCCGCTTTAGTCGGTACAGAGTACATATTATGTGTGTAGAAATACAGCGTATTTTACCACTAGACCACTACAAAAACCATGATTCTTGTACATATGAGGCCTAACGGCGCCATATCTACTAGTTATTTGACATAGTATCTAATAATGTCTTGGCAGATAAACCGTTGATGCCTGGGGCATTAGTGACAGCTTCCACCGCCTTTCGATAGGAAATTATTCTGCCGTCTTATGCTCGTCCGCTTTTTCTGCATCTTCAATTATTTCTGCATCGCTCTTAGACACAAGTAGAGACATTCTCTTTAGTCATGGCGTCCACCACTACTCCCAGTAACCCGACACCCCCGTCATTATCCCTTCCACCATCTCAATTCGCCCGCCTCCAACCCCACGCCTACCTTCTCGCCCACCTCTCTCCACCAGCGAGCAACCAGCCCTCAATCCGCGCGAACGGCCGTGCCACCTCACAATTCCGTGTCACATCCGCAAATGCTGGCTCCTTAACTCACACAAACGGCAGCGCAGTCGTACGAATCGGCGACACAGCTGCTGTCTGCGGCGTTCGCGCAGAGATCCTACACACCAAAGACATCGCTTCCTGGAGTGTGTTGCAGGCCTCATCAGAGCAAAATTTCGACAAGTCAAATGAGGCAGGAGTCTCCGAGTCCCAAGATGAGGAAGATAAAGGCCACATCCAAGATCTGAACCTACTTGTTCCCAACCTTTCTCTCAGCACTGGCTGCGCGCCAGGCTTTACACCCGGCGCACCACCTTCTGCGCTGGCTCAGTCACTTTCCCACCAAATTCTTTCCCTCCTGCACACCACCCGTCTCGTTCAAGCAGACGACTTGCGCATCTGGTATCAGCCACCGAATCTGGACTCGGAAGAATTCCGCAATGCGGGCGAGGGGATGGAGGTGGATACAGAAGAGAGCGGGGGTCCTGAGCGGGAGGTTAAGGCATTCTGGGTGCTCTACATTGATGTCATGATCATTTCTCTGGCTGGAAACCCATTCGACGCGGCCTGGGCCTCTGTCTTGGCTGCGCTTCGGGACACAAAACTTCCCAAGGCCTGGTGGGATGCTGATAATGAGACTATCCTTTGCTCGGACGATGTTTCCGATGCGCAAAAGTTGTCTCTGCGTGGCTTGCCCGTTTCTAGCTCGTTCTGTTCTTTCGAGGGAGATGTCGCTGCTGGTTGGAGGGCGGTTGTCATTCCCGATGCTGAGGAGCAGAAGCAGAAGAAGGGTGCACAGCAAAGGTGGATCCTTGCGGATCCTGATGGATACGAAGAGGGATTGAGTCAAGAGCGAATTTCTGTTGTTGTGGATAAAGAGAACGGGAAGACGGTTATTGTGAAGATGGAGAAGCATGGCGGTTGGACTGTGGACAGTGATGATCTGCGCCACCTTGTGGATGTTTCTGCTCAGAGATGGGATGAAATGAAGCGGATACTGGATCAATGCTGATGGAACTGATATGCACTACAAATGAATGATACCACTTCAAGTATTTCTTGCCATTTTTGCCTTTTAAATATGTAGACTATGTATCAGAGTAGATCGAAAAGGTGGCTATCATGTTGAAAATCCCTAAATTTATTGATTTCAGCTATGTAATACATCCGCTGTCAGACTCAATTGATCACATCGCTAATTTGCTGATTTCTTGTTCATCATGCTGCGTCGCCTTCTCTTCAACGGCGGTTCGCTATCCCCGCTGACATCCCTGGAAACAGACACCTCTTCGTCCTCTTCCGTTGTTGGCGAATTAGTCTGGGTTTCACGTTTGGACTTGCGGGGAATTGATACGGAGAAGGAGATCAGGTCCGAACTGTCACGGTCCTTCTTGGGCTTCTTCGTCTTAGCACCACGCCCACCTTCTTCGGGTGATTTTGTCTTGGATTTTGAGCCGTCGACTTTCTCTTCTTTGGGTTTCTTGCCCGATGTTGTGTTCTTGTCGTTTGATGCACGCATAAAATCGCCGGAGATGATGCGCATGAAGAGACTCTTCTGATCTTCAGAAGGCTTGTCCTCGTTTTCGTCTTCCTTCTTTTCCTCTTCGACTTCCACCTCCTCGGCATCAGAGAAGTCCCACATTATGTTAACCTCACCTCGAATAAGTGCGGTACCCCAAAGCGATGTCAAAACGCCCGGTACCAGATAGAGAAGAGCTGGCTGGGCATGATTCGAATATTGCATGGCAAGAAGGGTGGTGACCATCCCAACAATATAGCCGAAGATACTAGCCTTGAAGTAAATCTTTGGGAAATTCCGGGCATCGTGGTAGGGAGGCTGAAGTTCCGGCTGCAGTGGCTTGACTGATGGCGCCCAGAACCGCTCTCCCCAAGCGCCGGTTGCCGATTGATACTCAGGCTTGAGCGTTGCCTGGTCTGACCCTTCAGCACGTGGCGTTTGAGCACCTTTCCGGTGGTAATAGAGGAATAGATCGAAGCGAAGTGCCAGCCCAATCATCATTCCTGGGATGACAATGTCACCAAGCCCAAGCATGGCCAATGGCACGGCGCCAGGGGCATCACGAGAGGTGGGCGGGCGAGGAAACAGGAGCTTGATCGGTACATCCAACTTGGTTGCAACAGTTACCATCAACGGTGTGAAGAAGACAAAGTAAATATCATAGAAAAATAAGGATCCCATAATGAGGGTTCCTGTCCAGAACGTGGATGGAGACATGAATTGCAGGGTGCCATAGCAGAAGCAGAAACCGAGGAAGTTGGTCAACCACCATGGGTTTGCCACGAATGCAAAATACCCTACAGCAGACAATGCAAGGATTCCACTTATGATATCAAGGAGACCAATAAGGCACTTGATGTCAAATAAACCACGTATATGAGCCCGCACCTTGAGACGCTGGTAGAAAAGATTTCGGTACGTCCAAAGCAGTCTTATTACCATAGCTGGGAGTGGCAATCGGCCCAAAATCCCAGGAAGAGGTGAATGCCGGGTGGGTTGTGGCTTGGCTGGATGGTCCTCAGATGCCACGAAAAGGCGTTCGGACTGTTTCGCTTTCCACAATTGTCCACCTTGACGATAATATCTAGGAAACACAAATGAACGAACCATCAATAGCACATCCTTCAGGAATGCAAAAGCAAAGAAGAGTCCCATTTGGGAGAAGTAGAAGCTAAGGATCTTGTTCAAGATGGCTGGATCTTCTAGCCATTTGATCACCAAGTATAATCCACCGAGGGTGAGTCCCGCAGTCAATGGGAATATCAGGGCATCTGATGGCTCAAGCCCTTCCATCTTCTGCAAAGGGCCTTGTCCCTCTTCATCATCCGTGTCATATTCATCTTTATCCTTGTCGGCTTTTTTCTTCGGAGGTTTGGCAGCGGAGGAAGGTCTTGTCAAAGATGCATGTGCACCGATCCAAATTGGAAAAAGTGCAGAAACAATTAGGTGTCCGTAAGTTGGAAGAAGTGGCCTCAGACGGTCGAAGTGGTAGAGAGCTTGTCCCAGAAGCTCCGCGACAGGGCTGACATCGGTCATGGTGAACAAGAGATTGCAGACTGTAAGCACGAGGCAAATGACAGTAAATTGAAGCCAATAAACAAAAAAGAATGAATTAGACCATGATGACCACAAAGGGTTGGTAAATTGGGAGATTCTTTGAGGCAACCTGTTGAACTTCCCGGGGCCATGCCCGAGTCCACGGAGGGGCTTAGTGACCACCGCATAATTTAGTTCACCGCTTTCTGCTCAAATCTACACCTTAGTTTCTTCACATTTATCTATTCATCTCGTTCTTATTTCGAGTTTCCAATATCCCTACTGCCTAGGTCTAATTTTGTAAATTCGATTATCCCCATGTTCTTCCTCAGATCTCACGGCTGCTCTCGCGATTGTCCAATTTCCTCAATCCATTAGTTGATGGGACATGTCCAAGGTCTAGGGATGAAGATGCACAATAAGCTCAATGGACAAGTGATAAATAGAAAAGCAAGACTATTAAGACTGAATCATTGATTAGAAATTGGAAAGGCATCCATGCATTTCCCTTGTTTTTCAGCTGCCTTCTTGCTAAAGTCACTGTGAAGATTCCCAGCACTCCAAACACATTGATTGTCCCTTACCTTGATTATGATTGCCTTCCTTAAAATTGCCACATTTGGGACAAATCTCGAACGTCTTGCTTTTGACAATGATATGATCTCCAGCAGTGTGCCGAGGACAACTTTGGAAGCGTTGAACCATATAGATAGGGCGGTACTGATTTTCTGCCAGACAAATTGGCCCAATTGGAATTGAGACTCGCATGGTCGCTGCACTCCTCCGTAACGTTGGTTGATCCCGCTTCTCGCAAACTCTCAGCTCTGGTTTCCAGCTCTTTTATTTACGATTCTGCACTCACATTTCCATCATGACTACCGAGGTGGCCTTTGACACGACTATGGTAACTAGCGCTTCGTTGTTCTCTCAAGATCACTTACTAACCCACCGCAGGGCTCCTTCTCCGTGGAGCTCTACAATACGCATGCGCCCAAGGTATGAGCCCCTTCGCAAACCTTCAGAGGAGTCCTCGCTAATGTCTTACTCTTCAGACATGCAAGAACTTTGCGACCCTCGCCGAACGCGGCTACTACAACAATGTCATCTTCCATCGCATCATTCCTGACTTCATGGTCCAAACTGGCGATCCAACTGGCACTGGTCGAGGAGGTAGCTCTATCTACGGCGAGAAATTCGAGGACGAGATTCGTCCAGAGCTGAAACACACCGGCGCTGGAATCCTGAGCATGGCCAACAGTGGACCCAATACCAATGGTAGTCAATTTTTCGTCACTCTTGCGCCAACACCCTGGCTGGACGGGAACCACACAATTTTCGGTCGAGTGAAGAGTGGCATGAGAGTGATCCAGCGCATGGGACTGGTCAAGACCGGTGCGGAGGACAAGCCAGTGGATGAGCTGAAGATCATTCGGGCTCGGGTGGTTGAACCAGGTACACAGGAGTGAGAGTCGCGTGGTGCGGCTTATTCCATCGAGTTACGGTGGAGGGTCATGCATATCAAGTCACCTCTCCCGAAAAAAAAAAAGGTGCTTCTCAATTTGGAGAGTTTAGATTCCATCTGCGATACGGGTTGCAGGCACAACCTTCGGCGCGCCCGGACCAAGTCATGCTAGAGCATTGCCTTGCTATTGTCTCAAGGTGCTATTTGCAAGCCTCCTGGACTCTACAAACTACAATATCAGAGTGGCACGGCAAGGTACCATTCTAATAATGAGATTATGGATGTATCACTACAAAACGAACCGCTTCCATCAAATGAACCATCAAGAGCAGCAGATACAGAGTGACAAGAAATCTTATCTACCACTCCCAAACGAAGCCCAGTGAAGGACTACGTTGACGAAGACCAGGCTACAATCGTATAGTAACCCGTTCTGTGCAGAACACGGGGAGTGGTATGGAAAGAGAAAAGTGTCCAGCCGAAATTTCAGTTCATATAGCGGTGCAGCCTAACCTCTTTGGGAACTGCTGAGTAATCTCTGGCCTGAGGCACCAATGGAGATGTTTATGCCTGAGGCAGCAAATTATTATCTAAATATATGTAGACCAGCGAAAGCATCCGTCGATCATCTCCTGATATTCGTAACTACTAGGCGATAGACCAAAAGCAAGGCAAAAAAACGAAGTAATGCATCCGTGCGGGCGTTTCGATTACATCAATGCAAGTTGCTGCGACTATGATTATCCTTCATTCATCTCCTTGATCAAGGAAATAGAAGATAGCTCCGCTCAGTGCCCCAGCAATGACACTTCCATGGTCTTCATCTTCATATTTTCTTCTCATGACTGACCGTACCCGTCCGCTTTGCAGAAGTCGAACAAACATCTGGTCACAATTATCCCCCATGAGACGTTCGTTGGCTATCGCCAACCGTTTTTCATATTCCTCCAACGAATGGTTTTTTTGACGTATGGGATACTGCTCAAGTGATCCATAGGCCATCCAGACTCTCGGCCGGTGATACGATTCTGGCATGTTGTAGAATTGCTCTTCTTCCTGCAACAAGAACCCATCGTTCCACCAAATCGACGGACTTGCAGCAAGATAAGCATCGAAGCTTGCGGGAGCTGTATACAGCGCATGGAGGGCGAACAGGGCCCCAAAAGAGTGTCCGAACAGAGCAGTCTGGCAGACTGATATGCGAGGAAATACCGACGAAAACACAAAATCGTGAACAGTGTTCGTTATGAAATGGAGAAAAGCATCTGCACCTCCATACTCTTGAGGGTTGGGCTTCCCGTCCGGGCCTTGGGGCAAGTCATATTTCTCGCAGGGAGGAGTTAGGTCATGACTTCGACGAGGGCTGTAAACAGACCGGGTCAATGGGTAGGAGATTCCAATGATGATCGTTGATGTTTCGTCCGGTTTACGCATTCGCCGCCGTCGCACGATATCTGTTGCTGAAAGCACCATTGCATTGCCATCCACAATATATCTAGATAGTTTGAAAAGTGTTGGCTCGGGGTATATCCGCAATAGCATCTCCACTTACATTGCATTGGCTTTGTTGACGATTGGCTCATCTTTAGTCGATTTCCACTCGAGTGGCCACGAAACTTGAATAAGATATTTCTCGTCCTGCTTGTTTACAACGAGCCAACTTGCCATATTTTGGACATGACAGTCTGTCTGTTCAAATTTCCACTGGTCTTGCATTGTGTGCTTTGGGAAATGGGTTGGAAAGAGTATATCTGGGGCAGTAAATATGAAGAACGTACTATTTTGAAGAACGGGTTATTAGCAGGGTAAACCCCAAGATGTAGCCGTCCTGTGGGTCTGACAGAAGCTACTCCGGCGAGAACAGCCGAATGGTCATACCTCGGAGCCGTTCAACAGGTGAAACATGTTACAAAGCCCTAGTCTTGAACGCTCCCTTATTGTCCACGTGCGAAGTGGGGGCGATTATGGTATGAGACCAAATCTCGGAAAACGTCCGTTCCAAAGAAAGGTACTTTTCCCGAGTATTTGACTTCTCCTAACTCCGAAAGTGAGGCCATTCTCGTCTGGTGGATATATTCGCTCTTGGCTATCTTGGCATTCTTAATACATACTAGGGGGACGCGTCGCTCGTCTGAATTACCTGTTTGGGGTAGTATTCGTTTTTCTGTTTTAGCATATGATTGATAAGATTAGGTTTGGTTCCCACTTTGTAGTCCACTCTCGCATATAGTATCCGCGGTTTACGAGGCCTACACTACAACCTAGAGAGGTTCTCCTAGAAAGCCGGAGTGGGGCGAAGGAGTCATATCTTCCAATCCCTTCCATTCCGTACATTGCTGTTCTCGCTACTTTTTGAAGGCAGTGTTGGGTATGGTGCGACAAGATCTGCCTCCGGTTTCGCCGTTTGGCTATTGAGGGGGGTTTTTTTATTTAAATCATCTCTGACTCCTTTTTTTCTCGGAGAAAACTATGTACCTGCACTAAAAAAATATATACGACCACGGCCATGGCCAAGCAAGAAGGGGACATTTCCATTGCGATGGTACCATCAAACAACCAGAGCAGCCAAGCTGCTGAGAATGCTCACCAGGACGAAAACCTTGAAAAGCAATCAAGCATTCCTAGCCTTCAACCTGGAGTCTATAGGGCTGATGTACTTCGAAAAAGCTGGACCAAGCAAGGCTTGATTATTGTCTTTACAGGGTTCGTCACTACAAACATATTGCAAGCAGGGCAATTTGCTAATGGCTAGTCAGACTGTTTTTGTGTACATTGGCTATTAATTTCGCCGATTATTCAACTCAGGTGTATGCCCCGTACACAACGAGTGACTTCAAGCAACACTCTGCCATGAGCGCAGCCCGGGTGGTCATGAACATTACGCGGATCTCCGCCTATCCCATCATTGCAAAGCTGGGAGATGTGAGTATTCTTGAGTCTTCAATCTATTTTATTCTACTGACATGATGGCTAGGTTTTCGGTAGAGCTGAAATGTTCATCTTGTCCATTTTGACGTCTGTTTTGGGCTATGCCATTTGGGCAGCCTGCACGAACATCACGCAATACATAGTAAGAAGGATTCCCTCTGAATTCGCCAAGTACCTCACACCGTGCTAATTATTGTGTATCTCACAGGTTGCCGGTATCTTCGACGCCATCGGATCGACTGGATTTGCCCTCACACAACAAATCTTCGTGGCGGATATGACCTCGTTAGTCAATCGTGGTATCTGGTCAACGTTACCCGACTCTCTCACCACAATTCCGACCCTTTACCTTGGTACTATCATTGGTCAGCGCATTCTCGACCATTCAACATGGCGGTGGGGATGGGGCATGTGGGCGATTGTCTTGCCCGTTGCATCACTGCCATTGATCGGTACCATGCTGTTTTATCAACGCCGGTCACCATCTCCGGTATCTGTGTCTGAGGCGTTGGGCTGGAAAACCAACGATCCCTGGTGGAAGAAGCTGTACCGCTTGTTTTGGATTCAGCTTGACTTGCCGGGAGCTGTTCTCCTTGTGGCTGGGTTGTCTCTTCTTTTGGTTCCCCTGTCCTTGACGGGCTCAAATAACAGTGGTGCGTGGACCAACGGGTCTTTTATCGCCATGTTGGTCCTAGGCGTGGTTTTCATAATAGCGTTTTTATGCTGGGACGCATGGTTCGCGGAGAAACCATTTGTGCCTTATCGCATGGTCAAGAACCGCACAGTGGCAGCTGCATGTCTCCTTGGGGCATTGGACTTCTTCCATTATTCGGTGTTCAGTGTCTTCTTCACGAGTTACCTTCAGGTAGCTGGGAACTTCTCGGCGGGGCCTGCAACCAGAATTGAGTACAACTCCCCGCCCCATTCCTTACAAGCTATCCTCGTTGCTGTCTTTCCCCCCTCTTGAGCCTAACGTCAAATCTAGTAACTCCCTCCGTGTAGCCTTTCAGGTGGCCGGCATATTCGCCGCTTTCTTCATGAAATATACCAAGCGCTCCCAGATTTGGGTGTTGATCGGTGTTCCGCTCTGTGTCCTTGGAATGGGCGTACTTCTCTATCTGGTAGATATGGGAGATGGCCGCAGTGGAAACGAAGCATCTTTCGTGGCAGCCAAGTCATTGATTGGTATTGGTCGTGGGTTCTACCAAACGGCTGCGCAGGTCTCAGTGCAGGCTGTGGTCGCGCGGCAGGATGTTTCTGTTGTTACCGCAGTGTTCTTTGCATCAATGAGCGTGGGTGGTGCAATTGGAACAAGGTAAGCACCCACACCCAGTTATGTAGTTGAGTCCTTCCTAACCGATTCTTTCAAATAGCGTCGCCGGGGCAATATGGCGAAACACTCTCCCGAACAAGCTGCAGAAATATCTTCCAAGTGAACTGAAGGATCAGGCTAAGAGTATCTTCGGATCAATTGTGGTAGCTCGAAAATATGCCATGGGTACTGAAGCTCGTGATGCCATCAATCGCAGCTACCGAGAGTCGCAAAGACTCCTTGCGATTGCAGCCCTGATTTCACTTTCATTGATGCTTATTGTGATGTTTTTCTTGAAGAATGTGAAGCTGGGTGAGGACGGAAGGACCGAGACAGAAGAAGAGAGAGACCAAGCTCAAGGGGCTGCAGAAAAGGAAGCCGACAAAAGTCACCCCTGAGGTGTATATTTTCCAAGAGAGGCAACTAAGTACTTGGAGAGAAACGGAGAAAAGCCGGTGTGAACCATACTCTAATATTAGAATTAATATACTCTTCATGCCATCGAGGATACAATTTGAGTTCATTTAACCAAAAAATAATATCACTTTCTTCATAAAATGTTCTTCAAGGTCGACTTTGTCAAAATGGTCGGTTGTTGACTGGAGTGGGGACCTGGACTTGGTGACCGCCTTCACGCGCACTTCCCGCGTTTTCCTCCAAAATTTTCTTTTCTTCTTCTTCTTTCCCCCAACCTCAAGTGTATGGGATTTCCAGCATCGAAGCTTGTGGAAATACCAGGAATGCTTTGGTTGCATTGAAAATTTCAACTCTCAACCCTTTGAGAGCTTGAGCTGCCAAATTTGGTTGTAATACTCGGACTTACCTGCAGCTAGGACCTTGTTCCTGATTTTCCATACCATGGAAACTCTATCAGACACGACTTGGGATGTGATCATTGATGGGACTGGGGTTTCTCAGTCCCTTCTGGCACTGTGAGTGACTCTCTTAGGGTGGTTGTGAGTAGCACTCACACTCCCAAAGGGCCCTCTCACGATCTGGAAAGAAGGTTCTTCACATCGACCGAAACCAATACTATGGTGGTTCAGATGCAGCCTTCAGTCTTGATGAGGCCCAGGAGTGGGCAGAGAAGGTCAATAAACGTGAGTTTCTTGTGTGTGGCTGGGTCGGTTCATGGCTAATATTATGTTGCCGAACAGACGAACATATATCGTTCAAAGATGCCTCAATCTTCAAACATGATGCATCTCCTTCATCTGAGGAGTCGGGCATTTCCCCCAAACTTGCATCCAGCCGTGCTTACACATTGTCCCTCTCCCCATATTTCCTATATGCCCGGTCTCAACTAATGTCAGCGCTTGTATCCTCGAAGGTCTTTCGCCAGTTAGAGTTCATGGCTGTTGGCAGCTGGTGGATCTACGCACCTGAACAGCCAGATTCTAAAAATGGCGAGCTCGGTGCGGAAAAGGTACTTTACCGTGTGCCTGGCAACCGGGAGGATGTGTTTGCCGCAACTCATATCAGCATGAAGTCCAAGAGAACCCTCATGCGATTGTTGCGTCATATCACCAAACCCAATGAGGATGATGCTTCCAATGAAGATGAGGATATGTCAATGCCCCTAAAGGATTACCTGGCTTCCAAGTTCAGTGTCCCAGAGGAACTTCACAATCCTCTGCTGTCATTGTCTCTGTCGCAGCTTTCTCAGCAAGATACTTCTGCTAGCTATGCTGTGCCCAGGATTCAAAGACATCTTTCATCCATTGGCCATCTTGGCGCTGGGTTTGGAGCTGTGATTGCTAAGTATGGCGGTGGAGCTGAAATATTGCAAGCTGCCTGTCGCGCGTCCGCTGTGGGAGGGGGTGTATATGCCCTGGACACGCGGATTGAAGATTGCTTATGGCGCACAGGCTCTGAACATTCCGAACATCGTTTTCTGCTGAAACTGGCCAAGGAAGGGTCAGTTCAGGCGAAATACATGTTCGGCTGGAATTTCGATACCATTTCCAAAGAGGGCTCGACACCCTTGGTCGAGGTCGCCCGCTCAATCAGTATTGTGTCGGCTACTTTCCCGTCTCTTTTCCCTGTTACAGTTGAAGGTGCTCCTGTGCCCGCAACTGCGGTTCTCATGTTCCCAGGGGATACTTTGGACAGCTCCCAATCCCCGCCAGTCTATCTCCAGGTTCATTCAAGCGACACTGGCGAGTGTCCACACCAGCAGAGTAAGTCATCCTATGCGCCTAATATTTCTCCCACCCCGCTCGCATGATGATTTTTTATAAAAAACTTATCTACATTGCCTGAACTTGCTATGTTGAAAACCTTTTCACCTGATCACGAGCATCCTCCAAACTTGATTCGTCAACAATATTGTCGTTCATGTGGCTAATTCATTGTCACAGGTGTTATTTATTGCAGTGTGGCACTAGCTGGACCGGAAGGTCAAGCGCTTATCGAATCCGCCGTGGATAGACTAATCCGGGCAGAAGGTCCCTCGGCCACCGTGTTGTGGTCCTTGCGATACACCCATAGGGGCCGTCTCAGCACGGGTGAGCCCCGGCGTCTTATTGTCGACGACGGAGTTCCTGATTGCTACACCTTCCCTCCATCGAGCCTCGACTTGGCATTCGAAGACGACACCCTCGACCTTGTAAAAGAGGCATGGAAGAAAGTCGTAGGAGATGAAGTTGATGATGCCGATTTCATGATGTTTGACGATCGCGACGGCACTTCTGACCAATGATTCGTAGCATAGCGTTTTGATTATACCTTTACCCATATTTCCCGACAGAAATAGTTAATGAAATTATTCTATCTATGCTTTCAAAAAAATATCTTTATTTAAACTATTCAATACTCCAAATTTCTTCACAATGTACCGATGTGTAAAACTTTGATTGTTACTGACCATGGAATGATATTGTTGATATAATTCATGTATATTAAAGTATTCACGCGTTAAGCAGATTTTATTGTACAATAGTAAAATCCACAAGTGTAGCGTGGCTAATAGTGACGCAGAATTAATATCGACGCAAACCAGTTGCTAGAACGCCCCTGACGTCATGTGATGGATCTGCTCCCTTGATATAGATATGAATATCAAGTTCTTAAACGTAGATTCTAAATATTTACTAAAGGCTTACCATCTCTGCTTCGATCTTCCACCCTCCCATTGGTCAAAAATATCTATATTCACAATGCCCCTCGATAACCTCACCAGCGGCGTGACCGGTGTGACCAGTCAAGTTCCTGTTGACAAAGTCCAATCAACAACAAGCGGCCTCAAGAAAACAACCTCAAAGGCACCAAAAAAGCTAAATAAAACAACAAAGGACTTGACCGACCCCGTCCTCCCAGGCCAATTTCCTTCAGACGATGCTCCCCCAAAAGGCCAGGACGTTGACAACAACCTCTCATTCTCATCGATATGGTCCACCATCAAAGCATGGTTCGCTACGCTATTCCCTCAAGCCCTTGATTACTTCGAGTCCTGCATTCAGAAATTCGTTGCCTGGTTGCTTCCCGCGCCCCGTCAAGCTGCGTTGTACGAAGCTGCATTGAAGCGCCCTGCCGCATCAACCTTGATCGTTTGTCAAATGATTTGCTGTGGAGTTCCTCTACTGATATTCCTGGCTGGTGTCTTTGTCTTCGCTGCGGTGTCAATACTGCTCTGGGCTGTTCTGTCGTTGCTTATCCTTGGTCCGGTGTTGTTGGTCACGAGCATGATGGGCATGTCTCTTTGGGGATGGGGTTGGATTCTTTATGGTTTGGTCAAGTGGGCTGATCAGAAGTTCTTGGGTGGTTTAATTGCGCGCTATTGGCTTCCAAAGATACAGTCTGAGTCGGCCGATGAAGAGGGTCAGCATGAGGAGGAGGGAAAGGAGAAAAAGGCGAAAAAGGGCGAGAAAAAGGATGAGTAATGTTTGCATATTCATTGGAGTTGGGAGGATATGAGATTCTGTATATACACGCTTTCTGAATCACATAGCATATGACATTGATATTGATATTGAACACCAGGGGATATGATATCCTCATACAAACGCTCAAACTACCTGGAGGGTAACAAATGGTTCCCCAGTGAACCTCTTAGGCATTGTGTATGTAACGTTGTAATACGAAAATTCGTTGACACCACCAGAACCGACGTACGTCATCGTATAACCCGGTTGCGCATTGGTCTCAACCTTGACCTTCAAGCCAGGTAGACCTTCCAGTCCAGTTACATTGAACCCATTATTGATGGTGAGGCCACTGAACAAGAAATTGAAAGAAATCGGACCGTGTGCAGATGTCGCATTTGGGTATGAGATATGCAAAGACCCAGGGGCGGCCACGGCATGAATAGATGCCTCTGTGACCCAGTGTGAAATGCAGCCAATTTTCTGCTCATCAATAGCCCACTGAATGACAGCAGGACTGAATTGACCGGGGTTCTTAGCGGGACCGCCGACGACTTTCTCGGCAATAGTTTCAGCGCCAATTGTGACATCCTTGGACATCCAAGCAGAGATATTGCGAGGATAAGTATCAAAGGGCGGCGAGTAAGCCTGCGAAGTAAACATATGCTCGCCCTGGAATTTGAGCAAGCTCGCCTTTGCCTTTGCAGGCAGAGTCTTCACCATTGTAGGCATCGACAGGGCGAAGAGCGGGTAAAAAGCAAGATCATCTTGATGGAACATGCCCAGATTCTGCTGAGGAACGGGTGCATTTTTGCGGCCAATAACACCCCAAATCACGGCGCCAACAAGAGAAGCGTACTCTTTCATATCGTAGCCGTATGAGCGATCCCAAGGACCAGCAAGATTCTTCAGGTTTGCATTATAGAGCTGAGCGAGTTCGTTCCAACTGGCCTTGAGCATCTCCGGTCCATACTTCTTCAACGAGCTGCCCTTGGTCGCGTACTGGTTCCAGAGAGCCAGAGCCCACATAGCGACGCCAGCGTAGGTGGGAGAATTGAATTCAGACAATGTGCGGTGCATACTCCAGAGATCGTAAATTTCCTCTGCGAACATTTCACCAGACTGGGTCAAGTTTGCATCGCCGACTCGGGCTCCAACCCAGTTGTGGAAAATGGTTCGCATCAACCAGGGATTGGAGTAACAGGGGTATGAATTGTCGCCGTCAATTCCTCCGACACGGTAGAGATCGCCCTTGGCTGCGATGTGCAAGGACTGTTCCACCTTGGCAACTGTCGCTCGGGGAAGTAGGTGGCCGTAATCATTTAAGGCCACAATCCAGGAACAGCCAACGAAGACGCGAATGTTTGGATCCCACTGACCATAATCATCTTAGCAAACTAGCCCATTAAATGAAAGAACCTGTAGAAGAGACTAGACATCGACTTACCGAGCTGTATGGACCTTCATCGGGGTATACCAACGTCCCAGGCTGAGGCTCCGAAGGCGCTTGTTGATAGTCTCCATACCACTGCTTCGACGGATCAAGATATTGACCAGAGATGACATTGTCAAAGATACGAATGGCTTTTTCAACATCACCCGGTCCGTTTCTGGCTAGCAATTGAGGTGCATACCAGGCTGTGTGTCGACTATCATAGCGTCCAGGACTACTGGCAGCGCTGATGAGATAGCCAGCCTCGTCGTCCCAGTATCCGTCATTCCATTCAATGGCAGTATTGAACATATCCACCGCGTACGGGGACGCATGGAATCTGGATGACCATTTCTCTAGTGGAGAAGCAGAGACAATCCCGGCACTCAATCCGAGAAGTGTCAGTGGGAGTTTCATGTCGGAGATGTCCCGATATGAGAATGGTAAAGGGTTGCGAAAGAAGCTCAGTTTCTTTTACTCAACTTTCCCGTACTCTTACCTTCTTTATAAGTTCGGTTTTGAGTTGCATAGTAGTATGTTGTAGATTGACCAGCCTGGTAAACCGGTGTATTTAGCCGTGATCACCGAATATGCCGGTGTTCTATACTCCGCACATTCTCTAATTTGTTGACCGCTTCTTCACCTTGCCGAAAGTGGATTCTATGACATGGAGAACAATGAGCATGCGCATGTCATATCGCATTAGTGCCCTTATCTTTAACGCAATTCTCCGGCTTTGCCGACTTGTCCTCGTGCCCCCCCTTAGTGAATCCTTCCGCCAAGAGCTTCGAGAGCTTCCCCGCTCAACGGGAATATACGATTAATTCCACCTATGATCAGATACAAAAGCTGCAGAAAGCATAGTTTCATTTCTTATATCATGTACATTTACTTGAGCCACTTGGAACCGAAAGTGATAACCTGATCCCTAGTCACAAACAGTGTAGAAACCGCGAGAAGTCCAACGCCAAGGACCCACTTCGAGCGAGCAGCGAATGTCGTATCATTGCCATCCCGATCAAAAGGTGGGGTGGCAGGTGCGATCATCTGGTGAGCCTTTTGAGCCGAGTAGGGGGGATACCGTGCAGCCATAAGTCCCTCCAACCACGAAGGCACAGCATTGATATGCGTACGGAGATGAGAGAAAGTCAAGATACCATGCGGACCATGATAACGTCCTTGACCGGAGTTCCCAACACCACCGAATGGTACATCGCGAGCAGCTATATGGAGACAGCAATCATTGAAGGTCACGCCCCCGGACTGGGTTTCGTTCAAGATGCGAGCCTTTTCGGCATCTTTAGCAGTGAATGCATAGATCGCGAGTGGATGCTCTCCCGCACGAGTGCGAGAGATAGCCGTATCGAAGTCTGCATCGACGATGGGCAGAATCGGACCGAAAAGCTCCTCGGAGAGAAGGGAATCGCCGGGCTTGACGCCGGTGACGATCGTTGGTGCGAAGTACAGACTTTGACGATCGCGCTCGCCACCATAGACGATCTTTCCGGAGGTCTTTTGGAGTAGACTTTCAAGACGGTCAAAGTTGCGTTCGTTGATGATGTGTGTATAATACTCTGGGTTGTTGGCTTTGCCTCCTAGGAACGTGTCAAAGTGTCGGATCAAATCAGCGACAAGGGGCTCTCGTAAGCTCGGGTGGACGAGGACGTGGTTCACGTTCAAGCAAACCTGTGTTTAGTCGAGATGAATTAGCTTTTGATGGGGTTGAAGAGTGTGAGCTTACCTGTCCAGCATTCATGAATTTGGTAACGGCAATGTGTTTAGCAGTGAGATCAATATTCGCCGACTCCGCGACAATAGCAGGACATTGGCCGCCCAACTCGAGTGTGACGGGAGTCAAATGCTTTGCCGCTGCTGCATGGATGATCTTGGCAATATTGGGGGATCCAGTGTAGAAAATGTGGTCAAAGCGATGTTCAAGGATGTATCCCATTTCTTTTGGACCAGCGGAAACACATCGGATCGCATCTTGGTCCAGATATTGGGGCACGATTTCCATCAATACATCCTGGGTAGCACTTGCCACATCCGATGGTTTGAGAATAACGGCACACCCAGCAGCAATCGCGGCAACCATTGGCTGCAGGAGCAGACCGACGGGGAAATTCCATGCGCCGAGAATCAGAGTCACACCAAGCGGTTCTTTGCGGACAGTGGCTCTTCCTAGGAAGTTGAGAGGATCGGACTTTTCCGGTCTCTCATCCTTGGTCCACTCATCCAGTTTTTTGAGAGTGCGTAGAATATCGGCTTGGACAGTTCCGCAGTCGCCGGTGTAGGCTTCTTGATAGTGCTTGTGCAGATCGGTATAGAGGGCATCGCAGATGCGCTTCTTGTTGTCCTCAACCATCCACCAAGCACGTTTCAGTTGATGACGCCTCCATTCCTTGTTCTTGGTAGTGCCAGATGCAAAGGCACTGTGCACACTTTGATATGCCTAGAAGATATGAGTGGCGATATCGAATAGTATGAATGATATTTACCTGATCAAATTCGGCTGTAGTGCTGAAACCCATGATGAGCCTGTGGAGGATGTGGAGAAAACCCCTGAGAGAAAGACGAGGTTATAAGGTGGAGCCGGGGGGGGGATATCAACAATGAATTCGATCTGACTTGCCGAGGACCCCGGTCTAAAACTGCATTTTATTTATACGGAGCATGTCATGCTGCCTCGTGCATCCGAAACTTGCATTAATTTCCATATGTACATAGGTTGCATGACATATTTGCGGAGATTTACCTTTCGCGGAGGCCGAGGTGCATATATTGGAAATAAGCAAAGAAATCCGTGTACGAAGACATATAGGACTCTGGGTTCAAAACCCCTTTGCAGGTGAAAATTGATACCCGAATGCCTTATTCAGCACCGCTTTTTACACCGCTCTATAACTAGTTAGTAGACTTATTAATACTACAGTCAAAAATGAAGCTTTTCATCTCATATAAGTGGTAGTATCTCCATGTTTTTAGACAGTTTGTAAGTTAAAAATGAAGCTTTTGCTCTCGATTCCTACTATACAAATGCCTTCATTTACATTTTTAACACTTATGAACCGTCTAAGAAAGTCGAGATATCTCTGTTTGTATGCTAATGAAAAGCTTCATTTGACACTTGTAAACGCCTGCGGAATCAGGCTACTTTGATTACTAAGGCATATGTAATAGAAATTCAAGTATTTTAATTTTCCTGCCGTTTTAAAGTCAGGCATCCAGGCATTTAGGCATCAAATCATCTAATCATCTATAAAGGGAGGTTTGAACCCTGAGTCCTTTATGTCTTCGTATCCGTGTCTATATATCTTTTAACCCCATTGCCTTATCTCCGGAATCTCTTAATCTCATCAAGAATCATGCTGAGCTCCGACCTCACAGCCAAGTACCCCTCGCTGAACAAGTTCGTCGATGTAAACGATGTCGAATCCCATGATGGGCGAGAAGTCGCCCTTCTTAAATACATATACAATCATCATGCCTTGGATGAGCTGCGTGGCTCACCTTCAGCAATCCTTGGCGTGATAGACGAGTTCGCCGCACAGGAGGAGTTTTTGATCAACATTGGCCCCGACAAAGCCGCAAAGGTTCGCGAGATAATCCAACAGGAGAAACCGACCGTTATGGTTGAGCTGGGCGGATATGTCGGTTATTCTGCGATATACTTTGGCGAAGCCATGCGTCAAGCTCAGGAAATACAAAAAGGCCTGAGACTCTGGAGTTTGGAATTCGACCCGCTGGTCGCGTCAATTGCCATGAATTTGATTGAGTTGGCAGGTCTGAGTGACATTGTCAAAGTGGTGGTAGGATCTGCATCGGATTCGCTGAAAAGACTTGCGAAGAAGGAGTTAGTCGACATTGACCTCCTTTTCCTGGATCATGTCGAAGATCTCTATGTGGCTGATCTGAAGATCTGCGAGGAACTGGGGCTCCTCAAGCCAGGGGCATTGGTGGTTGCTGATAACATCCTTCGACCTGGAGCTCCGAAATACCGTGAATACGTTCGCCATCATGCGCATATGCAAAGTTGGGCTATCAAGGGACTGATAGTGCCAGGAGACTTTGAGGTAAGTCTAGCCCATATCCTTGAGTATTCAAATACTGAACAACAAAGGATGAACTTGAAGTTAGTAGAGTCCAGTAGCTGTTAGGGGACTTCCAATCTGGTCTTTATTTTTCAATATCAGTAAAGATAAATGTGAATACCCCTATAAAAGATACTAGTTCCCACATCCGGAGTATATTTCCCAAGCCCCTGCCTCAACAAAAAAGATAAGCCGAAAGTGGATATACCAACTAGCGAATAGAAATGAATAGAATACGAAGGCTAAGAAATATACTTATCGTGCATATAACAATGTCCCCTGCGGGGTAAACGCTGAATATCCGCCATGACTGGAATTTCAAGAGCTCGTACGGGATGTTGGACATGTCGTGCGCGCCGCATCAAGTGTGACGGTGCGAATTTCCCACCTCCTGCATGACCATTCTAATTGAAAAACTATTAGAAACCCACCCAGTTTGCCGTCGTTGCGCCCGTAACAATGCGTCATGCGGATACGGACTTCGTCTGGTCTGGCACGAGGAATCTTTAGCCCGAGGCGTTTGCCATGGAAGAGCAGGAGTATGGTCCAAGCGAAAAGATGCTCGAAAGAAGGAAACACTGGAGCAAGTGGACGATACATTGTCGCTAAGGTCGGAACATGCGGGCGATGATCGGACATGGATGTTTTTGAACACGACGATGATCGATCTCCAGATCCATTTTGATGGCAACCAGCCCAATTACAAAGGGATGAAGCCGTTTTTCCAACCAAGCCCGTTGTCGCCTTGGCTGAATACCATCTCTCCTGGCCAGCGATCAGATTACGATCCCGTGCTCATGTCTTATTTCGAACACGTCATTTGCAGCAGCTCAACTCTCGTCGATAACGTGCATTATAATCCATATCGATATCTCATACTCCCCATGGCTCTGCAGTCCGAGGGGCTATACCACGCAGCCCTAGCCATCGCAGCCAATACCCTCAAGCTGTCAGATAAGCGGTACCGGCTTCCGGCATTGGAGCATCACCACCGGGCACTCAATCACCTGCGTGGTCTATTGAATAAAGACAACTGGGTAGAAAATGAGCTGGACGAGATGCTCGGTTTGGTCTTGATGTTATGCTGGTTCGACGTAGGATCTTCCTCACCTTCTTTCGACGAGAAACCTCCTAATTCCTTGCAGATATCAGATAGCAGTCGCCCTTCATGGGTCACCCATCTCAACGGTTTCCAAAATCTAATTCGGACACGAAAAGAACGCCCCGGTCGCTCATGTCACAGTCAGGAACTGGCGAGTTTCTTCAATCGTTATTTCGCCTTCCACTTAGTTCTAGCCCGCACGGCGTTTCGCGTCACCCCTCCCTCATCACATATATCGCCTCTCCTGCCGGACAGTATACTGGAAAAATCAGACATGATTGATCCGTACATGGGATTGAGCCCTGCTCTCTTATTGATAATCGATCAAGTAGCCGAACTAGCGTGGGCTTGTGAGGATGGAAACATAAAAATCAACCGTAAAGATGCTCATCAGCTCAAGACGGACCTCGATAGCCTTCAACAAAGAATACCCACAGAACATATCGATCCTAATATGGAGTGTGCTGCAATTGCAGAAGCAAACAGGCTCGGGGCCCTTCTTCTTCTGCACGAGATCTGTTCGACAAAAGCCCCTATCAATCGCTCTGGTTTTCCGACATTGGAATCTGAGGAGAAAAATGTTTATGTTGAACGGATATTGGCGTTGATATTGGAAAAGAAGGTAAATATGATGCGGACTGCAGTTACGCCTTTATGGCCTCTGTTCTTGGCAGGATGCTGCGCTCGCAGGGAAGAGGAGAGAGTCATTGTGTTGCAGTTATTTAAAGAGCTGGAGAGTATTCGTCGATTCGGGGTATGTATATTGCTCGATGTCTTTCCCTGTCAGTTGGCTAACATCTCATCTTCCCCAGAACATTACCCCTGCTATTGAAGTGGTCGAAATGGTCTGGCGCCAGCGGGATCTGTCGGTGCAAGATGAAAGAAAACTCCAGAAAAAGCTCAATACACAACGACAGGAAGATCCATTGCAAGAAACTCGGTTCTCTTGGGAGCATGCCATGGTCATGCTGGGTGGATGGAAGCTCAGCTTGACTTGAGCTTCTACGTGGGTAATGAAGGCTTTTTGATTATGTTCTCAAATTGTATAACCAGTCAAACTGTGTGTTAATTGTTCTACTTCATTCTACCTCGCACCTCTTATCTAGACAAATCATAGTTTAGAAGCATGGCTTCTTTCCCGTGTCTGTCTACCCTTCCACCCTGTAAGATCACTCAACTCCATTTCCGGATCCAAATGCGCTAGGTTCTTCGCAGTACTCTTTTGTCCAGCCCTCCATTGCCATTGACGCACAATCTCTGGATCAAGAGTCCCCTCCAGCAAGTCCGCGACATATTTTCCAACGACAGGAAGGAACTTAAACCCATGTGCCGAGCCGCCGGTTGCCAGGAAAAGACTTTTATGAGTTGGATGAGGGGCGACAAGGAAATGCCGATCAGCTGTATCAGCATCCCAGCAAAGGCGTGTATAGCAGAAGGGTTTGTCTGCAAGCTCGGGGAACACGCGTCGCAAGTTCCGACGCATCTGCGCTTCGATCTCGAGAGGGAGGCCATCGTTGGGTGCCTGAACGAACGTGTGTGGAACAGAAGTGGTGATACCGGACTTGGTGGTTTGTACGTTGGTGATGAATTGACTGTGAGCCATCTTGAATATGCCATCTTCTTGAGGTGGGAAGAAGTAGCCCAGCTCGAGGTTATCCATAATGGGCATTGAGGCATAGTGTTTCGTTTCGGCAGGGGTGAGCTGGATATGAGCGACACTGTGTCCCTTGGCAGTCAACTGGTCCTTCACGTCTAGCAGTGAAGGTGTCCAAGCTCCTGCTGCCACGATGACCACATCCGCCTCGTGTCTCGTGCCATCCGCAGTGATGACTCCCTTACACTCGCCCGTGGTATCATCCAGTATCAACTCTTGCACATTCCCCTTTGTCTTCCCCGAAATGTATTTCACTCCCTTCAACTGAGCAGCACCCGCCATCCGCTCGATAGCCGTGCCAGAAGCTGCCCACCCGGCCGTTGGGTTCCACACATTGATATTCCACCCATCCAGCTTGCCAGTGACAACAGAGAAGCGAGCACGGATCTGGTCCGGCGTGAGCTTCTCAAGACCCTGTACTCCAAGCCTCTTACATGTCTCAATCGAACCCTCAACAAAGGGCCGGGACAGATTCGCCGCGCTGAGAATCCACCCGGGGACGTGGTAGAGCCCACGAAACAGCGGCCAAGACCGCCACGCTTCAATAGACTCGATTCCAAGACGTGCATATAGGGGTTCATTGTAGTCACTGCGGATGACTTTGCTAATATCGGTGGAAGCTGCTTCGCAGGAGGGAGGGGCATATGGGTCGAGCACTCGGATGGAGGTGTAGCCGCGCTGTGCAAGGTGGTATGCGGTCGAAGTGCCGAAGCAGCCGGCGCCGACGATGAGGATTCGCGTGTCTTTGTTCATCATGTGAGTTGAATATCTCGACTTGGTTTGAATTCTTAAACTTTGAGGGTGGCGCCGCCATATTTATTCAGGTATTTTGTTCCGTCTTGCCTTCTTTCAGAACATATGATCTCGCTACCAGCTTCCTCACGCACAATCATATCTATCGTGAATATCTGGTGTGCGGGGAAGAAATAGCTTCGTTCTGACCTTCCGATAAAGCTCTCATAGCTTGGTCGGAGACTCTCCGAGTGGAGCTCGTTTAACTCGTTTCGACCTGCACTCTTTTTTACCCCAACATTCCCCAATATATCCACTAAATGCCCAGCTCAATATGTCTTCTGGGATTGACAATTTAATTCAGAAACGGAACTACAAAGATATGTCCAATTAAACGTCTTCTCATTTGTCACTATATCCATTCTTATCAACACAACATCACACCTAATAAGTATACCGGAAAGACCGTTTTTCTTTATCAGTCAGATCCGAAAACGCGACAACCTCCGATGTCTCTGCATTTGACAAAGCTTCCTTATCACGGCGGTTATTTTCCCATCGGCAAAGAACTCCATAGGAAAGAATGGCGGCTATCGCCACAACAAGACAGCCCAGGAGACCCTCATATCCGTGCGAATACGATGGTGCATCATTGGCACGGAAACACTGGGGGCCAATGATGTTGCCAATACAATACGCCAAGAAGAAGACGGCGTTCATCGTTAACTTTTTGCTATGACCACTGGTGTTAGCCATTGGAAGCGAAGTCGACAACACGTATGGCGCCCAGTAAGTGTAGAAGACATAGTATGCTGCCAGCAGACCTTGCTGGTTCTCACGTGGCAGTTTCCACATCAGGATGGCGCAGACCATGGGGACCAGGTTGGCCATGGCGATAATATTGCAACGGGAGTTGGGGACGCTAGCAGCGATAAAGCCCAGCATGATCTGCCACACCGTTGCAAGCACACCGGTGGGGATACCCAGTACGGTAGTGATCAACGGGGAATACCCCATACCGGTCACGATAATAGCCGAAAATGTCACAAGACCACCATTGGGGATGTTCTGGGCCAGCGAGAACAGCGCCAGGAGCCAAGTCTTGGGGTCGAGAAGGCACTCCCGCACTTGGTACCACTTGATGGTTTTGTCTTCTATGCCGGTATTGTTGTCTTTGACACGCTCAAGACAGACGAATTTCTCGCGATCCGTGAAATACCAGCATTGCACGGGCGAGTCGGGCAAGAAAACGTATAATACGCCAGCCCAGAGGAGGGAGAATACACCAAGCACAATGAAGAGCAATCTCCAGGGTGCTAAAGCTGTGTTTGTTTGGCCGATACCGTAGCTGACCACGCCTGAGAAAACGGAGGAGAGCTGATTGAACCAGAATGCCACACGAATTGGCTGCTCGCTTGTCTTCCACCACATGACGGTCAAAATGCTGGAGATTGGGAACACAGCGGCTTCCGTCATGCCCATCAAGAAGCGCACTGTGGCCAAGCCAGCAAAATTCTGCGTTGCTGCGGTACATAGCAGTAGAACTGCCCATCCCAAGACCATGCCCACATACAGCTTGGCTACAGGAAGCCGTTGAATAAGCAATGCTGCTGGGTATTCAAAAGCGAGGTATCCGAAGTAGAAGATTGAGCCAACCCAAGAGTACTGATCGCCAGTCAAGTGGGTGTCTGTCTTCATGCCGTAGATGGCCGCATTTGAGATGATGACTTTATCAATAGCGGCCAGAACCACTGTGACCATGATCAAGGGAATCAGGATCAGATCGATTTTCCATAGCACACGGCGCGCTTCGGCCTCGGTGACAGGTTCCACTGCGATGGCCGGGTCCAGGCGAGCGAGGAACTGTGCTGCAACATCTTTGCCGTCGGTTTGGTTTTGGGCTTCAAGTATTTCTCCTGCTTGGTCTTTTTCTTGATCAAGTGCCACTTGAATCTCCGGAGGGGTGACGCTTTTTTCGTCCATAGTATTGAAGTAAATAATCGTATATATCAGGTAGAAAAGGACATATCTTAAACAAAAGAGATAGTCATTTGAGATGGTTTTTATACTTCAATTAAGTGTAAGTGAACGTGAAAGAGAGTTTCTTCAGATAGTTATCATGGAAAAGCGAGGCGAATTAGGGTTTGGGTGCGCTAGGAAGGTCGGAGCGAGCTGAGATAAGCGGTTCTCCGCGTTTCGCTCCCCCATTTTCCTCCCCGGCTTATACGTTTTGGAGTCTATCGCGCCAATGTATGTCCCCGTATAAACATGAGATTGTAGTTCTTTTAAATAGTTTTATGAATAATTCCCTACTCTATAAAAATCGACACATCCCGTAGAGAAAGTCTCTTTAAAAACAAATTTGTTATCTTTCCATCGGTCTTTTTCAAGGTCTTTTCTGGGGGCATTTTAGAATATAACCGCTAACTATCCCCTAATATTGTGGGGCACCTTTAATAGCTATTTCTAGGCCTCTAAGAGACTATATGTAGAAATGTTGCAGCTGGTCAACCCAGTTGGCACGATGGCCCCCAAAAACCTGCCCTACGTTCCCCCGCTTTGTCTCGGCGTCTATCGGCGTCCAAGCCGACTTGATTAGATTGTGGCGTATTTTTTGTCATTCACTTCGCTTCGACCTGCTAATTAGTTTCAATGGGATTCCATAAAAGGAAGCCTTGGTCCTTGTATTCTCAGGGTATCTGAACATATCGCAATGTCTACTCAATTGGATGCTCCAAGTATCAAGATCGCTATCGGTGAGTCACCTGCAGTCTCAAAATCCACAGCAGGTAGCTAATACATCTTCTAGATCGTGGTGGTACCTTCACCGACTGTCTCGGCATTGTTGAAGGTCGCGATGAGGAAATCGTCGTCAAGCTGCTGTCGCAGGATCCAGCCAACTACGCCGATGCTCCGATTGAGGGCATTCGGCGTATTCTGGAGCAAGCAACGGGCAAGGCCTTTCCCCGCGATCAAAAGCTCACAACGTCCGATTTCTCCAATGTGAGTATCCGCATGGGAACGACAGTTGCTACCAATGCCTTGCTCGAGCGCAAGGGAGAACGTCATGCCCTCTTGATCACAAAGGGCTTCAAAGATGCCTTGCGTATTGGAACCCAGTCTCGGCCGAAGCTGTTTGCGCTCAATATCCAACGTCCCGATGTCTTGTATGAGGACGTTGTTGAGATTGACGAGCGTGTCACAGTTGAGGATTATCAACAGAACCCCACTCCGGACAAGGAGAGTCTGCAAAAGACTTTGGAGTCAGATGCCTCTTTGAAAAAGGGTGTTAGTGGAGAAGTGATTCGCATCTTGGAGCCTCTTGATGAGGAAAGCACAAAACAGAACCTTCAGAAGCTATATGAGAAGGGCTATCGCTCTATTGCGGTCTGCTTGGTTCACTCATACACATTCCAAGATCACGAGCTTGCAATTGAGAAGATCGCAAAGGAAGTTGGCTTCACTCAGATCTCCCTTTCCAGTCAACTGTTACCCATGATTAAGATGACATCTCGTGGTGCTTCGGCCACTGCAGATGCATACTTGACACCAGTAATTCAGCGTTATATTCAAGGTTTCCGCTCGGGATTCAAGGACGGACTCAGATCTGCCGATACACGCTGCGAGTTTATGCAGAGTGATGGAGGTTTGGCGAATTTTGAAAAGTATGTTGGCAATAACCCGAAATTCAGAAAAGGAATTTTGCTAATTCCTATAGATTCACTGGTCTTCGTGCGATCTTGTCTGGCCCGGCAGGTGGCGTTGTGGGCTATGCAGGAACTTCATTCGATGAGACAGATAGGAAGCCTGTCATTGGGTGAGTCAATTTACCATATTTTATGAAGTGCCATCAACTAACCTTCTAGATTCGATATGGGCGGTACTAGCACAGACGTATCCAGATATGACGGAAAGTTGGAACACACCTTCGAGAACACTATCTCCGGTGTGACAGTGATGGCACCCCAATTAGACATCAACACGGTAGCTGCCGGTGGTGGCAGTATTCTCTTCTGGCGACATGGATTGTTTGCCGTTGGTCCCGAGTCTGCAAGTGCTCACCCAGGACCAGCATGCTACCGGAAGGGAGGTCCTTTGACTGTGACCGATGCCAACCTTTTCCTTGGTCGTCTTCTTCCAGCATACTTCCCCAAGATCTTTGGCCCGAACGAGAACGAGGCCCTCGATGTCGAGATCACCCGGAAGAAGTTTACGGAGCTCGCAGATCAGATCAATTCTGAGACCGGGCAAAACAAGTCCCCAGAAGAGATCGCGTTGGGTTTCATCCAAGTTGCTAACGAGTCTATGGCGAAGCCTATTCGGGCCCTCACAGAGGCTCGTGGATACGATACTTCCGCGCATAATCTGGCCTGCTTCGGTGGTGCCGGAGGACAGCATGCTTGCGCCATTGCATCTTCGTTGTCTATTGGGACTGTCATCATCCACCGATTCTCGTCTATTCTCTCTGCCTACGGTATGGCTCTTGCGGACGTTGTCCACGAGGCCCAAGAGCCAGCATCTGGAGTGCTGGACCGCACGGCCATGAAAAGCGTCACTGAGCGTATCGCTATGCTGAAGTCTAAGGTCACTACTGCGCTGACCACGGACGGCATTGATGAGACTCAGATTCAGCATGAAACCTACCTCAATCTGCGATACCAGGGTACCGACAACTTGCTGATGGTGCTCGAACCTGAACACGGAGACTTTATTGCCGAGTTTGTCAAAGAGCATGAGCGCGAGTTTTCCTTCACATTCCCAGGTCGCAATATTCTTGTCGAAGACATCCGAGTCCGAGGTGTTGGAAAGGCAACATCTATTGCGCCAGAGGCACCTCAACAAGAGCTCAAATCAGTCACCAAAACGCCCGTGGGCTCAGAGAAGCAGGATGATTCAACTTCTGTCTACTTTGCTGGCGTCGGTGAAGTTACTACGCCGGTCTTTTTCCTGGATAACATGAAACCAGGATATTTCCTTCAGGGCCCTGCGATGATCATTGATAAAACTCAAACTATCGTCGTTGAGCCAAATGCCACTGCTACAATTCTGTCCCGACATGTGATTTTGGATGTTCAGTCTTCGAAGAAGCAGACTGCCGATTCAACAGTCGTGGATCCTATCAGATTGTCTATCTTTGGTCATCGCTTCATGTCTGTTGCTGATCAGATGAGTCGGATGTTCCAAAAGACCTCTGTCTCAACAAACATCAAAGAGCGACTCGACTTCTCTTGTGCCGTGTTTTCTCCTGATGGAAAGTTGGTTGCGAATGCACCAAATGTGCCAGTGCATCTAGGAAGTAAGTCGGTCCCATTTCGGAACACTCTGGTAGCCAAGATAATACCATGCTAATCTCTTTTTTAGGTATGGAGTATGCTGTCCGGTATCAGCATGAGAAGTTCGCTGGCGATTTGAAGCCTGGCGATCACATTCTCACCAACCATCCTCTTGCAGGTGGAACACATCTTCCCGATATTACTATTATTACTCCAGTCTGGGATGCCGAAGGCAAAAATATTGTCTTCTATGTTGCCTCTCGTGGTCACCATGGTAAGAATGAAGTTCTTCCCCTTGACTATTTGTCGTATCTTTCTAACCAAAATCAGCTGAAATTGGCGGCATCGCCCCAGGATCTATGCCTTCAAACAGCAAAATGCTGTACGAGGAAGGTGCAATGACAATGGGCTTCAAGGTGGTATCAGAAGGCCGCTTTGACGAGGAGATCGTCCGGAAGTTCCTATATGATGAGCCCGCTTCGTACCCCGGTTGCAGCGGCACCCGTACATATAACGACAACGTATCAGACTTGAAGGCTGCCATTGCAGCAAACCACAAGGGTGCACAGCTTCTGGAAGGTCTGGTGGTTGAGAACACATTGGAAGTAGTCCACTTCTACATGGACGCAATCAAGCGCAACGCAGAAGTCGCCGTCCGTGAACTGCTCAAGTCCATTGGCCTCAAGAACAAGGGAGCTCCCCTCCGATTCTCTGACTTCATGGACGACGGCACCGAGATCAAACTGGAAATTCGCATCGATTCTGAGACTGGGTCTGCCGACTTCGACTTTACAGGCACTGGCCGGGAAACATTCAACTGCCTCAATGCCCCCAAAGCCATCGCCCACTCGGCTATTATCTACAGTCTGCGGGCGCTGATTGATGTTGACATTCCCCTCAACCAGGGCTGTCTTGCACCAGTCAATGTGATTATTCCCTCTGGCACACTTCTCAATCCATCCGGCCATGCCGCCGTCTGCGCTGGTAATCCCATCACCTCGCAGCGTATTACAGATGTTGTCCTGGGTGCCTTCAACGCATGTGCTGCCTCCCATGGCTGCTGCAATATTATCTCATTTGGTATGGGTGGCGTTGATCCTAAGACCGGCATTGAAGTACCTGGGTTTGGCGTTGGCGAGACAATCTGCGGCGGCTCAGGTGCTGGACCGACCTGGAACGGCACGTCGGGTGTGCATGTTCACATGACAAATACGCGCATCACAGATGCAGAGGTCTATGAGCTGCGATACCCGGTTATCCTCCGCAGATTCTGCATCCGGGATGGTTCTGGTGGCGTTGGTCGCTTCCGCGGTGGTGACGGTGTTATCCGTGAGCTGGAGTTCCGTATGCCTCTTTCGGTGTCTATGCTCAGTGAACGTCGCGTCTATCGTCCATATGGGTTGGCAGGAGGTGAGTCTGGACAAGCAGGCTTGAATCTCTACATGAAGAAGGAGCTCGATGGAACCGAGAGAATGATCAATATTGGTGGAAAGATGGAGCTCGTCGTCCAACCTGGGGAGCGGATTCTGATTCATACGTGAGTGGTCCACATTTTTCCTCGTTTATCTGAAGTATATGCTGACAGTTCTTTCGGGTTAGACCTGGAGGTGGCGGTTGGGGCAACGCATCCGACGATGAAGTAGTGACGAGTGACAGCAAAAGTCATCAGAATTCCTCGACTTTCCAGCCCCGAGGAAGTGTGCATGCATTCAGTGTCGCTGCCGAGGCGGCAATGTGAAAGGAATATACATATAAGGATGGGATATAAATGAGGATTTTGGATCATATAGCTAGAGACTTTGATTTTTTGATTTGTAATTATGCTGGGATGTCTTTCATGAATTATTGATGCTCTTTTAGTGCAAAACTATGAATGCGTAAATGTAGATATACATCGCTTTGGTGCCCATGCCACCCGCCCTTCCTTCGTCGCTTCGCTTCTTCTTTTGCATCAACACCCAGTGAGCTGCTTCAGTATTACCTATCTGTACTTATATTTTTGTCATGGAAGTCTAGGCCCCTTCAGGTGAATCTCCTTCCTTTGCTCAATTGCCTCAAGTTCCAATTCGGTCGCCCGAGAATCTACGTTCTCTTTACCATGAGAAGCAGATCGAAAAATTTCGTGATGTCCTAGAATCGCTTCACTCTGATGCACGCTTTGACATACTTGACTTGTATACGATCATGATTGATGCGATCAGACAGGACGATACATTATTCACTACAGAGCTTCTTTTCCATGGTTTACGTCTGTCCCCAAATTATGCTATGGAAGCAGCAAAGGCGAAGGCGAAAAATGTGCTTGAAACCTTTTTCGAGAAAGGCTGGGACAGCAACAACCCAATCAGTCGAGCTCAACCACCGGTACTTTGGTGAGTATGGAAATATTCATAATTTTCTATTCGATGCAACTAAAGGGTGTCTAGCTTTGTGGCTCAGGACCAGGATATGACGATCTGGTTACTAGATCGTGGAGCGAATCCGAATCAAAGATGCGATATTGATCTTACGCCCCTTTCCTACGCCGATAGATATGCCTCAGTCTCAACAATTAAGTTATTGCTACGTCGAGGCAATATGCAACATGCCCAACTTCTTTTTCACGCCGTCGAACGGGAATCTGAAACCTTCGAGGTTTTGCAGCTCCTTCTTAAATAAGGTGCTTCGCTCAATGCTACGATGTATCAAAATCATTATTTTTCTTGGAGGCTTTATTTCTTCATGGGACTTGGTACTGTGCTACACAAGGCGGCGGAACTTGGAAATGTTGAAGTTGTTTGTTTTTTGATTCGTGAAGGGATAGACCTAAGCATAAAAGATGCCAATGGTCGCACTGCTCTCGAGTGTGCTAAGATGCGCAACAAAACTGAAGTGGTGAAGATGCTCGAGGATGTGGCTTTCCCCCAGGAGATAAGAAACATTATCCTCTAAATTGCGCGTAAAATGACAAGAATGGCAGATATATATTTGAGCTTGTAGCAACACTAAATTGGAGTTCATTTTGCATAAAGCCAATAACAATCTATAATCGGCATTTCTTGAAGTCAAAGTTATTAAGAATCATTTCGGGTAAGAAAATATATCAATTTGGGCTAACAGAGGCAAAATTTATAAGAACAATCAGAAATATAATATCTTGTAGTCTGAGAGCAAAAGAGTATATGGCATCACGTGACCGTATCCCGGCGAACCAGTGTTTACCAAAAGTTTTGGCTCCCTCGATGGCCCGGACAAATTTACCCTGTGCATTCATCTCACAGAACCTCCCTTTCTTGAGCTATCACTTCTTCCTCTTGAACCCACATTTACTTAACACCTTGACCACATCCTATCTACCATCATGGAGTACCACTCCGTCCCACCGGAGGAACGTGCCAGAGACGAGGATGGCAACCTTCTCCCTTGGGGCTATGTTTACAAAGAGTATGTTCAATGTACCTTGGAACTCTTCTCCTATAAAAGCTGACAAAATATTTCCTCAGTGAATCTCGCAATCCTCGACGACCACCCGAAGAATCAGGACCATTCGGCAAGAGAAGAAATGCTCGATACGATAATGCTCGCTCACGAACACGGACTGGAACACCAGCAAAGCGCGAGAACCCCAATGTCGCCGAATTCGGTCGACTATTCTCACAGCAACAACAGGAAGATGAGAAAACACACGGCTTGCCCAAGTCAGCATCATCATCCAGTCTTGATAATCCACGGAAGCAAACAGAGAAGGTCGCGACCGAATGCATACTCTACGGATACAAAAACAAGGATAACGAGTGGAAGGTGATTGACAAATATGAGCGCATCTCCCAGGGCATGATCTGCGAAGACTACCCTCGCAACGACCCGAATTCAGCGAACCACTACACCCAGCTATTGAGCGGAGGCGACGTCGTCATCCGAAACCTGTCGGCTGATGCGAATCGCAAATCGAAGCGCTATGCCGGTGGCTACCACTGGATCAAGGTCACCTACGACTCGACCCAGTCCGCAGATCGCGCTTGCTTCTACTCGCCACAGGAAATCGATGGGCACATGGTCTTCTGCGAGCTGTACAATGGCCACGGCCCAACCGAAGATGCCCCCATCCCTGCAGACTCTGCTGCGACCAGTCGGATTCGCAACAAAGCACCGCGCACCTTGACCACCTCGCACTCGACCACCTTCCTCTCCAACTCCAGCAAAGACCAGGATCGCATGACATTGCCTCGATCATTTGCCATGAACAACCTTTCCCGTGTACCGGATTTGCCAGAGGATGAAGGGCACTCGGTCGACTCCTCGACCATCGCCGGTACCTCCGATGATACAGCTACATCCACTGCAACTTCTGCAACTGCCACTGCCACACCCTCTTTCCAGCAAACCAGTTTCAATACAACAACCTCCTCGTCAACGTGGACAACAGGAGCTTCGTCTAACGATCGCACCTCAGCCCACCAACGCCGAGCTCCCGCTCAGGTCGAAACCACCGCTGACAACGAATTCATGACTCATATCCCCACCGTTCGCCGTACCAAGCTGCGCCCCATGCTCGAAGCACTCCCTCCGCAGCCAACCATGACCGAGCGCATCCTCCGCTCAATCCCCATCCTGAGCTGGTTTACAGGCGACATCGTCGGCGATGGCCCACTTCTCCGCGAGGACGGCACATTCGACCAGGAAAAATCTGGCATTTATTGGAGGTTCTGGTACATGTTTGATTATTTCCTGAAAACGGATATGTGCGGACTGAAGGAGGATAGTTGAGGCCGCACGAAGGCCATGAAGCACTATGAAAATGGAATACCTTTCGTCTTTTACTATTCCTACATCACGGATCTTCGCCACAATTGCCAAGTCTTGCGCGCGATCAACCTAAAATCCAAATCGCTACGCAGCTTGAGGCGTCAGTCCTCAAGGATACTGCGCGCATCGCAAGGCAGGGGTCCATGGCTTTGTAAAATGGATTGGGCTTTGATCAATGGATAATGTGTACGATAGCTGCATCTGCAGACATAATGAACTGTCCTGTCGATGGACCGCGCGCGAAATTGATATACCGTAGAACAGTAACAAGTACAATTCCTCGTCTTTCTGCTTCAACTCAGCTAAAACCATCGAGCTGTCAGAAGATTCCTTCCATCTCCATGCGCATAACACTGGCATTGTATAAACCCATGCATCAACCCCGTAGGAAAAGACGAAACCAAGAAAAAGAACAAGATTCAACAAAAAACAACTCTCAAACCGGAGCTTAAATTTCATTGATCATAGACGAAAGTTTTTAAAGACTCGATTTAATTCGCATCTAGGCGTATTTATTCCTTGGTCTCGAAGTTCTCGCCCTCGACGAGTTCGGGGATATCATCCTCCTCATCGTCCTTCTTATCACCCTGCTGCTTCTGCATGTTCTGGTAGCTCTCAGCGAGCTTGCGCAGGGAAGCGAGGGAGTCGGGGCCGAGCTGGTTGAGGATGTTGGGGACGAGCTCGGTGAGCTCCTTCTCCTCGCCGTTACCGTACAGAGCGAAGGTGTTAGAGGGGACAGCGCCGTGAACTAATTGCGATGAAAATGATTAGTGTTGTGTTTCTTTTTTCGTTCTTTTGCGTTGAAAATATTAAGGTTGGTTTCGGGTGGTTTCTACTCACCACGGGGGTTGGCGAAGTGGATGACGTTGCCGTCCTCCTTGAACATGTTGACCTCCTCAATGCCCTGGATGGGCTGGACGTTCAGCTTCTTGAGAGCGGCCTGGAGCTTCTTGTCATCGGCGCCGGAGTTGCGGACGACCTTCTTGACCTTGCGGCGGGGGGTACCCTTGCCACTATAAAGTTGTTAGTTGGTTGGACATTCGGGTTGAAAAAAATGTGGTGTCGGTGTGGATGAGTGGGTGAATATGGGTGGTGGGGGGGATGAAATGGGGGGTCCGAAAAGATCGAAGGAATGCGAGGAATTCATGACAGGCCGAGAGTCAGACTGGATTCTCATTGCCATGCGATATCTATTTTCGATTCGATATTTGGGATATATAGCGCGGTCGCATAGATTCGAGAATCGAGAATTCGTCTGACTATCGGCCGTGTCGAATCCGGGTATTGCAGTTCGAAAATTCGTTTTCTCCATAGGGGATCGAGGGGTCGGGATGAAAACAAGTCTGGACAGAATATACATACCCTGTCGAGGAAAATCATGTTAGCTATCAAATTTGCATACACCAAGGTCTACTTAGACATGCAAGGAATTGCAGGATTGAGATATGACCAAGCTCCAGGGCTACCAATTCCACAGGATCGTAGCTCCACGTCATGACCCAGATCATATCTCAAGCTCAAAAATCCTCGAAAAGAGACAGAAACGTACCGATGCGAACGCTCGCCTGCATTCTAGCCAACTTTGCTTGATCCATGATGAAGTCGGGAGGGGTGATCGCCTGGCGCAGGATTAGCCGGTAATTCGATGTAGGGCGATTGAAATTCGAGGATTCCAATAGAATCGTTTATTTCAACAATTAATATAGCGTACCGTTAAATAATGGTTGAGGGGGAGATGGTGAGAGGGAACGTGAAGTGGAAGTGGGAATGATGATGCATCCCCCAAGAGTTTTGTGTGGGGAGTTTGCCAGAATATTCGCTAATGCGCCGACTTGGGTTTAACGGGCTGGTTTTTTTTGTATGTCTACACTCTGATATGATTTATAAATTGATTCTATTGAAATATAATCTAACTGTTGTTCTTCTGATGATTTTGGTTATTCGCAAGTCCCAGCGTGTTCGATTGTGGGATCTTGATGCTCGGCTAAACCCTAATCGGGCTCTATGAGATCTATAGATATTCGAACATAGCAATCTAGCAACATCAGACTTATGTTGACTCTTTAATATACTTCAATATCATTATAGCCAATGCAAACAACCTTGGTACCTCGATATATACCCAAAGCGGCAATCAGTGGACACAGTTCCATTCCATCCTAACTACTAACCATCTACTTCCTCTCTTTCTCCTCAATCTCAATCTGCTTCTTCTCCCAATTACTAAAATACTTATGCCAAGGATGCTTCTCCTGAAACCCAAGAAGCTGCTTAATCTTGGAATTGGAAAATGGCGCCTCAAACTCCCCCATCTCACGTGTGATAGGTATATCCGGGAACTGCGACCTCAAAAAGTCCTTCGTAGGACTAAGATTGGTAATATGATCATTGGTAGCATTGAAGACCTGAAACCCAAGCCCACTAGTCCGCAACGCCGCCTCACACATCCCACCCAGATCCCGCGCATCGATATACGACCACCCATGCACCTTCCACAGCGCCGGCTCATGCACATAGCTGTAGAAGATCTCATCATTGTACTCATGGGGCTCGATAAGACGCCCAATGCGTAAACTGTAAATATCCGCGTCGAAGCGAGATGCAAAACCGCGCGCGATGCGCTCGTTGCACAGTTTCGCGATCGCGTACGTATCCGTCGGGTTGATGTCCAGGTCTTCGTGGATCGGAAACGAGGGGAAGTTGGCATCGCCCTGTGCAAACGATACCCCGTACACTGTTATGCTACTCGCGATGATGATCTTACGGACTCCTAGTTTGCACGCTGCCTCGATGATGTTGTAGGTGCCCTGCGTGTTCGATCGGAAGGTCTCGTTGTCTGGTACGAGCATGTTGCGTGCGTAGCCTGCGAGGTGGACTACGGCGTCTGGGCGTGGCGGGAGGCCTTCCGGGAAGGGCTCGGTGAGGGTCCATTGGCCGGAGAGGGCGTTGAAGACTTGGCCGCTGTCGGCGAGGTCGGTTTTTAGGGTGTGTACGGATGGGTGTTCCATGTGTATTAGGTCCAGGTTCAGGATTTTGTGTCCGGCGTTGAGGAGCTCGCTGATGACGAATTGGCCTGCTTTGCCAGAGCCGCCCGTCACGACAATGTGGCCCATGCTGGTGATAGTGTCTGGCGCGAAACGGGATTGAGGGTTGAATCTCCGCTCAAGGGATATCTTATTTGATTCTAGGGGAGTCTTTGAATTGAACAAGCTACGCCGGCACTTGTCCAAGGGCTTGGGCATGACCGAGATTGAAATCATCATGATGCCATTTGCCTCCATGCTCACGGCTTTTTACAGGCGAGAGAATGGCAACGAGCATTGCAAACAATGTGGATTCTAAATAGAAGCAAGCTAAATCGCTGATAACATTTCAGTCATTCCATATATTCATACATGCCGCGATTCAGTTTCGCTTGGAAACCTGACTGTCGGTCCAATCCCAGAGCTTGTGAGCCAATTGCGCATTCTGCACAGATGCAGTGCCACCACTACGGTACCCAACGGGAGTGTAGTAAGCTCCGTTGATAAGATTTTCCCTTTGCGTGCCAGCCGCCCAAAGAGAATTGAGGGCTCCACTAGCGATATTCCGGAATACCATGGAGCCAGCAGCACTAATACCGTACTTCATCGTCGAGCTAAGACTCTTTGTATGTCCATAGAGCCCGCTGTCAACCGCACCGGGGTGTACAGAGACAGATAAGATATCAGGATATCGGCGGGCTAGCTCGGATGCAAAGAGGATGTTAGCCGACTTGGAAGCACCATAACGCGTCCATGTACTGGCAGCCAACAAGCCAGGTGTAGATGTAATTTCCTCAAAGGTGGAGGGGCCAACACAGTGAGCTGCCGAAGCGACAGTCACGACTCGCACATCGGGAACCTCATCCTTGGCGCGCTGAAGATCAGCGGTCTTCTGCAGGGTAGGCAGAAGCAGTTTTGTAAACAGGAAGTGTCCGATATGGTTTGTACCGAGCTGGACCTCAAAGCCCTCCTCCGTTGTGGTGGGCGGGTTGCCCATCGTACCCGCATTTAGGATCAGGATATCCAGGCGATCGCTATCTGCCTGGAACTTGTCTGCAGCGGCGCGGATAGATTTGAAGGAAGAAAGATCGAGAGGGAGAAAGCGGATATCGGCGGGGGAGGAGAGCTGGCTTTGGAGAGATTCAATTGCCTCACGCGCTTTGCTCGCGGTGCGGGCGCCCATGTAGATGCGCGACGGGCGATGCTTGGCGAGTTGGAGGATGGTCTCTTTGCCTAGGCCGGCATTGCCTATATCAATCAATGGCGCTGTTAGTGATTTGGAAGCTGTAGATAGATAGAAAGAGGAGATGTACCTCCTGTCACAAGGACGACTTTGCCGTCCAGGTTGCGAATGTCGCGCTCTGGCTGGAACGATGTCCCTAAGTAACCGAAGGTGGCCTCATTCAGGGTTGGGCCAAAGCTTGACAATGCCTCCAGAGGATGACGCAAGCTGTAGGTCGCAAAGCCACGAGTGGCTACAATATCACGAAGATCCATAGCTCCAGATCGAATTGAATATGAAGGGTTGTGAAAGTCGAAATCGGGCTAGGGGGTTAAATAGCCGGTCAATGAGGTCAATGAGGTCAATGATCTCGGGCCAAGGAATAACACCATTTCTTTTTTCACATGTGTGTAGTCCAAAGTAGAATCCATTTTATTTTCTTCAAAGATCTCTGATGTTATCAAGTTTTTTTTAATGGACTACCTGGCAGGAATTTCTGCAGACCTGTTCAACTTTAAAGTATGAAGTCGGGAGATAAAGAACAAGACCTTTGTATATCTCACATCCCGCCAAGCTCTAGTCCTGCACGCCCCGCATGCAGGTTGATCCCCCTTGTATCTCTTGAGACAATTCTCCCGGCCACCTGTCCTGTAGACTTCCTTTCTTCTTTTCCTCGAATCCTAGGAACCCGAGGAATCCTGTAACACAAAATTCCGACCTGTTTCACTATAATCTCGAGCTTGTCAAACATTATATACAAGCATATTTGAAATCCATAAGCACCAAAAATGAGATTTCTTTGCTTACACGGCGGAGGCACAAATGGTGAAGTATGCATATGTTCAATTTTGATATGGAAAATGCTGACCAGCCATAGATATTTGAAATCCAAACTGGAGGCCTCCGCCAGGCACTCGAGAAAAGTGGCCACCGCTTCAAATTCATGAACGGAAAGATGGACGCCAAAGTCGAAGAGGGTAAGCTCTACCCCCTCCGTGTATATACACAGCTACCACCTAAACCATTCACTAACATAACCCAGAACTTGAAGGCATAGTGGACGGCCCCTTCTATAACCACTACAATCGAGGTTCCTCACCAGGTTCCAGCATCCATGAAGCCTTCGATCACACCAAGAACTTCATCGCAAAAGAAGGCCCCTTCGACGCAGTGATAGGTTTCTCACAAGGCGCGGCACTAGCAGCCTCACTTCTAATTCACCAAAGCAAGAACTACCCGGCTGAACCGTCGCTATTCCGCGCAGCGGTGTTTATCTGCGGTGCGGCACCGTGGGATAGTACCGGACTGCAGCACATTTTACCGCAGCCGAATACTTATCCGATTTCCATTCCGACAGCGAATATCGTGGGTAAGGCGGATGCGCTGTTCCCGGAGGGCATAAGGTTATTTGAGCTATGTGAGCCCGCCAAGGCGACTTTCTATGACCATGGTTCTAAGCATATGGTTCCGTTTGATATGAAGAATACGGAGGAGATGGTTAGGATTATTGAGGAGACTGTTGCGAAGGCGATTAGGGGCTAGCGTTAATGAGATAAATCCACCTTGGAAACCACCTCTAGTGGGCTTACCCAAAACCTTTCTGGTAACCACTCACACCATTGTATAGGTCCAATCCCTTCTATCTCTTGTCTCTCCAGAATTTTGGTTAGTCCGATCAAATACGATAGATATCCAAATGGACAATCCTGGTGACTGTCCACCTCGGGTGCCTGGGTTCAATGCTATGCCCGTGGATTATGAGCTAGACGTCAGTGAGTGCTTTGCCCATACGGCGAGCGATAATCGTGCTCTGCGTCTCACAAAGCCCGAAATCTTGACGTTGCGTCTGATGGAACATCTCACCGACAAGACAAACTGGTTGCATTTTTAATGAAGGAGTAGTTGCCCAATGGTTACACCGACGCCGCATTATTCATCCAGAAGGCTATATCCTCACCTTCAATGCCGATTCTGGCGTTTGCAAATCCGACCCGCTAGTTGCAAGCGACTTACAAAAAACGTTGCAACATTCGTTGAATAAATTGTTAAATCAATATTTGAGACAATCGGAGAAAGATGATCTTTCCGAAGCAATTACTGACCTGATCGACCCGTCACGCTTCATGTTGGCACACGGCCATACAGCTGTTCTCAGCTAAGGGCGGCCGTGTCGATATAACCCAAGGAACTATCTCAGCCCCAACCATTCTCAATGTCCATGTCCCGCCACATCCGGAGATCTCTCAAGAGGCTGAAGACATTGAAGAGCCATTGCCTTGGCCAGGAAAGTTTCTGGGGTGCGAGCACAAAAAGAGCGACAGGTCCTTAATAGCCACTGTGGTTGGGTTCTAAAAGCGACCTTCTCACCTGATGGTCAGGTATCAGGCTTAGGATTAGGGTATAAAAGCAGCACGTTTGCGCATGAGATAATGGACAAAGAGCGACAGACATTGGAGAGCCAATCTGGTTTCTGTCATGATGGAAACGAACAAATCTCCATAGCAAACGACTTCGTAGAGGCAATCAAATTCTTTGGCTCCTGATGGAGTATCGAAGATATTCTCGGAGTTCCATAAAGGTTAACTAGCTTTTGGATATACTGACGGACGAGTTCTCATTGTGGGCTTCCTCACATCGATGAAATGAATATCCGAGCAGCTTGCCCTGCTATGGATGTTTCAACATCGGGGCATTGACCTATACGATGGTTTTCTGTTCGCCAATTTTCTACCTAATTCTGATATCGGAGCCTGAGGGTTTTACATATCGAGTTCCGTGGAAGGTTGTATGTGGACTGCCTAAATGGCAGGTCAAAGGGTCCGGAAAATGTTACCTAAGTTGAGTTGCTACTAAGAATAGCACACGTGGACGGGTTCCTCGAGCAACACGCTTCTAACGGCTGTATCAACAGGCAGCCATATAATAATGATCAATAACCTTGGAACCAGACTATTTTATGTGTTGAAATTTGTTTTTTATGCAACGTCCGTGGATTTACTTATGCGAAGCATAGGATACCTAATACTCCCATATTGTGCCTGTTTGCGATAAATAAATTTCATTTTGTTAAGCTTAGGAGAGCACCACGGAACCATCTCGGCTGAATTAGCGATACCAATGACCCTTCACAAACAATAAATGTCAAGGACTTAAAAATAATTAACATTCAAGACCCTAAAGACCAAAGCCGGGGGCCTCCATAGTACGCTTTGGACTGAAAACGCCACAGCACGTGACTCTGGGCAAGCCGCCTCAGCGGCAAGTCACCCTTGTCAGCTTCACTTCAGACAACAACCGTTAATCCTTTCCCTCCGTCACTTGCCGTTGCGCTACATCCCAATCTCTATCATCCTACGATAGCTCTCACCCCATACCAAACCATCTGCGTTGATTCTAGTCTCCTAGACTCCTCCTTTGCTACGCTTCCCCATCAAAACAGCGCAACCCCTAGTGCTCCCGCGAGGTCGTTGGACGATCCCAGTTTCCTGCCAATCCAACTCTCGAGGTTCCCTCAAATTCTTTTACGACTTTCATAATGGCTGCCACCGAACAACCTTACGACCCTTATATTCCTTCCGGCTCTGCTGGAGCCCCGGCTGCCGGACAGAATGGCAACCAGCGAACTGCGGCTTTGCAAGCAGTGAGTGAATCCTCGACGATCTCTTGACTCGTAGCGACCTCAGCCATTCAGAAAACAGCTCGATGTCATCCGGTGGATGGCGCACGCTTGTTGTCTTGATCTATTGAAATACGAAGGCTGGGGTACTTGATTCCCGAAATGGGGCTAACGTGGTATCTTCTATAGCAAATCGACGATACCGTCGGTGTGATGCGCGAAAACATCAACAAGGTCTCCCAACGTGGTGAGAACTTGGATTCTCTCCAGGACAAGACCGACAACCTCGCCGTCTCAGCCCAGGGTTTCCGCCGAGGCGCCAATCGTGTGCGCAAAGATATGTGGTGGAAAGACATGAAGATGCGTGTGTGTCTAGGCATCTGCGTGATTGTCCTTCTCATTGTCATTATTGTGCCGACCGGTAAGTGTTTTCTGACATTCTCCCACCCTTTCTAGTTCGCCACTAACACCTTTGCACAGTGGTTGCCACCAAGCACTAAGCACCTCAACCGTGCGCGACTTACGACTTCCCTTTGGACATGGAATCTTGAATTTTACTGGGCTTACTGTTGTTGGGGCCGTGTGGCCTTTTCCGTTTTCTTCGCAGCCGCTAATACCTCCTGCTGTTTTTTTCTGGGCGTGTTTTCAATGACCAAATCCTCTTTGACTTTTCCGTGCAACGAAATGAGTTCATCCGATTTTGGGTTGTGTCGCTATATGCGACCCGGTCGACGGGTGAAGATGTAAATGATACTTCCATGACGCCGTGTTTAAGTATGCTTACCACATTGCCATTCGGGTGCTTTCTTACTGCAATGAATCTCCCTTATAGTGCGCTTATGGCCTTTTTTTTCGAATGCTCGGTCTTGGAATACCTGAACAGCATAGCTGCAATGTACAATATTGTAGAACGTTCGTGTAGATCCACACTTTGGACAAAGCCAACATCCACCCTTGTGTATACTCGGCGATTTGAGTCTCTGTCTTTGGTCTCATGAGTATGCATGACTGGCGATGGAAGAAGATTGAGTTTGGAAGTTGGATTGCCCACCATTATATTCCTATTTGGCAGACCAGGCTACTTAGTCTCAGGGCTGAGAGCTAGCATGTCCACGTGGCTTAAGACCCATCTGACCTGTGAAGCTCCAATTCGCCAATGAGGATAATGCAAGGCACCCGCTATGTATGCCCGAACCCTTTGGCATCAAGTGTCTATTTATTAATTAACTTGATCTAGATGTTCCCACCGTGGATCTCTATAGTGCAGTGCAAGTCTTTCCCTGATCCTTTCGGAAACCCATCTACCGAAGCCTGTTGAGTGGTAGGAAAAATCAGATAATACTGGAAACTCTTGGCACGAAAACAAAGTGTCCACCAATTCCTCGATCAGACCACTGGGAGTCGTATATATCGTCGGCAGAAAGCGCAAAGTGCTAGACCCAGTCAGGGTGGACAGAAGTGGATAGTGGTGGCCCAACGCAACGAGTGAGAGGGAGGGACAAGATCAGATAACTGAGACTAAACCCAAGCAGGATGACGTTTTACGATATCCGAGCAGAACCTTGGAAGATGTGGGCTTTTTCGGAGGTAATATGGGCTATTGAGGAAGTCTAAGGAGATATCCCGAGGCGAAGATTCTGTTCCTTTTTTTTTTTTACTTTGATTCTTTTGGTCCCGGTTAGGGCACCACACAAATGTTAATATTGTGCACATATAGGATAAAAGAAGTCAAGGGAAATTATTTGGATACATATATAACGCATATTTAGAATAAAATATCTATAAAAGGTGAACATTGGAATAAATCAAATGTCGCACGTAAAAGATGGAGAGATAAATCGCTCGCTAGAGGGGGTCCACCGCCTTCTCTCCGTCATTGGGCCAAGTTATCGCTCCGAGGCCCGGCCGATCTGAAAAATATCTCTTGACTCAAACACTTTCTCACCTTCCACCTACCTTTCCACCTTTTTATACATATTTGGGGCCTCTCCCACCAAAGGGCCGACCGTGAGACCATTGAGGCTGCCGCATGTGCGTTGCTAAAATGATGTCCCTTCGCTCCGCTGTGCGGAGAGCTTCGTGCAAGCCCCTCCGTACTCTCTCCGCACCGACTACTCTGCGAGTCTCAGCTGCAAAGACTGCCACCTCTCTGCGCCAGACTCGCACCTACTCCCGCTCGACGGATCCTCACCTGACCTCCACCCGCAGCACCGTCGTGCAACTGCTGAGCAATATTGGCTCTAAGCGCGAGGTCCAACAGTACCTGTCACACTTCACCTCCGTGTCCTCTCAGCAATTCGCCGTGATCAAGGTTGGTGGTGCTATTATTACTGAGCACCTCCAGACCCTGTCATCCGCGCTCGCATTCCTTAACCATGTCGGTCTGTACCCCATCGTCGTCCACGGTGCCGGTCCCCAGCTTAACCGCATGCTGGAGGCTGCCGGTGTTGAGCCTCAGTTCGAGGATGGAATCCGGGTGACTGACGGTAAGACTCTGGCCCTCGCCCGCAAGCTCTTCCTGGAGGAGAACATGAAGCTGGTTGAGGAGCTCGAGCGCATCGGTATCCGTGCCCGCCCCATTACCGCCGGTGTCTTTTCGGCCGATTACCTCGACAAGCCCAAGTACAACCTGGTTGGTAAGATCAATGGCGTTGACAAGGCGCCCATTGAGTCAGCTATTGCTGCTGGATGTCTGCCCATCCTGACCTCCATGGCCGAGACCCCTGACGGCCAGGTGCTTAATGTCAATGCCGATGTGGCTGCCGGTGAGCTTGCTCGTGCCCTGCAGCCCCTCAAGATCGTCTACCTGGCCGAGAAGGGCGGTTTGTTCAATGGTGACACCGGTGAGAAGATCTCCGCCATCAACCTCGATGAGGAGTACGACCACCTGATGAGCCAGTGGTGGGTGCGCCACGGCACTCGCCTGAAGATCAAGGAGATGAAGGATCTCCTCAGCGATCTGCCTCGCTCGTCCAGCGTCGCAATTATCCACCCTGCCGACCTTCAGAAGGAACTTTTCACCGACTCTGGTGCTGGTACCCTGATCCGCCGCGGTAACAAGATCCACGTGAAGACTTCTCTGTCCGAGTTTGAGGACATGAAGGCCCTGAAGGAGGTTCTGGTCCGTGATCGTGAGGGTCTTGATGCCCGTGCCGTTGTTGACCGCTACGTCGAGGGTATGAAGGAGAAGGACTTCAAGATCTACTACGATGAGCCTATGGAAGCTCTCGGTGTTGTGCTGCCTCCCCAGCCCAACTCCCAGATGGCCCACTTGG